TTTAAAATATGAAGTAATCGATCAATTGAGTAATCATTATACAGTTTTTATAATAATACGAAAAAAAGAGGAGCGAGGAAAAAGATAAGCGAAATAAAAAAATTAAAAGTCACCTGTCTATGAATTTATTCGATTCATATTAAACTAATCACGTAAAATTATCTCATTATAACATTAAAATGTCAAGCGTACATTAATAAATAATTTCTGCACATAATTCTTAAAAAAAAAATGATTCTTAATATAAATTCTTAGAATAAATAGCTTTAAAAGAATGATTGTGCGTTAATTACTCAAATTATTTTTATAGAGTATTTTTCCACCAGTTAATAACTTACGTTGTATAATAATTATGTAGTTAATCTACATTTCCAATCATCTCTTCTTGTAAATAAACGTTAATCGGTCTGTTCTTGATGATAAAGATAAAAAAATGGAAAAAGAGGAAGCAGAGAGAAAAAAAGCCGTCTTTGTGCACATCTCATCATTAAAGCGTATGATCCCGCCACCGCGACCCATCCTAACCGAGTACGACTATAAGTATACAACGTAAGTAACTGCACACCCACTCGTACGCGACTCCACGTGAGTCATTGGCTAGCTAATACATACAACGGCTAATCTCGGAAATCATTGCAAACGTCGAGAAAGGGCCGATTTCATCGGCGCGGCTCGACTCTCCGTAATCGCGTCCATCTTAACATATTCCGTTATGTCCCTATTAGAGGAACTCTATCGGAATATTAAGAGATGCGAGTTTTAGTACTCGGGGGAAATTTACAGGAAAATCAAGAATATAGGACCGGAAATATTACGTCGAGCGAGCAATAATTACTGCGAGAGGATATCTCTACTCGAGATATATCTACAACGCGCAAGGAGAGATTGCGATGAAATTATCTTCGTGAGTCACGTCTTATATCGGGACGGAGATTTGTCGCCGATCGAAGAGGAATAAGCAAAGCGAACGATATTAGCCGTCGTATTTTCGGTTAGGTCATCATCTCCGCTTGATGTTAATCGCGCGTTTCTGTCCCCCCCTCCCTCCTTCTCCCCTTCCTTTTATTCGTATTTGTACAGCGACTGAAATAATTGACGGCGGAACGGTAATCGTGCGCAGTTTTGAAACGAAGGGCGGTGAACCGTGGAAATGATTCGTCCGGTGGTGGTTGGGATGTCCTTTCTGGCTCGGGCGGCACAATAATCGTGGATTTCCGTCCGCTTATTATCTTACACGCGTCACAATGCGTTTAGATTGTGTCGGGGGTATCGGCTAATTACCGGTCGCGATTTAGTCGAGCGTCCCGAGCCCGCCGACGATAGCGTGAGACCGAGATGCGTACGTCAGGCTGGACAAAAATACACCTCGCGCCGAAGAAAATTGTCATTTAAAAAGAAATCTAATTAAAGGAGAAAGAAGGAGAGAGAAAAAATTGTACTTTGCTTATTTTTTTTACATGCAAAAGAATTATAAATGTAATAATCTACTCAATCGAGTTGGTTTTCGCGAATAAATTTGTTAGACTTAAGTCTCGATAAAAACAAGTCGATTTACTCTTCTTCTCCTTTTCGCACAAAATTAATTCTCTCGGACTCGAGCTTCGATTTCGGAAATAAATGTAATATTAACGTATAATTTTACACGTGATATTAATAATAATAATATCTAAAGATATCTCTCTTTCTCTTGTAGAATCCCGCGCGTTTATATTTTTCGTCCGTGATCATTTCAACGTTTGCTTGTTTCCTTCTGTACACCCTCCTTTAGGATTCGAACACTCTATTCGATACTCGGCGACGAAGCGCGATTTTGCATGCCAAAAACGCAATATCCAGGAGTCGGTAACGGTATAAAAAAAACCGGTTTCCGGTTGGAGGCCCCATAATAGGCGTTCGCAAAATTCGTAGACCGGCTTTTCGACTTTTCGAGACCGAACGGTCGCGTCGTCGCGCATTTCTCTCCTTTGATAACATCGCGAGCAGAAAACTTTCCATACTTGATCGATCGGTTTCCTCGTCAATCTCAGTAGTCAATCTGTCGCAATCGATAAAAATCGAGAATGAGAATTGTGTACAAGAATAGAAAGAGACTGCATAAAATCTATATATTTCTCTGATATATTTACGTTTCTCCACCGAGATTTTTTTATGCTGAATATGCAAAAATAAATTTGCTGTCGACACATGTTTCGTAAATTAAAGGAGAAAAATTTTTTATCGATTCGAGCATTGTCTCCACAAAAACATTTAAATATCTACATCTATCGGATAATTGAAAATTAATTAACAATTTTAAATTAATTTAATTTATAATTAAAAAACTTTTGATTAAATTTGAACAATATGACACTGGATGAAAAAGTTACCTTCTTCAGCTTTCAGTTTCAATGAATAATTTACTTTTTAACAAGACGCATTGAATTACAGAAAATGCGTATTAAACGTTGGAAAATTGCCCAAAGGAATAAATGATATTTTCCTCCTGATATTTCTATCAAGGAAATAAATCGCCTTTAGCGAAAAAAAGACGCGGTCTTTCAGCGATATTATGAAACATCGCTCCGCGCATATAAGGCCAACAAATTCATTAACGAAATAGCGGTCTTTACGAAAATCTTGGAGCCTTAACGACAAGCGAACAGCCTTCGTAATGCGAAGAGTACACGCTCTCGTTCGTGGCGTGAGAGATCGCACGCACGCACGCACGTACATATATACGCACGCACGCACACGCGTGCCACATAGATAACTTCCTCCGTGCAAGGCAGAGGAGGAGAGGCGTACGACGCGTGTGCCAGACGGACGGCGCGGTATCAAAGGATATTTACCCTGTCAACAGCGTAGCTTTACGTGGCGGAGACGCCGCCACGTCTATAAGGGGAGAATACACATATATAGTATACTCACTCGTACCGAGATAATAGTAATGGGTATTATTACTCCGCTCTATTATTTTACGATCTAGCGCTTCCCGGGAATTGATACATTATCGTCGAGCGGCGTCGAGCCGAGCCGATTGACGAATGATTAAGAACGTAAATATATCCATCATTTTTTCGATCCACTATCTATCCCCCTGCCCCTCATACATATACAGGGTGCTCTAAAAAGGCATGTCAAAAATTTAAAGACATATTCCTAACACCTGAAGGATGAAAAAATGTTATATGGACGTAGGCGCGGAAATGCTTATTTCAGGAGTTATGTTGAAAATACTGTTAGCTGTATTACTTACACAAGGAAAAATTTAGGATTAATTATTGTAGACGACAATCGTTTGATTAGGCTTATTTACATTTGGTTTTAATGTGACCTTGAGTATGATACAATAAATGTTGAAAATGTTCACCATCTTCCTGAATACAAGCAGTGAAAAAAATGCCACCAGTGCGCGATATTCAAGATCTTCGTATCGCTGCAGGTTGCGAGACAATCCGCTGTACGCAGGTATTTTTGAACGTGTCCGTGAATCGACGTGTCACTGTTTGTATTCAGGAAAATGATGAACATTTTCAACATTTATTGTAACATATTCACATTAAAACCAAATGTAAATAAGCCCAATTAAACGATTGTCGTCTACAATAATTAATCCTAAATTTTAACTCCTGAAATAAGCATTTCCGCACGTATGTTCATATAACATTTTTTCATCCTCCAGGTGTGAGGAATATCTCCTTAAATTTTTGACATACCTTTTTAGAACATCCTGTACAGATATATCGCCGATGTAAATGATGTAATCGATGCGCGAATGAATTTAACATCGCATTCATAAGCGACGATCATTCGATGAAGCGAGTCATTTAAATCGCGATAATTTTCCTAAATATGCACACGGGAAGATTGAAATTAAATATTCGATTCGAATCCAAATTCCACCGGGTTTTTGTCAAAGCGCAACCTGTTCGATAATCGATACATCTCGAAAAAATTGACGACTATTACACGCCTCGTTGGAAGCTTATAATAATGTTACGCTCGCGCGATTTACGACAAAAACTTATAAAACCGGCCGAGGTGACACACGTGCGCGATCGTATTGACATATGTGACCGTGATAAAGAGGGAAACCGAACGAACGGTTTTTCTCCTGAAATCGACGTGCGCGCTCGTCTATTGTATAAACGAGACTCGATTACCGATCAATTACCGATTAATTAAATCGACATTTGCGCGCTGCGCCTTGCATACCCAATCAAGTTGCGCTTAATCGACGAGACTTGGCTTCTGCCAGGAATACGAAAGTCCTTGCATAAACAGGCGATTGTAATTTCCTCGACTAAAGTAACGTTGGACGAGCTACTCGATCGAGAGAGAATGAAGGAGGATTCATTCAGTAGCAATGTTTATTCATGCGGAAGAGTACGTCGCTTTACGCTCGTCGCTTCGCTCTTAAAAATCGACCTGGATCGGATGACGAGAAAAATCTGGTTTCTTACGCAAAAGTCTCTATTATATTATCATGTATACAGGGTGTCCCAGACTTAACGAATCAGCCGTTAACAGCAATTCCTGAGATCATTTGGAGAAAATTTTAATACCGAAAGTTGAGGAAGACTTTATAAAAATGTTCAAACACAATCGTGCTCACTGCAAAATCCTATTTCTTATTTTATATCGATCCCTCTATCGATATCGATACTATCGCGCTGTACGCGAGACCCTTGACGCGCTATCCCTAAGCGCAAGAGAACGTAACGCGCCGATTGGTAATCTCGAATCCTTTGTAGCGCCGAAACTACGTCTTCCTCAACATTTTGGTATTAAGATTTTCGTTCTCAAATGATCTCAGGAATCTACCATTAACGGCTGCTTGGTCAAGTCTGGGACACCCTGTACATTGGAACGAAAATATTATCGTATCATGCGCTACCTCATCGTAGCGATAGGGCGCTTTCGCACCTGGTTCTATCGGCTCGACAAATACGTCAGGTGAAAGACACCTTTCAAAGGCCCCGGGTTCACGCTGGGATTTACTCGCGACGAGACTCACTCACCTGCATCTGCAGCCACGAGTAGTCGATGTACGCGGTGGTGGTGGCGGTGACCGGCGGCGTCGACGAGATCTGCTGCCAGCCGTCCTGAGCGTTGCATCCCGCCAGGACGGCGAGAGGCCCGTCGGGCTGGGCCCGGTCGGGCACTATCTGGTCGGCGGCGTACTGGGCGACGTAGGGCGGCTGTATCGGCGGCTGGACGCCGACGGCGGACGGCAGACCGGGCAGCGACGCCGGATGAGGATGGTGATGATGCTGGGCCACCCCCGTGGCGGCCGCGGCGGCACCGGCGGGCAAGCAGCACACACTCGCGTCCATCCGTGGTGGCGGCGACGGAGAGTCGTAAAAGCGTAGCTGCTCCGGCTCCGGCTCCGGCTCCCGTGTCGTCGTCCTGCCGAGGATCAATCCTCGCGGCACCATCCAACCTGCGACCGCCGCCGCGAGCGCCGTGATATCCGACGGCCGTGGGATCGGGATCCTATCCCCGCTTCTCTGAGGAGTCCTAGAGTCCGGAGTCTGGAGTCTCTTCAGGAGCGAGGCGGAGGACGATGCGGCGATACCATCTTTCGACTCGGATCGTCCCCGTCCAATTGGAGGATCTTGAAGCGTCCTGATGAAAGAAGATTCTGTATCTTTGATTATATCCTCCCCTTGGGGGTTTGCTAGAGCTCCTCTTCGGGACGAAACGCTGCTATCCTTCCAGACTTGGCGATATCGACAGTCACGTACATCGGAATCGCGCTGACGTCCCGCGCGTCGACTTTAGCGAGTTCCGTGAAACGCGAAACACTTTCCCGCACCAGGAGGCTGCCGAGGGCTCCTCGAATGTCGCTGCGAACATTGCGTCCCGCGAAAAACGGATTTCGTCGATTGATTAGTCCGAATCGTTCGTCATCGTCGCCCGGCGTCGCCGAGCATCGTCCGCGAGAGCACTAACGCCAGCGACTAAAAGTAGCCAATAATCTCGAGTCACGAATCATGGACGGTGTTCCTCGAGTTCTCGCGACAACGTAATTCCCAAACGGAAACATTGGACGAGTCCTAAGCTATCCGCGCACTGTATTTAAATCTCCCTATCCCAGGACAGTGTTCTGTCATCGTCGTTCGATGCCTCCAAATTTTCCTTCTCTTACAAACCGTCACTCATCGAGCACTTTCTTCGGCCCCGCTGGCTAAAAGACACTCGCGACGGATCCCGCGTACGGATCGTTTTCAGCGTTGACATGTCGCGCGCAAGATGCGAAAAGGAGGCGCTCCCGCGGGGAGGTTAAAAAGCGCGCGCGCGCGCACGCGAGCGATCGAGTGCCGCTGATCGCTGGTCGGCCGCCACGGGATCCGCGAAATGACGTTTCTCGACGGTGACAGCGCGCACTCCCGTTAACGCGTTGACGCGCGCGCGCGCGCGCGTCCGTGCGATCACGAGGCGAGGGCGGAGAGAGAAAGGGTGGGAGAGAGACGGAGAGAAAGAGAGCAGAGGACTCGCGGGGCGATGGTGGTGGGCGATGGCGGTGGTGGTGGCGACGGTGAAGGTGGTGGTGGAAACTGCACGGTGATACCGAGGGTGACGGACGAAACTGGCGCGCGCAACTCTCGGACTGTCGTCGACGTCGCGGACCGTCGATGTCGCGTACGCGCATGCGTGGATGCGTGTCGTCAAGGCAACGGTTCCAGAGTAACTGCCTGGCGAACGCAGACGCAGCCCTCCGCGGCAAGCGTGTCGCGTTCTCTTTCGCGCGCTCCCTCTCTCTCTCTCTCTCTCTCTCCCTTTTCCTCCCTCCCATTTACTCTCTCTCGCTCGTTCCCGGTCTCGTGCGCCTGGCTCACGCCCCGGGCGCGACCGATTCTAGGCGGCCATCGAGCGCACGCCCCCGTCCCGACGCCGAGCGAGCGCCTCTCGCTCCCTCTCTCTCTGTCTCTCTCTCTCTCTCTCTCCCCCGCGCACCAGTTGTTTTCTCTCTCTCCTTTTCTCTCCTCGTCCCCCGCCGAGTGTATTCATATACGTGCAGTACACTTTTCCCTCTACCCCGTAAGTTTCCTCGGCCCCCACTCGCTTGCCTTCGGTCTCTTACTAATCCGCCGTCTCGATCGGGCGCGCGTCCGGCGAATCGTCGCGTCCTCTTCCCACCGCATCGCCGCCCGCGCGTCTCGACGGGCGCGATTATCGACGTGAGCTATCGCGAGGGACTCTCTTACCCTCTTCCGACTTTGGCACACTTCTCTCGATGTCCCTTCTCCCCTTTCCCTCCTCGCCACTTTCCCCGCCCTTCCCTACGTCGCGCACCTCCCGCGCGCTTACTTTCTTCCATCGCGTCCTCCCGGCGAATCATCCCTCGCGCACCATCGTTCACCACCGCCTTTCTCACCCCTCTTGACGTGTCTCCATCGACGAGGCCAACGCAACGAGTCGCGCAAATTAAGGGAGCGAATTATTTATTTTCGTCCCTGGCGTCGCGCGAGATTCACCTCCCCCGCGAGAATGTGACTAACACGAGTCTGAAGTTGGCGCGGATTAACTTTACGATACGCGCGAATTTTATGATGTGTATATAAAATACACGTGACACGATATAAAAGTGAAATATATATAACAGGTTCGATCGCGTAACTTTCTCTCCAACAGGTTAAGAAAGCTGTAGAGTGAAAATTGACAGAAATCGCGCATCATATAAAACAAAGAAAAAACTTGAATGAAAAATTGAATACAAGCTAGCTTGGATTCTTGTATCCAATTTCTCGCGCGTTTGCTTCTTCTCAAAATTATTATAATCAATTATAAGATACATAATCGAAATTATCGTAATAAATTATAAGATACATAATCCAAATTATTATAATAAATTGTAAGATGCATAATCCAAATTATTATAATAAATTATTATTATAATAAATTGTAAGATATATAATCCAAATTATTATAATAAATTGTAAGATATATAATCCAACTTATTATAATAAATTGTAAGATATATAATCTAAATTATTGTAATAAATTATATAAGATACATAATCCAAATTATTATAATAAATTATAAGATACACAATCCAAATTATTATAATAAATTATAAGATACACAATCTAAATTATTACAATAAATTATAAGCTACATAAGATGCCAAGAGCGATGCGTGAAATTTTTATCAACAATTTCACGAACGATATAACAACATTGACGAATCGATTTCGAATTTAAAAACGATTCGTATAATTAGGATACTTATGAGAACGGTAGGAAACGGGCACACAATTTCCATAAGTTAACGAGATGCGCGGCGTTGATTGATCGCGACTCAATTTGTCCCGAATGCGACTCTTTTCTCGCGTTGATATATTCGCGCGAATCGTACACATGCACGGAGAGAGAGAAGCATGCATCTCCGCGCCGCTCTTTCTCCCTCCCCCCTTGCTCCCTCCACCCCCTACCTTTGATCCGCGACGAGGCAGAAAGGTTCCCTTTCTCTTTAGATTGTGAAACGATTTTCTATCGCGGCGCTTTAACTCTGGCGCAGTGCTGGATTTATTATATATGCAATGGGTTACGCAAATTACGACAAAGTGCAAATATTTCACATGACCTGCACCTGCGTGACTCCCCTTTCTACACGTGATCGTTTAACCAGGCACGTGAATCGTGACGCGCACACAAGTATATTTGTGTGTATGTTATATACCGTATATTATATACCCACATGTGTGTAAATCGCTCTCGAAATTCCAACGAGCTTCCTGGAACCAGGAATCCCTCGTAATTTCCCCGGAATATACGAAACACAGCGCGAATTACATTCTTTGAGCGATGTTTCCTGGGAAACGAATTAGCGCGAGAAACGAGATAATGAGCGCGAAAGTGGCTACGAGTTTCGGAAATACTCATTCCTCCTCTCTAAAAGGCGTTTACAATCGCGTTTAGCTACTGCATAACCGCAAACACTTAATATTGCATAAATGTCTATTTTAATCGCGAACTTGTTATGCAAATTTGAAATTATTGCAAGGACAATGAAAAATGTGATAAAACTTACAAATGTAATATATTATACAAATACGCTCAAATATCATCTTTTTCTACTACAATTTCCTTAGAATAGCTGTTTACAAGTGAGAAATAATTATGCATAATTGCGCGTTCGCGCGAAAAAGAAATTAAATTGATAGCGCAATTTCAACAGATCGATTTAAAAACAGTGATTTAATAGACGGAAAACATATGACTTGCGTGATAAAACGCGATGACGTGTATTGTAGAATACATACAACGTCAAGTTTAGGGTCAAAAAGCTCCGAGTTTGGGTTAAGAGCCGAACCGGTTACCGGTGAGCGAGCGCGCGCGCGAATGACGATCACGGCTGACCGGTCAGAATTTAGCCGCGAGACGCAGAGCACCCTGCACGCGCGCGCGCGCGGGCGCGCTTCCCCCTCCCTAGCCCCGCGGAAGCGACGCGACTTATGAATGGGAGTAGTATTCGCTCATTGGTCGCGTCCGATAGCCAATGGCTGCCGACCCGCGCTCGCAATCGGACGCGCGGCAAGTGAAGCGAAGCGAGCGTGCGTGTATGTATATACGCATACCTCGATACGTCGATATTCCTGCGAGAAGATCGAGACGAGATACCGAAGTAAATCAACCGGATCCTATTAATATTGCACTGTGCTACTGACTTTTTTGACAGAAATTATTAATCGTGAGATTGCTTCAAGTTGTAACTCAATCTTTGATACAATCTTTTTTCATATGCTCGGAAAAACGTACAGATAATGCTTACTAATGTTATCGGTTCGACTGTTTTTATCTAATTACAATATGCGTCGATATCGATCGAACAACAATTCAATAATTTTCAATTGTAATTCCAAGGAATTTTACGCGAATCGAAGATCACGGACGTGAAGAACAAAGTATTAATTCCGCTGGCATAAGATCGCAATTTGACGAGACGAGATAGTAATTTCAATTTCTCCGCGATGATGAATATGTCGCTTAATGACAAGAGGGCGGTAAGGATAATTGCCAAGCACGAGCGGGACTAGGGCGAGCAACACGCGCGAGAAATGTAACGATGTCGTTGCAAATCTGTTCGCGGATTGCGTGCGGATAGGGGGACAGGGTGCAAGATTGGTCGTACGACAAATACCAAACGGCAATTATTGGCTAACTTATGGAAAGTATAGAGAACGAACAACGCGCGGCGACCGCTCTTATGACAAAGGAGTGAACGCAGTTCTATCCTGGGTACGTCAAGGTGACGCGGCGGGGATGACACCATATCCCGATGAAGACGCGAACGCGTGCACGCGATATTACATAGCATTACATTACAGACACATTGCGTCGCTTTGTGAGCAGCCGCCTCGCGCGAATTGCGTTTACGCGCATTTACGGACTGTCGTCATCTATCAATTAGCCGGCTCATAGTCGTCTCTTGCTGCTATCTCACACTATCTCGCGATTGTGACTCAATTACAAGCAGCGATGCACGAGTTACGTCTCATATTTCCATCTAGCTCGTGAATCATTCAACACGTATTGCTTAGATCTTAGATAGTAAGAATGCGAGTCTTGAAATTGTCGCCTAACATTCGATTATGTCGATACCTATTATTACGAATGTGATTCATATCCTTTATTTTATTTATATATTTTAAAATTTTTATACTAACTTTTATAATAACTTTTCCAAATCTTATTCACACAATTCGAAATGTAATCTACATATATACACATAATATTCATAATACACGGTGAAAAAAATTACAAGTTTTAGCGATTTAACTTTAACCCCACACGTCACCGTATTTAGTTTTCTCCTGCATCGATGGAGTGCTGCTGTGGGAGCTCGTAGGAGTCCGTTGATTTGTCTCGTTCGCTAACGGGGGTCTTTCTGGCGTTCTAGGAGTATACCATTGTTGATTTTTCTTATAGAACTCATCCCTATTTTTGTGCCTCAACTCGTCGTAACTGACGTCTTTTTGCAGGGTCGGTACAGGTAGATCCGTCTCCTCGGAGATTTGGAAATCACCTTTGAACATAATTTACATAATTATCGTTGCAGTAACAATGTAGATGATTTGACGATAATTTTCACTTACTGCTATTGTTAAAACTAGAATATGTATCATGTGCGCCCATTGACGGATAATCGTTGAATACTATTTCTGTGGATGGTTCTTCCGAGCCCCGAATTTCACGTTGTACATCTAATGATTGAAAGCCTTGCTGCCTTTGTCTATAAAGAAAGAGCAAAGAGATCCATTTTGACAAAAAACATAAGTACAGAAACTTAAACAAATTATATTAATTACATCATTTTATTATTAATAATATTAATTATATTGTCTAGAAATAATACCTCATAGGTCTATCTCCATAATAGCCTGCTTCTATTAATCTATCCTTAATAGAACCGTTTGAAGACATCATTTTTGATAGGCACATCTGAGAAACAGCTATTCTACCCGTTATTAAACCAAACAGACCGCCAACTATAGCGGCATATTTCGCACGAGCGTGAAGCGGAGTTACTCTAAATGCTCCATATCCGATGGCTGCACCAAGAAGTCCTGGCATTAAGACGCTAGAGTTTTTCATACATGTTTGCCAGGCCATTATCTCTTCTCGTGTCAATTCCAATCTCTACAATTTATACGATACAATACAATTACATTAAGTTTAAAAATGATCTAATTGTTAAATTTTGAAGTACATATATTTATAACATATGTATATATTTTCAAATATAGTAAAACATCAAATGAAATATGTCGAGATAGATAAAAGAGCAATCTTTTTTTCCAAGAAAAATTAGTCTTATTTTGACTTTGAAAATTATATCATATCATAACTAAATACATGTATCACCAGTTAGCAATATAATCAAAGATTTATTTCTACCGGTTAATCAATGGAAAGGAAAACTTTCTATTCGTTCTATTCGCTTATCTTGGTACAAATAATTATTGGTACAATTAATTATACCTTTGGGGATGTAGATAAATTTATATTAAACAATACGTTGCGAAAAGTTGCTTTATTTCTTTATTTTTGTTGACATTAAGTGTGTATATTATTATATTGAGCGTGTATTAGTATATTATTATATTAATTATATTATATTATATTATTATTATATTAATTATTATATTATATTATTATATTATATTAATTATTATATTATATTATTATTATATTAATTATTATATTATATTATTATTACATTAATACATTATTACATTAATTATTATTATATTTAATTTACATGTAAATAAGAAGAGTGAGTTCTAACCTGCATTTGCTGATACTTTCCATAATCGGGTTGCTGTACATCCGATGTAGTCGTCATGATTTGCAAGTGTTCCAATTACACTATATTCGCATCTGATGCGAAAAATTTGCGTCTCCAAGATATTAACTACTGTAAACGATCAAATAATACGTTCACATACGAGATAACCTACGCAGATAATCAGGCACAATGGCGACGCGAAACAAAGACGTCAGCGCCATCTGTTATGTACTAAGATAGATAGAACGAGAGTCTACGTCTAATCGATTAATCGATAAAGACGAATTTTCGACTGCAGACTACATTGCTAATAATAAATGATGATACATGTATTCAGTCATGATGTGTGTTTATAATTTTCACATTTTCTTTACTTTTTATTTCACAATATATTTTTTGCAATTTAAAATTACTTATGACAAAAGTCAAAATAAGACTAATTTTTCATGAAAGAAAAATTGCTCTCTTACCCCCGATATATTTTATTTGACGTTTCTTTTATATAATATTTTAACGTTAATTATATTTGACGAATATACATATGATATCATTAGTCACATGACATGCTAAAATAGCGAGGTAGGAGATACTGATATTTTGATTCGATTTATTTACATAACTGCGCTAATTTAATTATCGCGACAAAAATGAAGCCGAGAATAGATTTAAATTGCCTTGAAAAATTATTCCACAATCTCTCTTATACCTTTTTTTTATTCAAGTATCGAAATCAGGAAACATATCTGTTAAAATTAAAATTTACATGTATCTACATTGTCGAGGACGTTTTTAAACTGTCGAAATTATTGTGAAAAATGTACATTTCGCGTTAGTACATGAAGAATTCGTCGAAAAACTCAGTCGAGAACCTTGAACGAATTATCTGTGTAATATTCCCATTATCAGATTTTATTACACGAAAATCGTAAAAACGGTTTGTAAAATTTGATGAACAGTTTGCGTGCATGCTATCTTTTTCTCTAATTACGATTAAACATTTATCGCTTTTTTATGAAAGAGCTCGGAAACTCTTCTCCGAAATTAATTTAAATATCCATCCTCTTTTTTCACGCTTTTCACGCTTCACAAATATATGTTTGCCTTCACGAAACCTAACGCGATTGCATCGCTCACACGCACAATCGGACGCGGAAATTTTCCGCTACCACTTATGAAGAGATCGAGAATACGTAATGCAAAAGTATCTACGTATTTAAGACGAGGTGTTAACGAGGGACAGATGCTCGTAGCTATAAAAGTGGCGATGGAAAAGACTAAGGTCTCTGTTACTTTAAAATGTCGCGCGTCGTCGCATGTCGATTCCTTTGCCCGTCTCAGATTGTGCTCTTAATACTTGTATTAATGTCGTTATTAACAACGTTGCAGCAAACGAATGCCAATCCTTTGCCGGATCTCACGCAGGAATATCAAAATTTGATATCCGAGAATTCGACGGTTAATTCGACGGATAATTCCACGGAAATTGGGGCCAACACTGACGTGTAAGTTTTCTTTTTTCTAAAAAAAAATATAATATATATATATTTTTTAAAATATATATATTTAAAAAAAAAATATATATATTTTTTAAAAATATATATATATATTTTTTTTAAACATATTTTTAATATTATCACGAAAGAAGAAAAAAGGAGATTCGACAAATGTTTCTTGTCGTTTTCAGATACGTGGTAAAAGCTGTAGTCTACGAGATTGGAATTCTTACAGATACGGATAACGCAACGACTAGCGAAAGTACCGAAAGGTAATGCGACGTTTTATCTTTTTTCTCATCCTCCCGTCAACGAGAAATAATTAATTCGTACGAATGTATCGCTTCAACGTTTTATCAATTTTTTTTACATCTTGCAGACACGAAAAAATCGATATATCGTTATACGATCCACCGAATCAGAAAGACGAATATTCCTTATGAATCCTTTTATCATGAAACGAATGTAGATACAAAATTACGCGCTTGAGATGCATTTATGGAGACCGAAAGTGAGAATCAAAATGATAGATTACTGTTAAGACGTTTACGGAATCGATATTTTTTAGATATGTGAATGTACATGGTAAATTACTGATATTGTATAAGATTATAACATAATGATAATAAAGCGTAAAGTGTAACAATACGATGCGTACGCAATTTATAAAATATTTCGCGATGTCAAACTTATATAAACGTCGTGAGACGACATTTTTGGGATTTAGAATAAATGTTTTATTATTTTATCATTTAATTATGAACAATATATTTCGTGTACAACGCTATAAACACATTGCTGCTGCAAAACCTGCGAGGCAGAAGAAAGTCGCGGAACAATCAGGTAACATAATTCGCAGAATGATAGAATACGTAGTAAGTTAGCTCGGTTGGAGCATGCGCAACACACATATTAGTTTCTGCAATTTAACGCTATTTACTTGTGGAAGATCTTCGTGAAAGACTTTTAACAGTCGCTTAAACGTACGTAGAAATCTTTTCTTCCTTTCTCTTTTTTTTTTATTGGAATGCAAATAAGCGCGCAAGTTTGACAGCCCCGATTAATACAGGGAAAGGGTATTGTGTACAAATTTCGACCAAATATTACGACAAAAGGTAATAAAAATATTCTCGATTCTCTCTTCTTTCGTTTGTTCTGCTCGTATCGCATCATTGAACTAACGTACATTCAATTACGACAGTAGGCACTGCACCTAAGTACCTTTGCCTTATCGAAGGAATAAGCAAAAGCACCAGTTCGTGGAGAATACCAGTCTTACATAGTATTAAACGGCGTTACAGTTCTCTACAACTCTCCTCTTAAATTTCTCTCCTCTGTATTTCTATAATGTACAAATATATATAGAGTACTAAATGTCCCGTGAAAAATCAACCAAATATCGTGAGTGGATTCCGACGAAATTTATGACGTCTCCTCTCTCTCTCTCTCTCTCTCTTTCTGTCATGATGCTCTATAAATTGTCTATATAAATTGCGCAAGTCGCACACAATATACACATATTGTGATTCATTCTTGCTGTGTCCATTTTTTACTTTCTCCCTGTTTTTATAGTTTGATAGAAACCAGTTACCTACGTGTAAATAACAATTTACGAAACTCTTAATAATAATTGTAAAATATACGGGATAAGAGAAGGACTTTATTTTCGCGCGGATACTCGTAGACGTTAGTTACTCGGAGAGAAAAAGGGACGGAGTGGGGAAAGGGGTATATGTACCTATATATAATAAACATCAAATTATTCGCTATAGTTGAGCGTGTCGATTTCGGCATTTCGGATTTATTCGAAGAGAAATACCCTGCAACGGGACCGCAGTGTGCGCCCAATGTCAACGTTTCCTTAAAGCATAATTAACGTGGTGTCTAATAAAAAATAGAGAAGGCGTAATATGCTTCCGATCATTCTCACGTATTCGATACTGATATGATTTTCTCTTCCTATTGCCATAGATTGTATCTAACATAGGCAGGGGAAAACGTCATTTCATTTAGTGTCTTTAGACAACGACATGGAATCGTTGGGCGTGCTTTTCAGAGAAGCTGCTGCTACTGAAACTTCAGTTGATGACGGCTTCTCTTTTTCTATGGCGTCCGTCGTTAACAAATGCCTACATTCAAAAATTTCATCTTTCTTTACATTTTCAATTTTCTTTACGTTCTTGAAACTCCCACAATTAGCAATACAAATTTCCAACAAATTATATTCTAATCTCGATAAAATTAAATGTTGTATAAATACCTGTCATCTGGCAATTTGTTAGAATTGATATTCTCATCCACGGTAATCATCTTGTTCTCATCGCTTTCGCTGCTGCTGCTGCTGCTGAGATTAGTTTCCATAGCTGGTAAATCTTTCTTCTCACAAGTCTTTTCAATCACTTGACTACTTATACAGCCTCTGCTTTTTTCGTTTTCAAAACTTTCGCTAAAAGCTATATTCTTTTCTGTTAAGTCCACAGCCGTCGTTTCCGAAGTCTTCTTAAGCTCGTCGCACATAGTTTTGTTATCTCCGCTCGTGGTGTTTTCTATACTTAATGTATTTTCGAAATTTTCGAAATTGGCCCAACCAGTGGATTCCACTGGCTCTGATGACGCCACGTCCCACGGATTAACCGGTGGAAGTATGGTGGTGTTCATCGACTCGGTAGTATCCCAAGCTGAAATTTCGCGAAATTTGTTGTTAATTATTTCGATAAAATAATTAAACAATGCTTGAGAATAACAATTAATACAAAAATCTTTAGTAACATACGATCAGTCGTGTCGACCTCCATGTGGACGTCGCGCGGATCTTCATCATCCTCGTCCGACGAACTGGAGTCTTGATGCTGTTGCTTGGAGTGCCAATCCCGCTTGTCCACCACAGTTTGGAACGTGAGTTCGCCCTCGTCGCCCCATTCTAGGCCGCTGCCGCAGTCCTCAAGCCCGGCTTTTTGTTTTTGTTGGCACAACTTTATTACACAAAATTGATTTTCTCATTCAGTTTCGAATATTATACAATATATTTATTTGTGTTTTATTTGATAAATATTGTAGATATCTACCTTATTGAACATCTCCTCTCGCTTGTCGAGATCTTCTTCACTGAGAGTAAAGGCCAACGTTGTTAATTGGTCAACTGGATTACTATAATATTATATTTCTTAAAGAAAACAGTGGAGGAGAAATGATAATGACGATACTACGTCGCGCGCTCTTTACATGTGCGCTTTCTTGACTCCGGCAAGCCCTACGATTGCCCCCCACCCTAGTAGTGTTATCACTTTTTTAACGATGTGAGGACTATATTTTGTATGTATAAATACATATACTTACTGAAGCGCATCATCACCATCGTTAAACTCGTCATCGTGGAATCCGAAGTTTTCGATGAATGGAGGCGTAATTTGTTGACCCTGATAATTGGAGTACATCTAATACCAAAAATATCGCACGTTAAATAAAAAAAAATGTACTAGTTGGACTAATTTATATATCAATATATAGGTATTATTTGCGAACCTGTTGAACGTATATCTCTTGTGAATAAGGATTGAAGTCATCTGGATTTTCTTCAGAGCTCATCAGGTACATTGGAGTTCGATCGCCCTAAAAATCCCATTGTAATTAAAATTAGCTGTTATTTTAAATTCCTATAAATGTAATACATGTACTGGATCATGTAGAAAAAAAGGAAACAATAAATAAATAATATAGAATAATATTACATTATATATAAAATAATATTAATGATAAAGAATATATACAATATTAACATATACCATCATCACAGTTTGATGAACTTTATTAATCTCCACCAATTGTGTATTCACAAGATTTTCCCATTTACTAAGACACTCGGGTGACAAATTGTTCTTTAAAAAGCTGGCCAATATATTACTTTTCTCACATTGAGTAACAATATTGTTTGCAATATTTATTAAATGTCCCATATAGCCTTGACGAACACCATTTTCCTTGGTTCTATAATCAGATTGTGACTTTATATAATCCTAGAAATTTTTTGTATTATTTGGTAAAAATTACTATTTTTGGAAATCTTACTGTTTACTCTCATTTTTATCCCATGCTTCTAAGATCCTCTCTATTAATTTGCACTTGATAAATATCTGAAAATGTGATTGAGTTATTTAATGTTTTTCATGTAGTAAGAGATATGTAACTTACATTATTATAAATAATATCATTATCCCGATGTCCGCAATTAATAGCTAAGGCCAGGCACTGTTGTACTTGTGTATGTAGGAAATTATTCCATGTATATTTGAAAAACAGATCCTGTGACATTTAAAATACAAATAAGTAATAAAATAAAGGCGAAATAATAATAGTACTTGAAATGTGTACTTATAACATAGCACTTACAAATAATGTTTGGAATGTTCCCAAATTTGCTAAACTTTCATGGATCTTTAAATTTTCCGTCGATAATAATGCACTTAATAACTTTGCTACATGCAAACGAGTATTTCCCAATGGACATTCTAAAAGTCCAATGGTTGTTTTTACGGCAGGTTTCTGTGCAACAGAAATTTAGTAGTTCTTAAAATACAGTAAAAAACTATTCCATTAATAATAATAATGTCTCTACAAGCGTATATAATCTACACACATATACACACACACACATACGCGCGTGCGCACACATCATGCACGTCTATATATATTTTAAAAAATAAACAATATTTTTATATAGAAAAATGTGAAAAGCAGCTGTTACATATGGCGGATCCAGAAGAAGTTTGTGAAGATGTTCCAAATATGGTAAAATAGCATTAGAAATTTTAATACGTTGCTCATTATCTGCGACTTCATCGCCATTACCATGTATATCCCCCTCATTAGAAACACTGCAAAAAATTTAGATTATTATATATTGTACTTTATATTTATCTACAAAACGCAATTTCTTAATGTCGTAAAATATTCTCGTCATACTTGCTAGCTTTTTGACCTAAAAGTACCAAAAGCACTTGTATTCCACCAACGATACTAGTTTCTACCTTTTCTCCAGTAAGAATAGTTTCTAATAATAGGCTCACAGTTTCTCCTCTGTAACAGAACATTTATTGTTTGAATATTCAGACAAAACTTGTAATAATTAATTGTACATTTACAAGCATACTCACGATTCTAGAGTATTTAAAATAGGATCTGGATCAGTACGCTCTGTGGTTGTACGTTGATTTTCTCTGGCCACTGCCACCATATCGCAAAGTAATTGCGCTGCATTGGCATGTTTGGTTGATTCTGAAGTAGGTGCTAACAACTTTACCAATCTCTGCACTAAATGTTGACTATCTAACCACTATCAAACATATACGTACATGTAGAAAAGAATCTTAAAAATATCTAATGTTAAAGATATATATATTATCTAATATACTATTATAGTAATATACTAACAAATATAGTAATATATTAGTAAATATAGTAATATAATAGTATATGTATGATATAGTAATATAATGTTATGTAAGTATAGTAATATATTAGAATCTGTATAAAAAAATCTTACATTTAATATGTTTTGACGCATATCACTACCCTCGACCTGAGTAACAAGTTTCAATACTAGATCCATAATAGCAGAAGTCTCTAAGTGTTGCAACAATAAATCTACGCATCTCTGACGACTTTTAAGAAATTCTAAAACCTGTAAGCATGTGAACTGATAGGAATACCAATTCTGGAATAGATGGAAATATAGGATGGATAAGTATATGGATAACATAGGAGAGAGGCAAGAGAAAAAAAGTTTATTATTTAACTAATATATTATTTGCTAATAGCTTGAAATCAGTCTCATATTGACTTTCAATTTCAAAGAAAGTTATATATTGCGATTAAAAATATGTACAACTAATTCATCTTATTTAAATATATACTGTATAAATTTATATCTGTTTCTCTATATATAAAGAAAAAAAAAGTATATATATATATAGTTATATATACCTGATCACTTTTACGAGCAACAAGCACTCCGATAGTTTTGCTAAAAAATGACGCAAGTAATGGATTTAGAGGCTGATCAGTATCTATGAAAGAATATAATTTGGCCAAAAGTGCCTCGTCTCCTAAATAAAAGAGAATTTCAGAATGCATATTTATAAAATCTATATAATTTTCTAGATAAATACTAGCGAGTACTCTCTTATTCGTATAAAGAACAATAGAATATTTCTAGTACCTGCCAATTTCTCATTTAATGTAGGCACATCGCATGTGAGCAATTCGCAGGCGACGTTGGGATACTTGTAACGCCAACGTTCTTCAATATCCGTGGAGGGTTCTTTAGTAGCTAATGTCACCAACTCTTCCATAACGGCGGGCCTCGTAAGACTGTCAATCACATTCACGATCATTGCGACAATTTTTCTCATAACAAATAATAATCTATGCCTAAATGTGCCTGATGCAAACTTGAATCTGACGAAACCAATTAATATTTCCACTTACTACTCGACCAATTTTTTATTCTGACTCTTGCATTCCTGCAGAATATCCTCCTCGTCCATCAACTCGTGCAGTGTGACATCCTGCAACCGCGAATTTACAAGCGACATTAGACACCGATGACGATGACACTGAACGGAGGAGGGAGAGGTAGAGGGGAGGGGGAACAGGGGGGGAGAACTTTTTTCCACCCAGTGGAACGAAGGGGAAAAACGCTCGGGGGGGAAGAAAAAAATCACTTGCCTCCTTGTTGAGCAGTGCCTCTATATGCGGCGATGACACGTAATTATTCGTCCAGAACATGATGCGGCCGTTGGTTATATTGCCCGCGGCTCAATATTTATGGGGTAAAATTCGCGTCGCGATTTACCGAGAAGCTTGGCACGATCGCCCGACTCGCATCGGCGTGGCGCGTGGACGCGCGCACGAGGAACGTAGGATGTAACACGATGTCGTGCAAGCTCGTCGTACGGCCCGTCCAACGGCTAACATCGCACGTACGCGTATATCAGTTCCTGTCGATTCTCTTCCGTTGTGTCGCGCGCGCGAGTCACACACGGGCCGTGTCCCCTACCGCCTATCGTCGCTTCGCCACTACTCTACGAACCACCTCCTCGCGCCTCCTGGCCGCCACCACCTCTCCGGACGCCTCGTAGGTAGCTCGTCTCCGCGACTCTTGACTCGCGACCGAGGCTGCTAATGCTGCTGTTGCGAGACGATGCACGACGAAACATACGCGTAGCTCCAGTCTCCGGACTCGCTCCGAAATATGAAGCAACGTGAGACGAGCGCGGCTGGACGCTCTCGAGCGCGAGCAGGCGCGCATGCGCGAAACGAGAAGCGCGAAAATTCGAATCGTCCTCTTCCGTCTCGGAAGCAGCCTGCGTTTTGCCACCGACGAGATACTGGGAGCTTTTCAGCTACGACACAGAGCGACACAGCGTATCATTCTATCTTCTTTCAATATCAGTAAATAACAAAGATAGAATGATACTCTGTGTCGCTCTGTGTCGTTACTGGAAAGCTCCCACTATTAAAGACCGACAGTCTTATGGGACTTAGCGAAACCAGAAAAAAACGTGCAAAATGCTACTGTAACAAAATCTTTACATTGTCGATAATAAAATAACGATTTTATACATAATTTGTCATTTTTAAAACAGATATACAAAAGATTTATACATTTTCGATAATAAAACAATAGCAGAATGACCTAAAATACTCGTATGATTTAAATAACTCTTGTAACTGTCTTCAATGTAATCAAAACGGCCGAAAATATCATCAATATTCTATTATCTCCGGGTCCACCGGGCCCACTTGGTGGTTACGAAAATTTACCCAGGGCTGTCGGTCTTTAATAGTATCTCGTCAGTGCCTGCGTTTTGCGTATAAAATTCTCTCTTGGCTAGATTTAAAATGGAATAGTTATATTTAACGGAATAGTATTATATTTAATTTGTAATAGTTATATATATTATATTTATAATCGGAGGAAAAAGGAAAAAAGAAAAATGAGATGTGATTAAAGCGAACTGTTCTAAGTGCACTTTTTGCACTTTCTACATTTAACGAGACGTCTATCGTATTTCGATTCGAAAAGGGAAAAAATATTAAGTATGAAGGAAGTAACTGCAAAAAATAAATGTGCGCTATTTTACTTAATAAATAAAGTTTTAATAAGTATGATTGCAATGGGTACGAAATGTAAACACGGTGTAAGACAAATATTTTCACTCGATTGCCATCTCGATAACTTTGTGCGCCATGCTCGACTAGCCGTTCAACAGCGGCTTCAAGTACGGCTAGTTTTATTATTCTTTCGAGCCACGTCAAGACGTCAAATTTAAAAAAATGGCAAGTAGAAATTATTATCCTCTTTCTTTCTTAAAGACATAATCTCTTTTAATGGAGTTCTTATAAAAACAGAAGTAAGGTTAATACAAGTTGCATATAACCTAGAAGAATTAATTAAATAATCTTTACATTATGTGTCAAAAGAAACACGAATAAAAAAAAAAAGAAATAAAATAAATCAATTTTACGTGTTTTTTTTTTATATTTTATTCAATTTCAATTGTTTAATTTAGGTGGAAATCGAGTCAATGACGAGATATGTCTCGCCAGTGAATCCAGCTGTTTTTCCATTGCTGGCTGTAGTACTGTTAGGAATTGGAATATTCTTCACAGCTTGGTTCTTCGTATACGAAGTTACAAGCACTAAATTTACGCGGGACATATGCAAGGAGCTGTTAATATCCTTAGTTGCAGCGCTATTCTCTGGCTTTGGAGTATTATTTCTATTACTCTGGGTTGGCATTTACGTATAGCTATAGGTACTGTCAAGAAAGTCACAGTGGAAATATATATATGTTTGTTAGCACAAAATATAAAAGTTATGTCACGCTTTTCAATGTTTCCATTTCAGATTGTTAATTGACTGGAAATAATAAATAATGTGATGGAGTTTAAGTAAGTTTGAAAGAAATCTATTTGTAAGATCTTATCTCATTGCTGCAATTAAATAAATTGTGAATGTTTTTCGTGCATAAGTTTATTTGTTCTTTATCACAATGAAGGCATAAAAGTTTATAGAACAGGTACACAATTCTTTGCACCTTGGAAAAATAAAGGCTAGCGTTTTTTTTTCTCAAACGCGGGTCGCGAGCGTAATTAGTTTAATCATGCAATAATATATAATGGTAACATAGCCTTGTATGAAAAGAAATATTATCTATTCTCATATTTAAATGTGCAATATTTGCTGTATCTTCATTAAATATATGCATTTTCTTATATTTCTTTATGTAAAATGATTTGCCTTCCATTCTATTGAAAGCAGAAGAAGATGGGGCTTACCGCTGATTAAATAATCCTCCATATTCTTCAACACTGGCAAGAGTTGTAAATTATAGTTATTCCATCTTCATTATATAATAAGAGATATTTTATAACAAAACAGAATATATTGCAACACACTTTCTCTAGAACAAAGTGCAAGAGAGGCATTTTTCAACCAGCTAGACCAGCTTTTTGTCGACATCTTTGCATCAGCGCCCTTAACATAAATTGTCTGCGCGACAATTGTCGGACTTGCTTTAGGAATGCATCTAGATCTATGATGCCGGATCGTAATCCTTCAGCGAGATAGTAAATGGCATCTTCCGTGGCTGCTTCTTCGGCGAAAGCATTTAGCATCCTGGAAATGGAAAGAGTAATGTTACAATCAGCCATATTTTCATTAATTATTTCTTTGAAACTTAAACCTCTAAATTTTCAATTGCAGTTATCAGATCTAATCATGCTAAATAATTTTATTTTATTGTTCAATTTATACAAATACACTTACTGTTTATACAATGGTGCTATGGTAGTAACAGCTTCGTCAACATCTATAGACTGATTATCGGACAGTTTAGCAATCTCTTTCTCCAGTTCTGCTTCCTTATCTTGCAGGATATTTATGTTTTTTTCAAGTTCCTGCTTCTCTCTTCTGAGTTTCTCAAATAAGTCTGTCAAATGCGATGAGCCGCTTGTCAATTCTTGCTGCGTTCGTCGCAGTGTCTCAAGTTCCGCTTGTAACTGCGAGAATTGTTCCTTGAGTCGACGTCGGAGTTTATCTTCTACCGCGGATAGCAGAGATGCCCTTATATGTTCCTCTGTGATCGTACCAGAGCTACCGGAACTACCTGACTGTATTGTCGGTGACTTGCAAAAATTAATCATATCTTTAATCAATCTCATGTAATGAATTATTAGCTATTAGTTAGTCCATTCATACAATAATAATTGCAAACATTTAATATGAATTATCTAGTTATATAATAATTGCAAAAATATCTAATATGAATGATCTATTTATATAATAATAATTGCAAATACTTAATAATTATAAAAATTCCACATAGATAGATAAATGATAATAATTGAGATACCGGTTGTGTAGCTGGTGGATAAGATGGATACGGGCCATTGTAGCCTTGTGTCGGGTAGCTGGGAGTGGTTCCAGCATAAGAACCATAAGAACCTGGATATGCAAATCCTCCAGATGCTGTAGCCGGATAAGGTGGATATACATTGCTGCTACCAGAGTATTGAGAACTTGGTGGATATGGTGGAAAATTGGAATTTGATACATTTCCACTACCAGGTACAGGCATGAACGCTGTGGAAAAGATTTACATTGTAAGAGAAAGAGATATTACATTAAAATAAAAATTTGTGGTTATATATAAGTATATTTACGTTGAACAGGATATGGCGTAGAACTCTGTTGCACTTCTGATCTCGACTTGGCATAAACTGGAGGTTGCTCTCCAAAAGTGACAATCATAACTTGAATTAGAGCAAGCAAATCTGAATTGTGCTGTGAAACAAATAGAGTAGAATACATACACCATATAATTATACATTAGTAATCAATAAAATAAATCTACTTACAGGCACCCAATCATGAAGATATGGTAAATAGATTTTACCATTATGATCCACAAACATACTGACTTTAATATGCATATCTGCTGTTGGCTTAACATAGCACATAGGTGCATTGTTAGGATGCGTATCCATCAGCCATATGCAGATTGGAATATTGTAGCAAGTGCCTATATAAAAATAAGCAAACAGAGAAATAAAAAATATTTAATAGTTTTAATGTATAATTCATTTATTAGAGATTATTAAAAAAAGAAAACAAAAAAAATACCTTTATAAACAACAGGTATAGTTCCTTGTAAGTTGAGCAGCTCTTTGCGCGAGCCATCATTGAAGACTGAAATTGAACAGTAAATTTCAATAAATTGAGCTATAACAAAATATTACATATTCCAATCAATAGTTTAACTCACCAAAAGGTTCAATCTCAAAAACCAATCCTTTGTAAAGATTTAAGACACTCACTACATGTTTCTTTGTTATATCTGGATTTTGATACTGAAAGATAAGATCTCCTTTTATATTACAAACATTATTGCAATAACCATTATAAGATTATTATTGATAATAATTAAACATCAAAAGTTAGGTATTTGTTGATGGTCGTGAGTTTATATACCTTAGTCAAGCCTTGTCTGATCCTTCCCTCATCCAACGGTGTCATCTTCACCATTTAACCCAACTAAATCAAGATAGCGATGAGTCTCGTTAGTGTTATCAGATGATAAGAAATTACGTTTCTCGATTTACGTAATCGTAAACGATCTAATCAACACACGATCATCGAGTGTCGCGTTCTTGTTTGCGTTATCGTCAAGTGACGATAATTTCAAGCGCACAATAAGATCATCAAAAGCAGTCGCGAATTACACACTAATCTGTCATCCGAAATGTCATAATGGACAAATGGACAACTGTGGCACAGTATATACTATATACAGTAGTGCAACTCTTCCGATTTTGTGTTGGCCAAAATGGAGTGCGCGAAATGAAGGAGTTGAATAGTAACGCCATCTAAACTTCTCTCTTGCTTACTCTTTCGTTTTTCGTTCTCTCTCACCATTTAAATATTTAGTTTAAATGCCTACCTAAATATATCGCGTAATAAATGATTTTTACATGTGTGTAATAATTTAAGGCCTTTGATATACAAAAATTTTAGTCGTAACCGTAAGATAGTAAGAAAACTGACCAATCACAGTTGATTATTCTTTTATCGCAGAAAGAATACTCGACTATGATTTGTCAGTTTTCTTACGACCTTACGGTTACGACTAAAATTTTTGTACGTGCAAAGGCCTTTATAGATGTAAGTTTACAATATTGTAAGTTTTGTTATTATATATATATATATATATATATATATATAATAAATTAAATAGATATAGATGTAATAGATATAGATAGCATTAAATATTTATAATAGATTTAATGTCATAATATTATTACTAATATACTAATATACTTTATTACAGACAATTATTTTATATAAATAACTTTGTGTATCTTATATATATACATATATATATATATGTGTGTGTATAAGATACATAAAGTTATTTATATAAAATAATTGTCTGACCTAAGGCCGGGTCTACAATAGGTAATTTAAGCCTTAGGAGATTGACCAATCACAGTCAAGTATAAAGAGAATATTCGACTGTGATTGGTCAATTTCTTAAGGCTTAGAGCTTAAATTACCTATAATATATGTATATAATATACGTAACGTGAACTATAGATTTTCAGCGCTGGCAGTGAATTTTGGAACATGCTTATATATAATAATATATATATATTACAGATTATCAAGCTCAAAAATGTTCATAATGAAATTCTTGTTTGTTCAATTTTTATCTCAACAATACACGAACAAAATATAAAAAAGTGCCATTGAGCATTTTAATATTGGAATATGTTTACATTTTTTGGCAAATCGTTCGCACGAAAAGAGATATAAGTATTCTCAGAAAATATATTATCTCCTGACGTAAAGCGATAAATATAGTTATCAGGCCATTAATTTCATGTTGAATTATCAGATGCGCCTTTATATTTTATATATACATATATGTATATATTGCCTTCAAAATTAAGATTGATGGTTTCACTAATATTGTGTTTTATATACGTGATATATATTTGTCAATAAAAAATTATGCACTAATAAATTCAAATTATTTCAACATCCGTGTATAATACATATATTGAAAGAATTTGTCAAAATATTATCTATTAAATTCAAATTAATTTTTCTTCTTGAAGCCTCTTGTAATTTTATGTTTAAATATTTTTCGAATTTTTTAAGATTACTTTTTAAGATTCTATCAAGTTCCTCTTGTCTTTCTTTCGGAAAGAAAAAATCTCCATTTTTATTATCGTCAGTATTATTTTATACATTTTTTAGCACCTAATATACTCGTATACATATATATATATATATATATATATATATATATATATATATATATATATATATATATATGGTGGATACGAAAAAATTAACCCAATGTCCGAATAGCAGGTTATGTTGGAAACGAGTATCCAACGCGCGATTGTTGCTTCTTGTCTTTAAAGAATTTGGAGAACATCCGGATGTAATCAAAGTATATATTGCATATTTCACTCAACATATATTCTAGGAAGTCTCTTGATCAAGAATATCAAATTTCAGCTCAACAACGTGGCAATGTCGTCGAAACGCGCATATGTCAGTTGCGACCTCGAGGAAGGCTAGATCAGGAAGACGTTTCATCGGTCTTGCTGAGCAACCAACGTGTCATATGCTGTAATTACGAGTTTCGTTCAAGAATTTTTTAGTATTTCTACCTCCTTTTTAGTAACTTTATCTTCCCTTTATCCTCGAGATATTATTCTGTCATTTTTAAAAAGGCAAATCAGGGTCTCAGCGAATCAACGACTTCCTTGAGATCGACCCGAGAAATACCATTTTTTTGTTTATCTTGACGATAGCGAAATAAATTATCATGTGTGCTGATAAATTTAATATTTATCAGCACATATGATAATTATTATACGTTTAATATTTATCAGCACACATAATAATTATTACTGATAATATTATCAATAGAAACTTTTTCAAGCAATTTATCAATCAGCTATTTAATAATTAGACAAATTGTAAGACTGCAATTGTTATGATTTTTAACTGTTGGATTAATGCATAATAATGTATTATAATTACATGTCTATAATCATAATTGATTTGTTATAAAAATTTAAATTTTCTATATTCAGGAAAATATTAAAAATTATTAATAAAATTATTAATAAAAATTATTTTTTTCTCTAACTTAATTTTCATCTTTATAACTTCTTAATAAAATCTCTATTGTTAGAAAACTTGCTTTGAGAAATTAGAATCAGACAATATCTATAAGTTGACGATCTTGTATAGCTTTATCATACATTGTTTATCTAGACAATAAATTTCTGTATTATGTTAACTTAGGTGCAGAACAATAATCATTAATCAATCTTTATTTTTTATTACAGGTATTTTCAATTGATAAATGACTGTGACTTCCACAAGATACTTCTCTTTCTACTTCCTGAAATTATGAATGCAATCATGTAGAATCTAGAGTCAGACAAGAGGAAGATGACGCCGCATTTTACAGCTTTGACTTCAGTGCGGAAGCGATGCTTGATTGTACTCTTATTAGTCCTGGTACCATGTGCGATTTTGAATCTACTGATGCCTTCAGACATGCATGAAGAAGCTATATTGCAGAATAGCATTGCCGAATTACAAGCTAAGCTGGAGCATTTGCATGCCAAGTATATTGGTAGTCAGGAGGAAATAAATCTGTTATCGCATCAACTACTACAGCTGATTGAAAACAATCACATCCTGCCAGATTTGCAACTGCTCATCAATAATGGCACCTCTAATATTACCAGCATCAAATTGCCTTCAATTTACAACTTTCTACCACATTTTCTGAATGATCCAAATAGCTTGCGTCCTGCATTTGTGCAGAGCAAAGGTAGATCAGGTGTAAGTATAGTGTTGGGTGTACCAACAGTAAAGCGTGAGGTTCAGTCTTATCTTATGGCGACTTTGAAAAACCTGTTGGATCGCATGAACGCCTCGGAAACTGCGGACACGCTGATCATCGTTTTAGTGGCTGAAGTAAGTAAAATTATTGATTATGAAATAATCTATTAATTCCATTTGCATATTGTGGAATTTAATTAACATACATTTCATAACAATATACATTTTCTTTGCAGACAGACATGGATTATGTAACATATGTTGCAAAGCAAATTGAAGTCCAGTAAGTTTATGCGATTGAATTTTCATTTTGTTTCATCTTATTTTTTCAACTTCCAAATGAATACAATCCTTTTTATAATGTTTTCTCTCGCATTTCATTTTAGATTTCCAAGCGAATGTGAAGCTGGCGTTATTGATGTAATATCGCCATCATCATCTTTTTATCCAGATTTGTCAAAATTGCGGGATACTCTCGGCGACGATCATCAACGTGTCGTATGGCGATCCAAACAGAATCTGGACTTTGCCTTTCTCATGTCCTATGCTCAGACTAAAGGCACGTTTTATGTGCAACTAGAGGATGATATTTGGGCCAAGAAAAACTTTATAACTACTATGAAAACCTTTGCATTGCAGAAGATTGGTACAAAGGAGAATTGGTTTGTCCTTGATTTCTGTCAGCTCGGATTTATTGGTATGGCATATATATTTTATATAGCAATAATAAATATGTCACATAGATATTACAAATTATATTAATACAGGAAAACTGTTCAAATGTGTGGAATTGCCTTGGCTGATTCAATTCTTTTTAATGTTTCACAATGACAAGCCTGTTGATTGGTTGTTGGATCATTTGATATCGACCAAGGTCTGCAGTCTTGATAAAGATAGTGTAAGTATAAATAATCAAAAAGGAGAGCTAATAAAATAATCTAATCATTCAAAGAAATCTTGTTTCTTTTTTACAGAAACACTGTAAAATGGCTAAAGCAGAATTATGGGTGCATTATAAGCCTTCTCTTTTTCAACACATAGGAACACATTCCTCTTTAAAGGGCAAAGTACAGAAACTCAAAGTAATATTGAATATTTCTATTTTTGACAAAGATTTGAAAAAGATACAATTACGATGGACCAAATTATAATTGTCGCGAATTTATATTTATTTAGGACAAGCAATTTGGAAAGATAACGCTGTTTTACGCTCACGAGAATCCCGAGGCGACTGTAGAAACTCAAATTAAACCTTACAAACAATATACATTGCAAAAAGCATACAAGGGTGAATCATTCTTCTGGGGTCTACTGCCACAGCCAGGAGATCACTTAAAGTTTAAATTTTCACATCCTATTTTTATAAAAAAGTAAGTTAATAAGACAAATGATTTAGATTTTTTTATTTTGGATGTGAAATCTCACAATTATTATATTATTTTATATGCAGGTACTTATTTAGGAGTGGAAATCCTGAACATCCATCTGATAGATTTTATAATACGACAGTGGAAGTATTGTCCGAGATGTCTTCATTGTTGGATAGGAACAGTAATGATGTGACAGAGGATGGTTATGTTATTATAGGTAACAAAAGAAATCCTATATGTATTTTGTAATAAATTTTTGCATAAATTTTATTTAACAATAGAATTTTTTTAAGAGTTATTAAATAACAGATTATTGTAAATTAGGTAAATTTGATGTACTTGGTATTGCTGAAGGGACTGTGGATCGAAGATTGGGTAGAATATCAGTGCTTCGTTTAACTATACACAGTGAAAGCGAAAACTGGGCCATTCTGTCCGAGGTAAAAATTCCCGGTGTTTTATCTTATAATATTAAATTTTAATATTAATTCTTATTGTAAGAAAATAATTTTTTTAATTAGATTCATATAGTAGAGGATCAACCTAGCTGACTGAGGGGTGAGAATTCTCGAGCGTTCTTTCAATACCATCTGTACGGTTAGCGTAAGCGACTGGTTTTATAACATTTATTATTTTTACATTTTCTATTCCGCTATCACACATGTTATATATTGAGTGGAGCAATATAGCAGTTATTAGTTCAATACCGTCCATTACACAAGAGATGTGTGTGTGCGTATGTTTTCAACTATTAAATGAAGCAAATTTTTCTATTGGTCCAGTATTTTGTACAGGTTTTTTTTTTTTTTTTTTAAGTTTATAGTATATGATTGTGTGTGCTAAAGAACACAAAAATTCGAGTGGTAATATATAACGATTTCCCTTTTGATATTTATACATTTAGTTTAATGAATGAATATAATGGCACGTTGTTAAATCTCTTAGATCAATTTTAGCATCAGTGTGTTTCATGTGTGTTTTCTGTATAAGATTGTGTCTTAATTTTTGAATTAATCGTGTCTCAATTATTTAACCGAAACTGTACCTGCATTTACGTGTTTTTGATTCATTGTTGATATTCGCGTGTAGAAATCCTTTGCGTACAAGGTTCAGGGATCACATTTAGGTAAATGTGACTGTTTACACTGAAAAGATGATACTTAGACTGGAAAGCGCAAAATATAATACTAGATTAAAGTGTGCAAGCGCTGGATATATGATAAAAGACAAGATATATAATTATATTTAAAAAAAGGCAAACTTTATAAAGCGAGACATACTTACTTACATATAATCCACGCGACTATGTGTATTCTGTATACACAAATCTGTAATTTATTGTCAAACGACGTGTTAACGTCGATTCAAACGTTTGTTAATGTTTGACAAACGGTGATATTAAGACTATATTCTTCTAATATATGTACAATTATTTATTTCGCGTACCTTTCTTTATATACGTATATATATGTATGTATACACACACAGATATGTATACATATATATACATACACATGTGTATACATACATATACGTATATATTCCTATACATGATAATAATAAAAATATATTTTTGTGACAAAAAATGTCTTTGTATTGACGTTGTGTTAACTTCTATCTTGCAGTCTAAAAAAATGTAAAAGAAATTTTTGATTGAAAATATAAAAGTAATCCTGTTATGTTACGACTTCGAATAGAGTGAAATTGAAGCTGGACGAGGATTAGATAAATAGATGCCGTCCCAGAAAATTACAAACATCTTAATTACGTTCTCTCAGGGAAATTAATACTCTATATGGTTTGGGACCGGCCGTGATACCCTCTACGAAATCTTGTGTGGATGGTCGCGGCTCACCGGGAACCACGGAGAAGCTGAACGCCTGCAGCAGAGTGGCCGTTATCACAAAAATGTTGCTTCTAGCTAACATCTCCCCCATGCAACGACGTTTGCCTTTGTAAGATGCAAATTATGTTACATATTTGATTACTAATGTGTTATATAAACATAATAGTGCAAGGAAGATAATGAGACATACATACCGAGGCTAAAGGGAAAATATTTTTTTGGCGTAACGACGTTGCCGTTACTGTCGAGGAATCTTTCCGGGCAAAAATCTTCCGGATCAATCCAAGACTCGTCCATAAGCACTCTATTGAAATTCACAACGAGCATCGTGTCCTAGAAGAGATAATAATTATTTATTTTCACTTTTATCAACTTGCAAAGTTCGTTAAGTTTTTTATCTAACGATTTGATATTTTCATATTTTGTGATTACTTTTGGTATCTTATGGCCCACAATAGTAGTATCTTTCAATGCTCTATGCGGAATGTTCAAAGCACGACCCATGAATATTCTTATAGATTCCAAGACAATAGCTTGGACATATGGCATTCTGAAAAACAAGGATCGATACTTTATACGAGTGAAAGAATTTTTATGAATTTAGTTTCGTGCGCAAAATTAATATTCTCGCGCATTTACATGTGAAAGTAATCAACCATGATTTACCTTGGCTTGTCGGCTAACGTGGGAAATCTATCGCGACCAACAACTCTATCTATTTCTTCATGTGCCTTTCTTTGAACCTGCGGAAACAGTATCAAGTACAAGAATCCAAAATTAAGTGCTTTCGAAGTTGTTTCTGAGCCTGCCATGAAGAGATCGACACAAATCGCCAACAATTGTGATTCTGAAAAATTTATTTTCTCTTATTATATGAAATCATTCTTACAGTAATAATAATGTTATGTCTTATGGAACCATATACATCTAAATACCTGAGAACGTATCGCTGCAATCTTTTGAATTCAGTACAGTCAGATAGACATCCATCAAATCCCGCGGCGCGCTTGATACGAATGTATTTTTATGATTATGCAATTCCTCCTGTGAAAAAGGATTCTTCAACAATCAAAAGTAATCTTCAGCAAGTTATCTTCAAGTATCGAGACACTTGTTCCTAAAACAATCTAATGATATATTAATACATGATAATAATAATATTCGCTCACTTTCAGGAATGCCCACAATTCTTGATGCATTTGTATAAATGATTTGTAGCCGGACATTTTTGGTGCGATAAAGCGTAACGCTGGGAAATGGCTGAAAAGTGCGCCCATCATGTCGACTTCTGACAGGAGTTTCGTGAGGATTCGCTGTAGATACGTAAGTTTCTTGTCGCCAGTATCATATCTGCGAAAATCAAACATTGACATTAAAAATCCTTTTTCTTTAGGCTTTTTAGATTCATTCAAAAGAACAGAAACAACAAGAGTAATTGATACGGACCTTTTACCAGCCATCATCTTCCAAAGAGTATTTAATACGGTCACTCCGAAAGCGTCATGCATAGATATAATCATTCCCGCCGATTGAGAGACTTTTCTGACTTCCGCATAGTCTTCGGCTTTCATGTATAGATCCGCTACTGTCCGAGTCTTATGATTGGAGATCTTATTCTCGATTATATTGTCCTCGTTACACAACTTTGACTTATTTAGATTGTTCTTAGAATCTTTCTGCAGCTTATATATTTGTCCTGTATTATTGTTGTTTATCGATTTTTTTACGTCAGTGATCTCGTGATTATAACCGTCTCGAAGCAGTTTCTTGAAATGTTCTACTAGCTTTAATGCCTCTTCTTCGATGATCGTGGCCATGCTAGTACGACCGAAGCCAAATTCCTTCAGGTGTCGCAAAACGAATCGTCGTTGTTCCACCCACAATCGTTCATCCACGACGACGAGACCTGAAATATTGTTATTTAATTATTTTTCGACGTTCGAGGAAATGTTTCATCTTTTTTTCCAGATAATTATTTCAGATGATTACCACGTCTAGCGCCCCAAGTTCTGGCTTCATAAAAGGGTCCGATCGGTCTGCCATCGCAGTCTTCGTTATTCAGCATCGCTCGTATGCTCACCAGGTCGTTTAGGACGACAATGCGGTCTTTGCCGATTTTTAGACCAACCACTGGACCGTACTTTTTGCAGAGAGTTGAGCAGGTCTTGAAGAGATACCCGGTTTCCTGACGGATGCGCGCCAATTCCAGCACACAGCCCAGAATAGGCCACCATCTTGGACCTGATGATGATGAAGAATGTTAGTCATAATTCAAGAAAAGAAATTGCTTAAAAAAGATATTCATTTACCTGGTGGGTATCCTTTTGGTTTGTAGCAGCCTAGATATAGCAACAGCAGTATCAGTACTAGTAATAACGTTGCCGTGACGAGCATTTTATAAATTTAATCTACAACATATCAATAAAACAATATTTAAAATAGTGTATTAAAAATATTTAAAGATGTAAATTAGAAAAATATAGATAAAACTATATATCCAAAAAAATATATCCGATAATAAATAATAAGAATTTTTGAATTCGTAAGAAATATGAATTCCATAGAGAGAGTTATATGTTTCTGTCTAATTTCTTTTAGCTTGTTTAGATATTAAGTTCATGCAATCGGTATTTGCGGCTGGATATTCGCTCACGTATGCATCCAATGTACATATATGACAAACATTAAACGAGCTTGGAAAGAAAGTGAAACACTTGTGGTGCTCTCATGAGAGAGAGTTGCATATGGAAGAATCGGCGCGTTACTTGCACAAATGCACCGTCACTCGCATTATCCCATAACTGATTGCGTAATTGATGTACGTTTAACAGCATTTCATTACGACGTGCGCAAGGTAGTTCTTCGTGGTTCGCTTTCAAATTCCCCGGTCTCGATCATGTCTGCTTTGGAATTTGTCGATGCACTCGGAATAGCATTATCACGCATGATTGATCGATTCGAAATATAATTATTGCAAGAATCTATGCATGTATGTTTAAATTTAATTATTTGACATTTGATTTGGAAATTACGCAAAAAATATATCCAAAAATTTTCAGTTTCTTTTATTAACTGAAATATAAATTACACAGATATTACGTTTTTTTATGATGGCACACTTTATAAAAAATATATATAAATATATATATATATATATATATATATATATATATATATTACTATAAACTTTAGAAAAACATGTAAAATTTTTTTGAACAATACCGACATTTTTAAGCCATAATGTAGAAAATTGTCTATGGCTTGAGATGCAATAACGAAATTTAATATACAATGATTAATTTTACATTCACTTGCATAATTTAAAAATTATAAAAGTGAATGTAAAATTAATCATTGAATATTAAATTTTCATTATTAAATTTCATTATTGATTATTCTAAATGTTCGATTATTTCATTATTAAGCAAATAAAGGAAAGCACGTTACATCGTCTTGTTCAAGCACATCGCGAAGTGAAAGACTTCTCACCGTAAGAGGAGTCGATTGCATTTTCTTTTTCTCGAATCCTTGAATTTATCTTACCTTGCACCTGGAGAAATTTTCTCGTCCGTTGTATAAGCGAAACTGGCCGTGGACCAGCGTACGGTCCGCTTTTAAAAGCCCCACTTTGTCCCATACGTTTCTCTAATGTGTAAATATAAAAATATAATAGGTGGGTTTCTAAGTGGGTATTTAATTAACTTTATCCGGCTCAAACGGGGAAATGGCAAATTTCGAAAAGATTCTAATACATGACAAGATCTCGATACAAAATTTAAATATGATTGCAAGATATGTTATTTTTTTTAAGATAATTGAAATCTCAACATAAAAAGAGAAGATACATTAGAGAATATTAAAAATCATTTGCGACAACTCGACAAATGGTCCAGTATTTTGTACAAGTTTTTTTAAAGTTTATAGTATATGATTGTGTGTGCTAAAGAACACAAAAATTCGAGTGGTAATATATAACGATTTCCCTTTTGATATTTATACATTTAGTTTAATGAATGAATATAATGGCACGTTATTAAATCTCTTAGATCAATTTTAGCATCAGTGTGTTTTATGTGTATTTTCTGTATAAGATTGTGTCTTAATTTTTAAATTAATCGTGTCTCAGTTATTTAACCGAAACTGTACCTGCATTTACGTGTTTTTGATTCATTGTTGATATTCGCGTGTAGAAATCCTTTGCGTACAAGGTTCAGGGCTCACATTTAGGTAAATGCGACTGTTTACACTAAGAAGATGATACTTAGACTGGGAAGCGCAAAATATAATACTAGATTAAAGTGTGCAAGCGCTGGATATATGATAAAAGACAAGATATATAATTATATTTAAAAAAAAGGCAAACTTTATAAAGCAAGACATACTTACCTATATATAATCCACGCGACGTATGTGTATTCTGTATACACATACGTCAAATCTGTAATTTATTGTCAAACGACATGTTAACGTCGGTTCAAACGTTTGTTAATGTTTGACAAACGGTGATATTAAGACTATATTCTTCTAATATATGTCCAATTATTTATTTCGCATACCTTTCTTTATATACGCATATATATATATATATATATATATATATATATATATATGTATACACAGATATGTACATACACATATATACATATATATATACATACACATGTGTATACATATACGTATATATTCCTATACATAATAATAATAAAAATATATTTTTGTGACAAAAAATGTCACTTTGTATTGACGTTGTGTTAACTTCTATCCTGCAGTCTAAAAAAATGTAAAAGAAATTTTAGACTGAAAATATAAAAGTAATCCTGTTATGTTACAACTTCGAATAGAGTGAAATTGAAGTTGGACGAAGATTAGATAAATAGATGCCGTTCCAGAAAATTACTAACATCTTAATTACGTTCTCTCAGGGAAACTAATGCTCTATATGGTTTGGGACCGGCCGTGATACCCTTTACGAAATCTTGTGTGGATGGTCGCGGCTCACCGGGAACCACGGAGAAGTTGAACGCTTGCAGCAGAGTGGCCGTTATCACAAAAATGTTGCTTTTAGCTAACATCTCTCCCATGCAACGATGTTTGCCTGTAAGATGCAAATTATGTTACATATTTGATTATTAATGTGCTATATAAACATAAGTGCAAGGAAGAGATGAGACATACATACCGAGGCTAAAGGGAAAATATTTTTTTGGCGTAACGACGTTGCCGCTACTGTCGAGGAATCTTTCCGGGCAAAAATCTTCCGGATCAATCCAAGACTCGTCCATAAGCACTGTATTGAAATTCGCAACGAGCATCGTGTCCTAGAAGAGATAATTATTTATTTTCACTTTTATCAATTTGCAAAGTGTGTTAAGTCTTTTGTCTAACGATTTGATATTTTCATATTTTGTGATTACTTTTGGTATCTTATGGCCCACAATAGTAGTATCTTTCAATGCTCTATGCGGAACGTTCAAAGTACGACCCATGAATATTCTTATAGATTCCAAGACAATAGCTTGGACATATGGCATTCTGAAAAACAAGGATCAGATTCTTTATACGAGTGAAAGAATTTTTAAGAATTTATTTTCGTGCGCAAAATTAATATTCTCGCGCATTTACATGTGAAAGTAATCAACCATGATTTACCTTGGTTTGTCGGCCAACGTGGGAAATCTATCGCGACCAACAACTCTATCTATTTCTTCATGTGCCTTTCTTTGAACCTGCGGAAACAGTATCAAGTACAAGAATCCAAAACTAAGTGCTTTCGAAGTTGTCTCTGAGCCTGCTATGAAGAGATCGACACAGATCGCCAACAATTGTGATTCTGAAAAATTTATTTTCTCTTATTATATGAAATCATTCTTACAGTAATAATAATGTTATGTCTTATGAAACCGTATACATCTAAATACCTGAGAATGTATCGCTGCAATCTTTTGAATTCAGTACAGTCAGATAGACATCCATCAAATCCCGCGGCGCGCTTGATACGAATGTATTTTTATGATTATGCAATTCCTCCTGTGAAAAAGGATTCTTCAACAGTCAAAAGTAATCTTCAGCAAGTTATCTTCAAGAATCGAGACACTTGTTCGTAACAATCTAATTATATACTGATACACGATAATAATAATATTCGCTCACTTTCAGGAATGCCCACAATTCTTGATGCATTTGTATAAATGAATTGTAGCCGGACATTTCTGGTGCGATGAAGCGTAACGCCGGGAAATGGCTGAAAAGTGCACCTATCATCTCGACTTCTGACAGGAGTTTCGCGAGGATTCGCTGTAGATACGTAAGTTCCTTGTCGCCAGTATCATATCTGCGAAAATCGAACATTGACATTAAAAATTTTTTTTCTTTAGACTTTAGACTCTTTAGATTCACAAAAGGACAGAAACAACAAGAGTAATTGATACGGACCTTTTACCAGCCATCATCTTCCAAAGAGTATTTAATACGGTCACTCCGAAAGCGTCATGCATAGATATAATCATTCCCGCCGATTGAGAGACTTTTCTGACTTCCGCATAGTCTTCGGCTTTCATATATAGATCCGCTACTGTTCGAGTCTTATGATGATTGGAGACTTTATTCTCGATTATATTGACCTCGTTACACGACTTTGACTTGTTTAGATTGTTCTTAGAATCTTTCTGCAGCTTATATATTTGTCCGATATTATTATTGTTTATCGTTTTTTTTTCAGTGATCTCGTGATTATAACCGTCTCGAAGCAGCTTCTTAAAATGTTCTACTAGCTTTGATGCTTCGTCTTCGATGATCATGGCCATGCTAGTACGACCGAAGCCAAATTCCTTTAGGTGTCGCAAAACGAATCGTCGTTGTTCCACCCACAATCGTTCATCCACGACGATGAGACCTGAAATATTGTTATTTAATTATTTTTCGACATTCAAAGAAGTATTTCATCTTTTTTTTCCAGATAATTACCAAGTCTAGCGCCCCAAGTTCTGGCTTTATAAAAGGCTCCGATCGGTCTGCCATCGCAGTCTTCGTTATTCAGCATCGCTTGTATGCTCTCCAGATCGTTTAGAACGACAATGCGGTCTTTGCCGATCTTTAGACCAACCACTGGACCGTACTTTTTGCAGAGCGTTGAGCAGGTCTTGACGAGATATTTGGTTTCCTGACGTAAACGCGCCACTTCCAGCGCACAGCCCAAAATCGGCCACCATCTTGGACCTGATGATGATAAAGAATGTTAGTCATAATTCAAAAGAAATTGCTTAGAGAAGGAACCTTCGTTTACCTGGTGGGTATCCTTTTGGTTTGTGGCAGCCTAGATATAGCAACAGCAGTATCAGTACTATCAATAACATTGCCGTGACGAGCATTTTATAAATTTAATCTACAACACATTATTAAAAAAATATTTAAAATAGTGTATTAAAAATATTTAAATGTGTAAATTAGAAAAATATAAATAAAACTATATATCCAAAAAAATATATCCTGCAATAAATAATAGGAATTTTTGAATTTGTAAGAAATATGAATTCCACAGAGAGAGTTATATGTTTCTGTCTAATTTTTTTAGCTTGTTTAGATTATAAGCTTAGATATTAAGTTCATGCAATCGGTATTTGCGGCTGGATATTCGCTCACGTATGCATCCAATGTACATATATTACAAATATTAAACGAGTCTTGGAAAGAAAGTGAAACACTTGTGGTGGTTCTCTCATGAGAGAAAGTTGCATACGGAAGAACCGGCGCGTTACTTGCACAAATGCACCGTCACTCGCATTCCATAATTGATTGCGTAATTGATGTACATTTAACAACATTTCATTACGACGTGCACAAGGTAGTTCTTCGTGGTCGCTTTCGAATTGCCCGGTCTCGATCCTGTCTACTTTAGGAATTCATCGATGCACTCGGAATAGTATTATTGTGCATGATTGATCGATTCGAAATATAATTATTGCGAGAATCTATGCATGTATGTTTTAATTTAATTATTTGGCATTTGATTTGGAAATTACGCAAAAAATATATCCAAAAATTTCCGGTTTCTTTTATTAACTGAAATATAAATTGCACAGATATTATGTTTTCTTTATGATGGCACACTTTATAAAAAACATATATAAATATATACACGGTGTCTCAAAACTCATAATGATTCTTTCAAAGACAGATTCCTGGGAGCATTTGGATATGATTTTTCCGCAACGAAAATGTCGACGAAGGCCATTATTTTTTGCATGTTTCCGATTTTTGTCATGATATATCTTTGCAATTAAGCTCTAAATTAAAACTCAACTAAAGTAAACTCTATTTAATATTAATCGAAGAATGTGGTTTTGTTAATATTTTATTTCTACAAAGCTTAGTGTACGAAAAACCCCTTATTTCTAATCACTTATAATTCGAAAATTATTAATGCTTCGATATTTTCGTTGAGGAAAAATCGTTTTCAGATGATCCCAAGAATGTGTCTTTGAAAGATTCATTTTGAGACACTCTGTATATTATTATAAACTTTAGAAGAAAAATGTAAAATTTTTTTAAACAATACCGACATTTTTAAATCAATGTAGAAAATTGCCTATGGCTTGAGATGCAATGACGAAATTTAATATACAAGGTTTAATTTTACATTCATTTTTATAATTTTTAGACTATTAAATTTTATTATTGATTATTCTAAATGAGTGATTATTTTTCATGTATCAAGCAAATAAAGGAAAGCGTTACACGTTACATCGTTTCGTTCGAGCATATCGCGAAAAAAAAGACTTGTCACTGCGAGAAGAGTTGGCCGCACTTTCTTTTTCTCGAATTCTTAAATTTATCGTACCTTGGACCTGGAGAAATTTGTTCATCCGTTGTATATATAAGCGGGACTGGCTGTGGACCAGCGTACGGTTCGTTTTTAAACGAAATTCTCCCTCTTTGTCCCATACGTTTCTCCGATGTGTAAATGGAAACATAATATTTAAGTAGGTCATTAATTCACTTTATCCGGCTCAAACGGGGAAATAGCAAATTTCGGAAAGATTCTGATATATGACAAAATCTTGATAGGAAATTTAATAATTGCAAATATATGCTATTATTTTTAAGATAATATGAAATCTCGACATAACAAGAGAAAATGCATTAGAAATCGTTTGCGGCAACTCGTCAAGTGCTTTAAAGATTAATAACTGTACGGGAATTTTATTTATACAGAGAAGACGAATTTGATATTGAATTTTACAACATATATAATTTATTTCTTTTTTCAGCAGACATTCTGTTACGTGCATTCTGTTATGTTATCTATAGAATATTTGCGAGTTTTAATATTTTAAATCTTTAGATGATAAAATGTAAACAAATAGATGTATATATATAAAAACATATATATATATTTAAATTTATATTTATATATATAGGGTGTTTTTTAATAAGTGCGAAAAATTTTAGGAGATGATTCTTTGTCGAAACTTAAGGGAGATTTTTCCCATAAACATATACTCCTACATCTAAGGGTTTCTAGTTTCATCTCCTTATAACAATACGGAAGGCTAAAAGAAATATTAGTAAATAACTTTTTTATTAGTAGAAAATATCCATCTAATTTCATTTTTTTGTTTCAAATTTGGAAAAAAAATAAAAATCTAGTTTTACCCCTATTTTTGGAGAAGTGTAACTCCACAAGAAAGGATGTAGGAGTATATGTTTATATGAAAAATCCCCTTTAATTTTTGACAAAGAATCATCTCCTAAAATTTTTCACACTTATTAAAAAGTACCCTGTATATTGTGTATATATACATACACATATATATACATCAGATTTATGATTACCATAGTATTTATATATACGTGCACACATATAATGTACATAGTAAAAAGACTAAGTTCATTAAGCATTAAAGATCGATATCGATTAGAATATATGAAAATTAATAATTTAATAAAACATGATTTTATATTCATTCCATTAATAATTTTTCAGATATTGGAAAACATACACATATACGACATCAATTAGGAAAAAATGTGCGTTGCTTATTTTAGCATATTATAATTCAATCAGATTTAAAAGAAAAATCTTTATGTATGTGATAAAAGAGATGAAAACAAATTATATTGAATAAAACTTTATTTTCTTATTTTACAGTGGTAGTCGTTTCATTAGGTATGCCATTTTCTTCTAGATTCTCTGGCTGTTGTTCGTAATGTAATGGTAATTTATCGCCCCATTTACTGCTTCTTGCGCAACGATACATATTCCTGGCAATAAAACACTCGTGTAATTGTTGTATAAATTCGAATATTGAGTTTTAATATTGGTACATACTTTCCATGTTTATAACTTGTAAATATTTCTTCTTTCAGCTCACCATTAGCGAGGCACATGCGACAGACCACGTGTTTGGAACGTTTTAGCACTGGTTGCACGATCTTTGGCCACTGTTCGTCATCTTCGGGACGTTTATCTATAAAAATCTCAATCAAAAATTTTGCATTTGTAGGAAAGATATTGTGTAATATCTCAATGAAACCCTTGCAATTTTTAATGAATTGATTATCTTTGATTATCTTTGATAATCAATTCATTAGAAATTGCAAGAGTTTGAACTGTTATTTAAATGATTCAAATAACAGTTTGTACTTTTGTTATATACCTTTCTTTAACACAACATAGGAATATAGTTGCGTTTTGTGTTCCCGTCCACCCAGAAATTGCAATGGATGATACAAAACACTAAAGTTGCATAGAATATTGTCTGTGGCAAATCGCGGGCACTTCAAATCATGTGGACACTAAAAAATATATATAACTGATGCGCACTGTGATCGAAATTGTCTATATCTTTACTCTAATGTCTATATTTATCTAATCAATACTCACAGGGGAAAAAATGTGAACAAATTGTCGCTCTTTTCTATATTTTGAGTTTACATATCTGAGGATGAAATCTCGTGCTTCATTTACTAGCTTTCAGAAAAAAAATAGATGAGAATGAAAATTTTACGAGCAAAATATAAAAGAAATAAAATCATTATTGAATAAATCTACCTTGAAACCTTCATTAGTTCCTTCTTCTACAATGATTAAGTAATTTTGAGTTTTCTTCCAAAGCTTTAATATTGCTTCAAGACGAGATTGCTGACCCGACAATTCAAATAAAGAAAATGCGCTCATTACAATATCGTAGGTAGGCTAGAAATAATGAAGATATTTCTCAAATTATACATTTAATTTTAAAAAATTTCGTTGTATAATTATTTTTATAAATATTGTTCTTACATTTATGGATACTGGAAAATATTGGCGATAGAAGATATTTTTGATTTTAGGCTCGGCAGCTTCCGCTAATCTTTCTGCCAATTCAATCATAGATTCTGATGGTTCAACACAAAAATATTCTTTTAATGAATCTGACCAAATCTCAGATGCGACCCTGTAACAATTTTTATTTTCTCTTTGCATTAATCAATTCTACATTTTATGTTTCAGATATTTCACAAACTATAATTGGCATATTCATTTATACTTACCATATATTTGTACCAATACCAGAGCCAAAATCAAAGAATGTCTCGGGCCTAAAATCCTTGTCTCGTGTTTTAATCTCGTTCAGAATGCTAGATGAAACTGCATAATTCTGAACACTTTTGGCTGCCATATATGTTAGGCAGGTAAGTTTATCAAAATTAATTGGTTGCCAGTTATAAATGTGTTGCTTTAAAATATTTCTGGCTTTTGTGTCTTTCTTGAAATCTATATCTTGCACAGATATTTTCTCACCATGATTATTAGTATTCAAATGTTTCTCTACTTTCTCTAATTTTGCTAATAATTCATGCTGTTCTAACGGTGGATAGCGTTGATACAAGTATTGGCACAACTTCTTTGCACTTTCACAAATTTTCTTCAAGTTTATTTGTTTTTCTACAAATATTATTATGGAATAATATATATAATATATTTAAATGTTTTGGAAATATTTCAAGTATTTTATGCAGTGAAAGTTACATGTAATCAAAGTACCTTTCAAAATTGTATGTATCTCCTTTGAAGCCCATTTTGGGAACATTGGTGTTTTAGGCTTAATAATACCTGGATGATGCTTATGTTTAATCTCATTGTTAGACAATAAAGCGGATGTTGCATCGTCAAGTAGAACTTTTGGCTTTGTTGAAAACTGAATACAGATCTCAGTATCAAATTAAAAAATCTTATTTAATATATCTAAACAGATAATATTAATATAGCATTATACTCACACAGCGTAAAGAAACAATCCTTGTACATGGTATCTTTGTTACAATTAGCTTCACCATATTTGCAATAAAAATTATTTCAGCAATATTAACGAGCGATAATTCGCATATTCCTCATCAAAGTACTCGAATACCTGTGACAGATACAAGAGAAGATATTTTGATACACATAGGTGCACAAAACGCTAGTATGTCACGTGGACAAATTCTTTATGTCTTAATATCATATAATTTTCGAAAAATTATTTCAGCAATATTAACGAACGATAGTTCGCATATTCCTCATCAAAGTAGTCGAATACCTGTGACAGATACAAGAGAAGATATTTTGATACACATAGGTGCACAAAACGCTCGTATGTCACGTGGATTACAAATTCTTTATATCTTAATGTCATATAATTCTTGAAAAAAGAAACTCTTATTCTCTTTATTCACCTGCCAATAAAACTCATGTGCAAAAACAAAGTTGTAACAAAACTGCGAAAAAAATATCTCTATAACCGTGCCAGATCCTAGGTCTTCGAAGAAAGGTTAGATGCATGCATAACCTGTAAATATGTATAAACATGCGTCGTTCGCGGCGAATACATGAAAGCTCCGAAAATAACTCGTTACAATCCTGTTCGCGTATGTGTCAACACATTCGATTATCGCGTGTACCTGTAGCGAATCGTCCCGCAAATTGACACTTCAAGTATGAAATTCGCGGAGCATCTGAGCGCTCACATTACACCGGAATGGAGAAAACAATACATCAACTACGAGGTACGAAAATTTTGTAAATAAAAAAAATTCTTGGTATTGTACAGGTATTGTATAGGTTTTATGCGTACACGATTTCGCGACAGCTACTTCAATGATGAACAGAGAAAAATAATAAATAATTTATAAAACCGTCGACTAAGCGTATATGAATCCTCGAATACATATTTTGTGTTTTATTACAGTGCAATTACATATATTATATTTGCAAAATTTTTAATAAATATCTTTAAATATCTAGGTATCTTTAAACATCTGATATCTCTAATACTTTGTATAATTTCATAATTATGCGATAGGAAATGAAGGCCCTTCTGTACGCTGCAGTGGAGCAGGCTCCATCGGCAGATGTAAGCGAAGCACATGTTTTGGAAAGCTACTTTAGCAAATTTGATGAGAAGTTTTTCCATTATTGTGACAAGGAATTGGCTAAAATAAATACCTTCTATTCTGGTAAATTTTATGAATTTATTTTAAATAAATCTTTATTAATATTATATTTCTGTTAAAAAATATTCTAATAGATATTATATACAGGGAGATGTACAAGTAATATTAATTTCTTTTCAGAAAAACTGGCAGAAGCGACACGTAGATTTTCCACGCTTAACAATGATTTGAGCGAGATTCTGTCAGTTTCTGAGGATGCTCAGAGTCGTAAGGCACGCTATCGCAGTCACATTTTGCATAAGAAGCCAGTGTCAGCACGCAAACTCCAGGAACTGAAATTGGCCTTTTCCGAGTTCTATCTCTTCCTCATTTTACTTCAAAACTACCAGAATCTGAATTTCACTGGATTCCGAAAAATCTTGAAGAAGCATGATAAAGTATATAAGTTTGATGAATACAAGAGCATAAATAATTTTAAAAAAATAAAAGAATTAGAAAAAGGCTGTTTTGAGAATTTATTTTGTGATCAAGAGATTAATATATGTGCATAATATAATGTTTGTAGCTTTTAAATGTTGACATTGGTGCCAAATGGCGTGCAGAGCATGTCGATACGGCGGTATTCCATACGCGTAAGGATATAGATAGGCTCATTGTGGAGACCGAGGCTCTGGTGACTCGAGATCTAGAGCATGGTGATCGTCAACGAGCCATGAAGCGGCTCAGGGTGCCCCCGCTTGGAGAACACCTCTCTCCATGGATCACATTTAAAGTAGGCCTCTTCTCCGGCGCTTTTATAATTCTTTTCATAGCTGTGATATTGTCCGGTAAGCAGAATGCGTTTGCCTTTTATCCGATATATTGAGCATTATATTTTCTCATTTTTTTATTTAAATTTCATTACATTACAGCCATGCAATACAAAAAGAAGGACAATTGGACAGTATTGTGTCGGATTTACCGTGGACCACTTCTTATGATAGAGTTCTTGTTTCTCATGGGAATCAACGTTTACGGCTGGAGATCTTCTGGTGTGAATCATGTGCTGATATTCGAGCTTGATCCACGCAATCACTTATCAGAACAGGTTTGGCAAAAATTAAATGAACACATCAAGATAAAATCATTTTGTGTTAACATTCTAAAATTAAGAATAAATTGTTCGTAGCATAAGAGGAATTTATGATGCATGTACTTTTAGCACATCATCGAAATGGCAACCATACTTGGCCTGGTCTGGTCTATATCTATATTGGGTTTCCTGTATAGCGATACATTGGGTGTACCGCCGTTTGTTCAACCAGTAAGTCATACTATTTTTGCTCTCGATATTTATTTTTTTTTTAAGAGTAGAATTCGAAAAATAAGTGCTACTCTATTTTTTAAGACATTTATTTTAAAGCGCGACCAGGAAGAATAATCGATCGATTTTATAGCGCAAGAAATTCTTTATATAAGGAATTGATCTTAGCTCTTTATAGGTACTATTCTACATGCTATTGGCATTGTTCCTGTTCAATCCTACCAGGACGTTGCGACACGAGGCTAGATTTTGGACTTTACGCGTTATGGGTCGCATCTTTTGCGCGCCCTTCTTCTATGTGAGCTTTGCGGACTTTTGGCTCGCTGATCAACTCAATTCCCTTCACACAGTCTTCCTGGACTTTCAGTACTTCGTCTGCTTCTATTTCCAGAATTCTTCTTGGACCGATGTTACGGGTGAGTATAATTTATATCATTATATAGAAATAAAATGAGTCACATTATAAATATATTATGAAATTTTTGAGTTACATGCTCTGTTATTTTTTATTATATTATATTACATTTATTATTTACATTTTTAATCGATATTCGATAAAATATTTTAATTATTCTATTTGAATAATTATTTTTAATAAATACATTAGTATTTATTTTATTTCCATATGTTTTAATAAGAAATCTTGCATATAATTATTTTTTTCTACAATTCCCTAAAATATCAATACACTTCTCTTTTTTTTAATAGATACAGAAACTTGTATAATGCGTGAATTGTCGATGAGACCGTTCGTGGTGTGTCTACCGGCTTGGTTTCGATTTGCACAATGTTTAAGACGTTATCGGGATACGAAAGAGGCTTATCCGCATTTATTGAACGCGGTAAAGTACGCAACGAGCTTCTTCGTCGTCATTTTCTCTTATTTGCACTTGACAAACAAGAGTAAGTCCTTTACTTTTTCTAACATAAAGATGTTGAAAATATGTTTATTTATCAAAATTTGTTTTCTTACAGAATACTACGCGTTATCTACTGAGAATCCTTACTTTTATTTGTGGCTCACAGTTAGCATAGTAAGCTCTTGCTTCACATACACATGGGACGTGAAATTAGATTGGGGTCTCTTTGACAGTAACCCTGGGGAGAATAAGTTCCTTAGGGAGGAAATAGTTTATTCGTCACCCGTATGTTTAAAAAAAATCCGTTACATATCAATAACATTAGTAATGTTAATAACAAGAAACATAAACTTTTTGCGCTAGTGATGAATTCACGTCATTTCTACATTTGAAACAAATAACAATTGTGTTATGCATGTCATTTCAGTGCAAAAGATTGATTTATTTAACGATTAATTTATAACGATTAATTTATCATAGTTTTATTCTGTTTTGCAGTATTATTATTATTTTGCGATGGTCGAAGATTTTATCTTGCGATTTGGATGGGCATTCTCCTTGTCCCTAACAGAGATGGGTTACGTCCATGCAGATCTTATGGTTTCCATCGTCGCTCCATTGGAGGTCTTCAGGTAAGTATATGCTTTAAATTCATGTTTTAAATTTATGTTTTAATCGCGAATGCACGTGGAATGTGCAATTATTTGTCAGAATTGATGTGAGAAATATTTGTCAAATTAACTTAATGAATGCAAATCATTAATTTTTATCGTTGTCTCGTTGTTCTTGATAATTAATGTTTAAACTCATAATGTGCACGCAATATACAATTACTTGCATTACTCGAAATTACCTCAAGCGACTCTTTTCTAATGTCGATCATTCTGTATAATAGTAACGAAATAATTAATCGTCGAAAGTCGAGAAAATCACGACTTAATCGACGATAAACCGGCCGATCTAATCGCTTAACAATGCGCCTTATACTAATAAGTCGCTAGAAGGTTCTTGTGGAATTACTTTCGACTGGAGAACGAGCACCTATACAACGTAGGCAAATTCCGAGCAGTGCGGGATATCTCTATAGGACCCATCAGACGCGACGAGGACAATGATATCAGGAACGTGATCCGTTTGATGGACACGAATGACGACAACGATAACAACAATGAAGACGATTAGTGGACTCCCATGATTGCAGTGTTTGATACGTTGTAATTTGTCTTTTTTTAATTTTTATGTTTAAAGATATTTAATTTATATATTTCATGATATGTTTAAATTCGACTTATCTTTGAATTCGATAAAATACCGCTAGATTTGCACAATTTTCTAATCTCTTGGACGTATTGTATTATAAAATTTGCATGATATGTGAATTTTTTTATTAGCTTATATATATATTAAAAATGTATGTGTGTGAAGCAGGGAAAAAGAGAGAATGATTGAGAAAAACTGAACTCTCATATAATGTTACAATGTTTGTTCGACAGGCGTTTCATGTGGAATTTTTTCCGGTTGGAAAATGAACATTTGAACAACTGCGGAAGGTTTCGAGCCGTGCGGGACATCTCGGTTGCACCAGTTGACTGTTCGGATCAGACGCAGATATTGCGAATGATGGACGCTTCTGACGGTGTTATAAACCGCAAGAGAAAGCAAAAAGTTGACGAGAAGCGCAAACCGATTCGGTTGCTCTTAAAAGGCGAATCTCTCATGGATGACAATTGAGGCGAGGATTATTTATGCATTAACTATGCATAGCTAAATCAATTTTTGTTCCGTCTTACAGTTTTGATTTCATCAACTATTGTGAAAGCTAATTAAACTGACAAAAGTAGGAAAATGTGTTGGATTGTAAATTCTGGAAGATTCAAACATCAAATCATCATTTGATGTTCATTGTGAGATACATTAATTAAATACGTTAATATATCGATGTGATTAAAGATTATCTAAGTAAGTGAGTGTTCTTTGTCATCGAGAATCAAATGATGCAAATATGAATCAAAAGAATGAGATTATATCGATGTTAACAACTCATGTACTTTTACTTCGATTGTACCTTGACTAAATAAATGACTGTTACAAAAGAAACATTAGTGAAACATTATGTTTCTAAGAACAATCAGACGTCCAGACGGGTATCATCACGTTACTAGACCGGACATTACATCCAAAGTATACAATTTGAAAACGCTTTGATATTACTATCATTATTCAATGATATCCTCTTCCTGACAATCCTGAAGTAATAGATTCATCAGTATCCACCATCGAAACGTACATCGTATCATAAATTGGAGAAAACGTTATCTAACAACGAATGAACTCTGAAGAGTGAACGTCCCAGCAGACGAAAAGTGAACTATAGCGAATCTAGTAACCGGAACAAATCCTCACATGTGCGGATGCGGGTGCGCGGTATGGTGGGGGCACATGCAGCTTAATGACATCTAATACGTCCATATTAATCGCCGGCAGAGGAGAAGCAAGAGGGAGAAGACGGAGGGAGAATCGCGTTTTCGAAGAACGAAACTTGGAGTACTCGTGCGACAAGAGAGACAAGACGAAGGCGAGACGTGGGAGGGCGAAAGTCTCGGCGGTGGTCGGTTTATTGATTGAACATGAAACGACGCATCGAACCGCGCAAGCTCGCCGTCCGCCCTGAATGAAGTGACGTGCTCTCTCGCATATGGAGACGCGAATAGAACGACGATAGAATCGTCGTGCATCTCGTGTGCGGACAGCCCTCGGCAGCCGAGCAGCAGCGACGACGACTACTACGAGAGGATGCTCCTTCGGCGGGGCTGCACTTGGCTGACGCTGATGCCGCTCCTGCTAAGTCTGTCTATCGGCGAACTCAGCTTCTATCGAAGTAAGTAAGGCAGAGAGTCTATTCGGTTCTCGGGAGACAACGTCTCCAGGGGGAATGACACGGTAACGTTGAAGGACGGCCACTTGTAGCCTTCGTGTTAATTAAAAAGGATTGATCCATTGAAATGTCGAAATCACATTAATTAATGAAGTATCTCGTGCAAATTTATACGCTTGATCGGTCTGCGAGAAAAAAAATATGTTACAGGGAAAGCAGTCTTTAAAGAGGAGGAGTCTTTAAATATTTTAGTAGGGGATGATCTAGATCTTTTGTAAATATATTTTTAAAATATTTTTTCCCTTAAGTAATAATATATTGCAGGAATGTATTGGAGAAATGTATGTAAGAAACAGAAAATTTGAAAAGTAGCTGACTGTGATATAATGAATTATTATAGTTACATTTAATTCTTTCTTTAAAAAAAAACTTTCTATTTTACTAAAAATCGAAAGTTTTATTTAAAACATAAAAGTTTAATACGCTGATATTAGAGACTCTATTTTTTTTATGCTTTTCAAATAAAAATACTCGGAAAAAAGAAAAATTTTAGAAAATGTTGTAAAAATTAATATACTATTATAAAATTAATATATATTATTTATATTTATAATAAAAGGCTTTGTGTCTTGTTATAATTTGTAAGAATGATAAGAAAATAACCCGCAGCATCATCATCTCTGAAGTATCTTTCCTCGTATCACATAATTAAGACTTGAAGGTCAAGAGTAAATTGCGGGATTGTTTGTGATTAGACGATTTGATTCAATCCTTGCTGACCGGTCAATGATTTTTACAAAATTTAGAATTTTACGAAAAAAGTTTTAAGACATGTTTTTAAATTTTAAAGCATGTTTTTAAATTTTAAAGCTTTTTTTCTCTAGTGGTCGGCGTTATCGCGGAATACGTGTTATATCTTGACCGCAGGAAACTCGTTTCTACGTGCTAGCAAAAACGGAAGTTGGATGATAAGAATTCAAATAGAACTCGATACAACTCCGGTTTAACTCACGATATTTCAGTTTGCATTAATCGGATAGACTAGAATTAAAAGCTAATGCGATTATGACATAAGCAAATATCCACTATCAATTTCTATTTCCCTGATCAATATCTCGTCATGTAGGAAATTTTCATTATTTGAAAAGAGAATTTATTTTCTGTATAAATTTATGTTCTTACGTCGTACATCAAATGTTAAAAGGTTCACATCACAATTAATATAACATGATTTTTTTTCTTATTTAAAAGGAATAACATTTTTTTGAAAAACATAATGAGAAAAAAAATGATATGATTGAAAAGATAAAACAATTTTTTAATAAGGAGAATCATTACTTTAATAGTAATGGTAGTAAGTAGTCAACCTGTAGCAGTAAGCTTGATATTTAAGGATTAAATACATATAAAACTCGAGCGACTTCAATTTTCATCGCCACTCGTAACTTTTATCTTCTCATCATTAAGCGCGAATTTCATGTTAGAATTAGCCATTAGAATAAAGTGATAATTATTACTGATTTTTTGAATTAGTACTGATAATTAGTATCGTCGATATTAATTGGTAAAAGCGCAGCGCGAAAACGAGAACGCAGTTTCCATTTCTTTAAACGTTATGCAGATGCGCTCCCGGAGACGTCATCGATGTCGGACGACATCGCGCTGAAGCACCTGATCCATTATCTGGAGGCGCATCGTCTTCAGCAGCGTCTTCATCGCTCGCATCTGACCACGTTTCTATCGCCTGTGCACAAGAAGCACAGCGATTTTCAGCAACTGAACCGTCAGGAGGAACGCCTCATCGAGTATTTAACCGACAGGAAGGCCGCCGAGGAGAGCCTGAATCAGAAGTTGAACGCATGGCTGAAGCATTATTATCATCCGCCCAATTATCACGATTCGATCGCCGACCAGATCGTGAAACAGAATTCAGAATACTTTCGCAATCTAGATCACAAGTACTCGGACTATCCCGAAGAAAAGCAGCCAGACGAGATGAACAGTAACGGTCACTTCTCCAAGGATCTTGAGTACAGACAGACCTTCAATGTGGATAGAGGAAGAGCGATGGACGAATCTGTTGTGGACACTTTTCACAAGTATATAGATCACAATCCCGCGGGCATCTCGTGGCATCACGAGGGCGGAAGAAAAACAGCACGACCGACAGAGGCCACCGAGCCGGAATTTACGTACGAGTTTGACAACTCGAATCTCGAGGAGAAACATCCGTTTGCGGTGGCTCCGAACGATCCCAGATACTACGACAAAGCGCCGTTTTCATCAGGTAAACATTCGCGCTGATTGATCTTCTATTAATTGCTCTTGTCCTAGAGAGCAATGCTTCTCAATCTATTTTAGCGAACGAAGTCCTGCAAAGAATACAAAACTTATTTGAAGGATTTTTACCTATTCAAAGTTGAATTACGAGTTCTCTGATATGTATCTTAATTTAAAAATATATAATATTCGAATAATTAGATAGAGAAAAATAAATTCACAAGATATATTTGATTTTCTTGTATAAAGAATTTGGAATGTAATAAAACAAAAAATAATTTTTTGATACGTATTATTACTTCTTTATACATCTCTATTGAATTTTCTTATTAGAAAAGATGCAGATTATTATCAAATTTTTTTGTTACATATTTAGTAATTTTTTAAATCGCTACAAGTTTTCACCTCGCGAATCCCTTGATCTTAGTCTAAGGAGACTAGTTTGAGAAGCATTGCCCTAGAATCTTGAAAAGAATCGAATTACGTCAATTCAAGTTTATACAAGCTTTAATAAGCTCTAGTCTTTTTTAACCCTTTCTTTTTTAAACTTTTCCTTTTTATAAACACATTGATCTATTGATATAGTTGCTATTTTTGCTTCTTTTTCAAAGACACTCTCTATAAATGGAATTAAAACTTTGTATTTATGTAATAATACCTAACCCGTAGACGACGTAAATCGACAAGAGGAAGAGGCGGTTAAGAAAGAGTCAATAATGATAAAGCATGAGGACGATATTCGAAATATCGACCAGACACCGAAGGAATTGATCGTACGACTTGATACCGGATCGAAATCAGACAGATCAGAGGGATATCATCCGTTGATAGAGCCTATGAATTATAACTTAAATAATGATATCTATTTCATCGGTAAGCAGAAAAAAATTGTGAAAATATGCAAAAAAATGAATTGATCGACATGATTAATATATTTTTTTTCAGCCATAGTTGCCGGTTGCAGCGCAGCAGCGATGTTCGCTCTGGTATTGATCAGTTTAACATGGTGCAGGTAATGCCAGTTACAATGATTGACTAGGTTGACGCACGTTTTCTGCTTTTTTTGCAGCGTTTTGTTTTATGTGTTAGACTACAACGTGGTGCGAAAGCTGCAGCGGATATAGAATATCCTGCTTATGGCGTAACAGGACCGAACAAGGATGTGTCGCCTTCCGGTGACCAGAGACTCGCCCAGTCCGCCCAGATGTACCATTTCCAACATCAGAAACAACAAATTATCGCCATGGAAAAGTGAATTCTAGTTCTATATAAGAAAGAAAGAAAACGAAACAAGTACTTAAATTTTTTTTTAAAGAATGGTATTATAAAGGAAAACGTTGTTTGTTGCAGTCGCACTTCTGCAACAAGAGACCCAGGTTCCCTTTCGGAAGCAGAAAGCGACGAGGAGAACGAGGAGGGTGACTACACCGTTTATGAATGCCCGGGACTTGCTTCTGTAAGTTTTTTCCAACTGTATATAAATTTTTTCATACTCAAAATCTTTAACGTTTATTCCCATAATCTCAAATTAATCCTAACAGCGGCTTCAATGATTTATATGTTAAAGACGGGCGAGATGGAGGTGAAGAACCCGATGTTCCATGACGATCCTACTCCAGCGACACCGGCTGTGCAAAGCAACAACAAAGAAGAGGACCACATATAGTTTCAGTAAAGTAGAAAAAGAGAAAAAATCAACCACGCGCGCGCAATTTCGAAGAAATCTTCCCTGGTGCTTAGCTCACTGTTAATGTACCATATCGGAAATGTTTATCTATTATATTTGAGTGTATACACAACTTTAATATTTATATATGGGGCGAGGGGCAATGTATTTTACGAGAGAGGGAGGAATCGATTCGATACTAGAATGACCGATGTTCAACCCTTCGTTCCGGAAATAAGATAACATTTATCAGCGTCTATTTACATTGATACGTGAAATCGAAGCACGGTAATCAAAGTCAACAAGGATGCATCAGTGTAATTCCATGTGAATTGAATTGATCTTACAAAATCTCAATAAAGAGATTTCGAAGAAATTTAATTCTAAAAATTACGTTTTTTTTAGATAATTATATTCCGAAGGCAATTATTAAAAAAAACACTATGTATGTACCATTTTCTTTCTGCGCCGCGCAAAACGCTACATCGTTTCTTCTAGTATTGAAGCATTAAATTGTCGACAGCGCTTTTATGAGTTAAAGTAATGAGAATTCTCTAAAAAGGACGACGAATCGACGTGCAAAATGGCTCGTCTGTCAGAGAACACCCAACTGTTTTCTAATGTTGTGACGTACTATAGTTTGTACTTTCATAGCAGGAACAGAGTTACTCTACGATTACCCCATTATTTTTTTATGACACATCATCCGTCGCTTATGCAGCTCGAAATTCAATGCATCTCCTGCGGATGTTCGACAGAACATGTCCATTGAATATTCGCTGCAATAGTATACCAAAGTCTATTCTTCGACTATACTCCTTTGAAAGTAAAAAAGAGAAAAACATTGACCATGTTAATTTGAAACGTTATTGAGAGAATCTGTTGAAACTATCGGTCGGAATGTACACGGAAAGTTACAGTATTATGGTATAATTATATAATTGATATAATTGATTATATATTTCACAGAGAAATTTGAAACACACATACATACACTTTCTCGTATACATTCTTCTTAGAATATACACATATAAAATGACATTTTGCAAAATATATTCATTTTAATGTATACACGATAAAAAGTGATTGTATACATTTTATTGAAATGTGAAAATATCTTCATTCGTAGAATTACTATTCTAACAAAATTGCTATTCTAACGATTTTAACTTGTTAAAATTCTAACGAATTTTAACAAGAACAAAGCTATGAGGGGGATTCAATTTGATGCTGCATTAATATTTTATTAATAATTCCAGAGAGATGTATATATTTGATCAAACGACGGAGTTAACGAGTTCTAAACTATTTTATGCGTCATAATGTTTTATTAAGATATATTTATCATAAAAAAATATATTTCGAATCGATCTTTCGAATCGATCGGAAAAAATTAAAATATTTGAAAGCCTGTGCTCTTTTTTTAAATTGTATTTACGTACGGAATTGCTTGCATTGTATTCTAAACGGTGATACTATAAGTAATTTTATCTGAATTGAAGCAAATTGCTTGTAACATAATGTTTTTTATCACATTATATGTTATTCTTATCTCTAATTGTTATCCACTTGTTATCTTTCGCTTTATGTGATATAAGAAAGTCAATATGGCATGAGCTGTGTGTACAACATGCAAATTAAATCGTGTGTTTCCCACTTTTACACCTTTCGAGATGCAGTGTTTCTTTACGAACGATAATCTCAAATATGCTTACTGCAAGGAAACTGTTCTTTCAACAGTTACCAATAAATACACATAACACACACATACATATACGTATAATATTTGTTGGCTTAAAAGGACAATATATTTTATTTTTCTATGATACTCGTCATTGTTAGCTGTGTAAAGAGAATCTATAAACCGCTATTAATCTCCTAAGTCGAAAGTACAGAGTTACTATTTATTTTCGCAAATATCAGATGTCTATATATTTAATGCGAAGCGAATAGAAGCGAATGTATAGCTCTGTTTTACGTTATTGCTGTTACAAGATCTATCTATTCGCCGTTATGCTGGATAAGGCGAGCATATAACGATACATAGGATCTCGCGATAAAAAGCTCTTCCTTTTCCTCTATCACTACAATATATATATACATATATATATATCATTAAACGATTAATGTACCTTTTAGCCGATGAGTGTGATGATATGTTAAAAGCATGAATCTATGTTTCTAGTCTTCTCTACCGACACTAACTAATATATATTATATTATTACACGATTATACATTATATATAAGATGTGTAAAAGCAGAGAATACTATGAAAGGACAATCTGTGTACAAATAGACTATTGGCATATAGCGATTTGTAGTACATGATTGTGCGTATTGTGTGTCCACAACCCGGAGTAGGAAATTATTTGTCGATTGAATTAAATTTAATTCTGATATATCGCATTAAAATTATAGTCTCTCTCCCTTGCAATCCGTCTACTTAAATTGTGATTAAGCGAATTATATACAATATTCTTATTATTATTTTCTCTTCTACCAATCAAAAGAGAAATCTTAGAGAGCGTAAAAAGAGAACGAAATATATATACACATATATATACACATAAATTATATAGATATACAATGTATTATTATTTTATTAAAATAAATTATTTATTTTATAAAGCATCTCTCCTCTTCACACATATGCCACATCGCGCGGAATTAAAAGCATTTGGAGAAATGATGTATATGCGTCCGGATCGAAGATTTCAAATGGCAGAGCGGAATATACCCGTTTGCGCATGATCGTAAACATACCCCAGCCCCTAGCTATGTTTGTTTGGCTCCTACGCAAAGAATGTTATTTATTTACACTATTGCACAGAAGTATACATCTATACATATATACAGAGTGTCCCAGACCACCCGTACACCCTTTTTAAAATGAAAATAAATGGCTTTTGATTTCAAAAATCGCAAACAATTTTTAAGTAAATCGGGTACGCTCTATCAAATGGTGATATTTTCAACTTTTGATTCCGATCGGAAATACGCCATCCGGATCGGAAGTTGAATTTTTTTAGGGGAACATACTTTTTATTATAAATTCAAATTGTACGTGAAAAAATAAGAAACTTTTGTATCAAACGTTTTTTCTGAAAGTGCCTCTGTCAACCTTAAAATTGACCTTGAAAGTAACTGTGATGAAATAATCAGGTTAATTTTAAGATTGACAGAGGCACTTTCAGAAAAAACGTTTGATACAAAAATTTCTTATTTTCTCATGTATAATTCGAATCTGTAATAAAAAGTACCATGTTCCCTTAAAAAAATTCAACTTCCGATCCGGATGGCATATTTCCGGTCGGAATCAAAAGTTGAAAATATCACCACTTGATAGAGCGTACCCGATTTACTTAAAAATTATTCGCGATTTTTGAAATCAAAAGCCATTTATTTTCATTTTAAAGGAGATGTACGGGTGGGACACCCTGTATGTAGCATAGCGTGAGCTCAGCAGGGGTCTGTTCGTTTTAGCTGCACTGCTGCACCAGTGCAATAAGTTAGAAAGAGACAAACATACTTTCTTTCACTCTAACTAATAGCACTAGTGCAGCTGAGCAGTGCAGCTAAAAAGAACAGGCTCCAAGTCTCAGTTCTCCGCGCAGTTATTATGCCGTTGCTCGTGTCGTGATAAAACGCTGCTCGTGGCGACTCGAAGGGAACGGAACTCGCGCGTTTATCGCGAATGCGATAACGTCTCGAGGGAAACGTAAGCTCGAGGAAGAGGAAGAGGAGGAGCGTCGAGCGAGGAACGTCGCGCGGAGGCAGAGGTCTCGAAACCAGCTGATTCGGATCCGGAGCGGCTCCATCTTGCGCCCCCGGGCTCGCAAGGACGCGACGGTATATGTACATCGTTGTCATTGGCAATGACAGTGCCAACGATGCCGCCGATGCCACCGATACCGACGATGCCGACCACGATGCACGAGTCGGAGTATTATCGTTTTTGCGTGAAGGAGATGAAGGGCAGCGAATCCGGCGAAGACGTCATCTTTTCGCGGCTGCTTAACTTGAACTTGAAGTGGCTGCGAACGTGGCTGGTGAGTTGCGTTAATTCTCTCTCTTCTTTCCTTTTTATCTTCTCGGTCTCTTGTATTTAGCTATCTTAGTATTTTTACATTAATTAATAATTATTTTAAAGGAACATCTCCAAAAATCGCGCATTATCCTTTTCATTTTGTTAGCGCCATTTCACGGCATCAAGCGTAACATTTGTACCTTGTGTGCTTGATGTGTACTTTCTCTCGGTGTGAAACTATGTCGGTCTAATGTAACTTGATAGCTTGAGAAAATCTCTAATACAAGAAGTAATTAGAAACGACCACACTCTAAAAAACTCTAAAATAAAAGAAGTAATTAGAAACGACCACACTCTAAAAACTCTAAAATCTCTAATGTTTGAGAGAAAAATGTTGCTCATTCTCGCTGGGACTAAATATTTTCAAATTAGCGCTTACAAAGATGAGATGGATGTGATAATTAACGATCTCGTAGCTACATCTCTCTCTCTCTCTCTCTCTCTCTCTCTCTCTCTCTCTCTCTCTCTCTTTCTCTCTCTTTTTCTCTCTCTCTCAATCGTAGGAATATTAAATATATATATTTAATGTATCTATGACACCGAGCTTTTTTAATACAATGCATAATAATGCAGCAAAAAGGCCTAGCCATTTTGTATGATGATTTAAATACTGATTTATATAAAAGTGCGCATGAGTGCATTCAAGAAGTCGTATCAATGATATTTTTTAAACGCGTGTTTTTATTTGTTTATCATTATTTATTCGTTTACATTAAGCTTCTCCTTCACATATACACACACATTAATTTATAGGTCATGATTTTTTGAAGCTTTATTATTTGTGACAGATCATGGAAACGATATAAATGACTTTCGAAAATGGAGAAATTTGATGTAACGAATACATTTTTTCCATTATCGATTCCCACATTTTTTTCGGAACAGCTTGTATATATATCTGTGAACTAACTAAATAAGATAACACTTCCGTGTTTATTGTAGAGGAAGCAATTTGGAGTGCCAGAGAATAGACACATTTTCTATATCGACGATGACGGAGACAATGTTCCGATCGATTCGGAATGCGAGTTTCATGAGGCATTGAAGGTACACACTTTAGATTGCAATCATTAAGCCGAATAATAGAATAATAGAAGGGTTTTTTGGAGGTAACTTTTTTTATCGTATTTAATATTTCTGAGTTTCTCAGAAATATTAAATGCGAATAAAAGAAGTTAACTTAAAAAACAGATTTCAGTTAGTTTTGAGTCTATATTTATAGCATTTGTTTAATTAAAAAATAATAATGTATACATCAAAATTTTCCTATTTATGATAAATCAATTGTGTATAAAAATTAAATTTTTTTAGTATAAATAAAGTGATATCTTTATGTTGACTTTGAATTATTTTATAAAAATATTGCAAGAGAAAAAAAAATAAAATATAAAATGTTTAAAATTAAAATACAAGAATATAATATACAAAGTTAAGAACAATAATTATATCTTTCGAAATATTATTTGTAATATAAAACTTATTTTTAAATTCATATTATTTAAAACTTACTTTTAAATTTATTTATTTACTATTATTTACTTTTATTTAATTTGTTTTTCTCTAATTTTTGACGTGATATATAATAATTTACAAAGATTAAGTAATTTATTAATTATTAATAACAGCAAAATAAATAATTTATCAAAATATAGAATTAATTAGAATATATAGGATATATAGAATAGATATATATAGAATAGATTAAAGTATTTTTAATTTTTGACATGATATAATAATTTATTATATCATATTATTGTACATACGAATTCTGAAAGATTAAATAATTAATAATTAACAGGAGCAAATAATTTCTGAATATATATATATAGAATGAATCAAAGTCTTTCCAGACTTGAAAATCATATTATGTATCTTGTACATATAATTTTATTGATAATTTTGAGTATTTTAATTTTACAGAGTTTTTTTTTATAATTATATTTGAAATAATGACTATCGAGTCAATTTGTATCATATGTTCTAAGCCAAGTTTGAAGATCGAAACAAAATTAAAGCAAATTATTTAGAATTATTGAAAATTTTTCGTTTTAGCTTGCAAAAAGTGCTTTCGAGAAGAACTATGCAATTCCATTGATTGTGGGTTCTTTCAACGTATCAGGCGAACAAGACTCTTGGATGCATGAGAATCGTTGTTTGGATAAAGAACAATTGAGGAATGTCGATGACAAACTTTCATGGAACAAATCTTTTAGTCCTTACCATGCTTTTGCCAAACCTACATGTTTAGGACCTGTTTGTTTCTCAAGAAGATCGGAGTTTGTACATGGTGCACAAAGCCATATGTGGACAGTTTTGCCGGTTCCAATAAATTTTGATGCAAAACAATGTGATGAATCGAATGAGACAAAAGTTCGACAAATCGACGAGCAGACAAAATCAAAGGACATGGATACTCAACAAGAATTGAATGCTTCGTTAGAGTCCTGTTCGAACACTTTACCTCCTCTATGGTTTACAGAATATATGGAATCCGTAAGCGCTGCAAATGCTCATACATGTATTTTTATATTAGCGAGAATTTTTTTTTCCAGAACTCACTATCTATTTGCACAAAATAATTCTTACTTATTATTCACTCGTTTCTTGCATTGCAATATTAATATTAATATTTAGATAAAAACATTTACATAAAAAATACATTTACATAAAAAATATATCATAGTTTTAAATGAAATATAAATCAAAATAAAATAAATGTGTAGCCACAAAATGATTAATCTTAATGATTCACAGATGAAGAAAGACATGATATCCACAATCACTAATGAAGTGGTGAAAAAAATAACGAAGACGCTGAATAAACGCTTGGATTCTTTTACGTTTTCACCGGTTAAAGAATTGGATCAATCTGGAAGTCAATATTCTTCTCCTGCAATACAACATCCTCAATGTTCCTTAGATTCGAATGAGGACAACCAAAAGAAGATGAGATCTCAGAAAAAGAAACAGGAAAAATCTGCAGATTTCTCGGAAAAACCTGCAAATGGATCCAAACTATTAAGTGATATAGTGATCGAACGCATGGATCAACCGCAAAACGTGAATACCATGAAAAACATACAGATGAAGAAAGATGTAATATCCACAATCACCAACGAAGTGGTGAAGGAAATGACAGAATTATTGGATAAAATTCCTGCGGATTCTGCTACATCTGTTCCATCTAAAGATCCTTTCCGAAGTCAATTTCTTTCGCATTTTCCTTCTTCGACGCTTTCCCGATACTCCTTCGATTCGCATTCGAACGAGACGAATCAAAATACGATAAAATCTCAGGATAAGGAGCAGTCGAGTGATAACGCTTCAGCCACGAGAGTGGACGAATCGTCGTGGTATTCGAACATTTTGGAGAATTCTACGCGAAAGCTACAGAAGAGACTTGATCTTATCGAGGACGTGATTCGTGTAAACGCGGAAGAAGAAATGAAGAAGAGACATTATCAGCAAATCGCTCAAGCATTTTCTGATGATTTAAATAGCGACATCGGGAGAGAAAAGGAACAATCTGTTCAACAAAACAATACTTGGGAAAACTTTGTTTCTCGGAATCTGCAGATAGAACCAAACCTGTCCGATGAAAGAGTTCCTTTGGAGACATTAAAGCTAATCGAGAATGAGCTCCGTATGAACTGCTCTGTTACCGGAAATCAAATGTTGGACGAAGGTCTCCTTAGTAGAGATATCTGCAACACATTCGATTCGAATAAACTATTGGAAATCGAGAAAGATGTAGAAACGTTACCGTTTAACAAGACCTTTTTCCAGTCATGCAATCAAGAGAAGAGAGAGAAGAAAAAAGAGGAAGATGATGACGCTTTCGAAATCATCCAGATGTCTACATTAACTGATGACTTATTTATGCCTTGTGAAGAGCCCGCCATCGAACAGCAGCATGACAGCAGTCGAGATTCGCCTAGCTTCGAGCTAGTCTCAGAGCCGCCTTCACCGCCGTGCTCCATTCGTTTGGACGAAGACCACTTTTCAGCAAATGAAGAAAAGCTTGAGCAACATTCTATGAAGACAAATTCACCAAACTCGGTCTATGTGGTGGATGTTCATGGCAAGATCTTCAATGACGAACATCAGACAGTGAATTCTGATGAGTGCGTCAATGTCGACTTAAAAAAACAGCCCGATGTTACTTACTCCTTTGTAACGGGTGAAGATCTCTTGACAGAGGATGAAAACGAAGAGGCTTGTTCTTCAAAACTATCATGTGCGGAGCATCGGTTATATGAGCGGAAGAGCTCTCGAGATGACGCGAATGGTTCGTATGACGACGTGAGAAACTCGCACGCAAGCTATCTGACTGTACAAACTCACTGCGACTCGAAAACGCAGTCGCAATGTAGTTGCCAATCACAGACCGACTCGGGTGACTTCACACAGAGCTTTCACTCGCATACCACATCGGTGACTGACACTACCGATATGTATGCTCATAGCTACGCTTGCAAGTACGGTGAGGCGATGACGAACCAAGGATGTACAGCCAAGGATGTGCGAGAAACGACAACAATGGCAGCACCGGCTCCCAGAAATAATCATGATGTACACGTGGACGATGGTTGGGCGAAAGAAACTAAAACAAACGAAAAACCTCGCCGCAACAAATGCCCAAACAACTTTCCAGAATACTTATGCACACCAGACCACGGTTGTCCCTGTTGCGATAATCCTTCTTTCGGTGGTTTACATCAGCCTTATCAGGCGAACAGATCCTCCGACAGATCGTGTTCCAACGTAGGGTCGAGAAAGGCATCTACTGGCGAATTGAATACACCCAATACCGATTCTGTTCACATCCTGCCGGAGACGTTGGTCAGCGCAGCCGCGCAGGTCGGCTCGTTTGCTTATGACACCGCGCGTGAAATGTTTGACAAGCTACGTGCACATACACATACGGTGAGAACGAGAGTGAAATTGTAGAGTTTTTGGAAGTATTGCATAACACATGTAAAAAAAATGCAAAACGATTATGCTTTAGTTTGCGTGAAATTATTGCGAAACAATTACTAAAACGATTTTCTCTGTTTCAGAAGGATGTTCCTCTCAAACGCCGCGGCGGAGTAAAGCGCGAAAACAAGAAGCCCTTCTCTGTCAGTCACCTGCCGTTCTAATTGAGCCGCTAATCACGAGCCTTTGTTTATGGAGTTAATACACTAAACGCTATACAATATTGCTAAATAAATTCATTGTTAGATAACGGGTAAGTAATACGGATGCAATCTTGAAATACGATACATGCGGAACGGAGCTCTAGTTTATGTCACATTCAAAGGTTTCGTAGTTCATGCGGTGAATAAAATCAAGTTTCGTACGCCAATAATTGACTTATCGAGAAATGTCAAATGTACAGGATGTTCCATTGTTAAAAAAGAAATTTCAACGACAATTGAATCGATAGAACGACAGTTTCAACAGAAACAGTATATTAATAATTTTTAATTCCGCGCGATGAATAGGAATCCTGAAAAACGAAATGTTCTTTATCGAATAATTGCTTCAATTTATCACGTGAAATTAAATGTTATTGTATGTATGATAGTATTAGTAACGGTTTACGCTATATCGTAGAATGTCAAAACTGATTGTAGCTGTTTTTAGAATTAAGGACTTACACGTTAAATGAAAATAAAATGACGAAAGTGAGAGATATGAGTTAAAGTCGGTAGGAAAGAAGTGCGTATTTTTGAAGGAGAATTCTTCCATATTAAGTTGCTATTAAAGGCAAATATTAGGCGGACGTCACTTTCATTTGTGCATTTCTTTCGGTGAAGAATAAAATATGATTTCGATAAATTCAATCGCGAAAAAGTAATCAGGTGTCAAAATTTTATTTTATAATAATTATCACATTATATTTTATAATAATTATCACATATATTTGATATCTGAACATATGTAACGTTTTATGGTATCAATTTTAAAATGAAAGGACGGGATGTACATTATTTAGGGCTGAGTTGTTATTGCTGGCCTATGCGAATGATTTTGCGAATGCAGGAATAATTACGATCCTTGATAAATATCTGCATATCGGGATTTGGCAAAAGAATCGTTGATAGCCTTTTCGATCCAGAAAATCAATCGACATTGTTACTTTCTGCAGCCTATGCGTTCTGCGAGACGATATAGGTTCGATGATAAGAAAGCGACACTGAATATTTATTCTTACTGCACTCTCGAGATTATCGAATCATACGACACACGCATTGTTAAGTTTCGCTAGAGCTTGGAAACTTAGCCGGACTTGTAGAAATAAATGTTATAGACACAAATACACCGAGACTTAGAGTTCTCTGATGACTTTGCAATCTGAACCATTTCTTCAAATGTATCCAATTTTCTATATATTTTTGTGTCTTGTATAATTTAAATAATCATTATCGCTTAATTGTTATTAATTTCATTATTGCTTCCTTCTCGTGTAAAAATATTTATATACAATTTTTGCTTCAAACTGATAACATCGAATATAAATCTCTGATTACATTAGTTATTGCTATGTACAAAACTAACACTTCCATTCATTTATCACAACATTCACACACTACATATAATTTAAATAATTAATTTTTTAACAATTCCTAATCTTATAATTATTGTCGCATGATGTTGACAATTCTGTCATTTACATAACATTTGTATAATTCTCGTAATGTCTTGGTTTTGCTTCAATATCGTAAGAACGTGAAAACTATTAAAACTGCTTAATTATAATATCTTTGAAATTTTAAATATTATCCCAAAATATAAAGTGTGTTTATTCTATCATCTTTTTTAAAACATATTATGAATTTTTGTTACTCAATGCAATGCGTATCTCTTCAGTATATAAGTGTTTTCTTTTTTTTTACAAAATGTTTATTGTACAGAGAGAGATGAGTTTATGAAGAGTTTATATATTTTTTTGTTGCATTCGAGAATGATAGAAATAGAATTTTGATAATTTTCTTGAAGCTTCTCTCGTTCGAATAAGAGAATCCCTAAAAAATGTCACTTACTCGATCGTTTCACTTTTATCGTCACTTTTCATCCTCTGTGTAGATTGGATTAACATTTCCCTTTTTTTCTTCTAGAGATATGGCTCCTTCATTAATTTCCTCCTCCGGCATTTCCACATATTTGTAAAATATAGTCATCACGGCAAATATCACTATAATCACTGCCATCAAACCGGCGAACAAGAAAATCTCGTAGACCTGCGAATAAACATAAACATTTCCTAAAATTTAGCTTGCAATTTACCTGATGACGTCTTTTGAGTAATTCGTCAATTTTTTCTTAATATAATCGGCAAAAGTAATTTAGGTAAGAATATTTAAGTAATATTTTGAATACCATTACACGAATAATAGAAAAAACGCTGGATTTAAATCCATAAAATATATCGTAAATGATAGATAAAATATAGAAATTAATTAACTAGTAAAAAAATCATGTATAAAAAATCACGAAATGTATTTCGCGAAACGAAATTCATTGCGTTTTCAACAAAAGATTTCAACAAAAAAGCTCAAATCAAAATTCTGAGACGGATTGTGAAAGTTGTAGACAACAATGGACCCAACAAGGAAAATTTATATATTACCAATTGCGTAAATGTGAACCACTTACCTGCCGATTGAAAGGATGCGAACCCTCTATGATCACCACGATGAGATTACCAAAGGCCACGCTCAACAACCAACCTGCCTGCAGTAGAGCTTTCATACTGATCGGGGCCTGGGTGAAGGCGAATTGCAGGCCCGTTATGTTAAACATCACCTCGGCCATGGTGATGATGATGTATTGCGGCAACATATAAGCCATGTGAAGCAAGTTGGGCTGCGTGACCGTGATTATTTCAATGCTAATCTTATCCTCTTTTAGCGCGGGCACGAAACTACCCACTACAGTGTACACTCCACCGAGTTTGAAGGGCACCTCTTTCTTCATCAGATAATCGTCCAAGTATACGTCATATTTGTTTGGCTTCTCGAATTGTTTCAGATCCGAAGGAGCGAAAGTCGAGTTGATCATTATTGATAAGACCGTCTCGCCTGATTTGACGAATCTCAAGTATCTAGGGTTATCGTTCACTTCGGACGCTAGATAGATGAGACTGCGAACTATCGGTTTAGTCTTATTCGGCTTATCTACGTAATCTTCGTAGTGATATGTCAACCCTTCGGGCGTTATGACCCAAGACATCGCTTTGGCTTCCGAAACCTCAATGATTCCTGAAAAAAAGAATTATTTGTACGCGGTGAAATTATTGTATCTATATAATTCCATTTGAATGTTTTACCTGACACTTTATCAGTCAAGTTGGTGTAGCCCTTATTATTACACATTGTGAAATCCGCTTCGAAGGGTAATTTCCGCGAATTATGCGTTTCTATTTCTAAATCTACCCACATACTCAGTGGTTTTATTTCAATGTTCTGTTCCATATCTAAATTTACGGAACAATTCATCGTATTGAAAATTCGAATTTGACCATATCCTTCTGATGGTAATATCGGATAAGTTTTCTGGAATAAAATATGGAAATGAAAATCTTATTTATCTATCTTATAATGATAAGTAGAAATCAATTTATATGATGTGCGAAAATTGTTTTCTCAATACCTCGAGCTCTAATTCGACAAGGCCAGCCGCGATGAAGGCTACACTTGCTAAGAATCCTCCAACGACGATTTTCTTCAATGGTGTGTTGATTATGTGTAACTTATCAAAAATCGGATAGATGCAGGTTTCGAAAATGGGTATGAAGATGATGATTAGCAGCGGATTGACGGCTTGTAATTGATCGGGTAGCAGCACGAAATTGCCTATCTGGCCGTCCATCCGCGTTGCTTGAAATGTCCACTGAGAACCTTGCTGATCATAGAGTGCCCAGAATATTGGCAGCGGTATGAACAGTTTCAGGACTCGTAATGCGGATTTGATATCTTCAATTAGCTTCTTTTCATACGTATCATCAGCGTGATCGAGCCAGTGATCGCATTTCCTTCCTTTGCTTTTTATTTTATTGGAGATCGCGTGCTAATTTTTCGAAACAGAAAACGGAAAACTTGAAAAGATTGTTCCTGTACAGATTATGAATAATTTTTATTGGGAATTTTCGAAATGATTAAAGTTATCACACGAGATGATGCGAGAACTTACGCAAATGCACTTTGAAACGCTGACGATAAGATTACCCGTAGGCTGGACTATTTTGTACATTCGTTTTCCCGAGAAAAATATTACTGAAAATAAGATTGTCTTAATAAAATTTTATTCGTTTAACAGAAAAAAATCTATTTTTTTCCAGCGAACTCTTTTAATAATGAAATAAAATATATTTCGTTCTCTCGTTCCTTACCAATCGATACAATCATTAAAATAGCCGGTATCAGAAATGCCAAAGAGAAGCATTCGTCGCCGAAGCATTCTGTGTCGCGTATCACTGGAGTGAGCAAAGTGGAGATCAGAGAACCTGTGTTAATGGAGAAGTAAAAAAGAGAAAAGAACAGCGCCAATTGTCGTTCCTGTTGAGGTAGAATGAACTGATCGCCTCCGAAAGCTGATACGCAAGGTTTTATCCCGCCTGTGCCAAGCGCAATCAGGAGTAAGGCTACTATAGACAATTCCCTGGAATGTAGGAATTAAAAGTTAAAATTTAATATTTTTTCTTCAACTGAGAAAGACAGAATTTACAGGAAAGTCAATCTCCAAATCAAGTAGCATTTAATGCGGTATGTAAATTTATTTAAGTAGTATTTAAATTCAGGAGTGTAATCTTTCGTTCTTAATATTAAATTAAAAATAAAATTATTTTACTATTTGAAATATATCAAGAAAAATATAAAACTTTAAAAATTGCCTATAAAATGCGTGCGTATATTTTTAATATTATGATTGCGTTTTAGATACATTCTGATATTGACCTTGCGGGTAATCCGAAAGTAGGTGCTGCACTTGCGGATAAAAGCAACTGTCCAATTGCGTAAATAATGCTCACATAAAAAATAGTGCGATACTTTCCGAGCCAGGAATCAGACACGATTGCACCCAGCACCGGGGAGAAATAGACGAAAAAGATGAAGACATGATAGATTATTACGGCTGTGCTTTCGCCGTACTTTAGCATATCACTTAAGTACAGCGCTAGGACGGCTGAAAAATAATCACGAGTCAGTTTAATAAACTAATGTTTAGTCATATTTAACATTAAAATTTTTTATTAAGTTTTACTCAATTATCAATGCTTCACTATTAAAGAATTAGGTAAATAATTGATATATTGTTTTGTTTAAAATAGTAAATTATATTGAAAATGCAAGTATAAAAATATTTAAGTATAATATACAATAATTTACATTTTTAATGTACTTATTTTCAAACTATTAAATGATTCATAAGGCATGTTCCCTCGTTAGTATTTTATGCAATGATATGCTTTAATAGATTCGATAATTAACTACATGTAACATAACATAATAAAGAAAATTTTTCATATTTTCTAATATTTTTTTAATATTTTCTGGTATTTTTCCAATTGAAAATTACTCTTTAGATTCGATCACAATTATAATCAAAGGAACAATTGTTCTAATTGTCACAGCAGTATTTTTAAATTATATAAATAGAAGTTGCAGAATATACTGATTGACGTTAATACTTATACGTGGAATTGATGTTCATTATTTATATACTTACTGCGCATTCCATAGAAGCAGAATCTCTCGCAGAATTCATTGGTAACAATGAAAAATACTGATTTGGGGTACTTTAGTTTCTGAAAAATTTTTATAACAAAATAATTCAATTTTTTTCCTCAATAAAATATTTATATTATATTATTAATATGATTATTTAATCATTAATAATAATTTTTAGCACAGATTTTTAATATTCATAATTTTCATGGATTTTTAATATGATAATTCCTTGCCACAGATTTGAAGAAAACTATAGTTATAAATATTTGAGTAATTAATTCTTGAAATTAATAAAATTAATATTTAATTATTAATAATATTAATTATATTTTTTATTAATTTCAAATTTTTTTAACTAAAAGAATTTATATTAAAATAAAATTTACTCTTTTTAATTATTAAACATAAAATAAATTCTGGCTTTTTATAAAATATTTTGTCTGAAATTGTTCGTTTTCTATTATATGTTTCTAGTGTCATCACATTGACCTGATTAACACTATTGTTACGGCAGGCGCAATCATTTATCAGTATTTTCTATCGTAAAATGCGAAGGCCACGCCAGACTATCATGCATACTAAATATCATGAATTTACTGTTGAGGATAAGGACTTAAGATGCGATAAAAAAATAAATATGCAGCTTTGAGAATGAAATAAAATTTGTATGACATACTATTATATATTATATACTTTATTTAATTATCAAACAATAATATTAATATTAATAATATTATTATTAAAAATTAATATTAATAATAAAATAATAATAATATAATATTATTATATAATATATTATTATATTATATTATTAAAATATATTATTAAAATATATTATTAAATATATTATTTAAATATATTATTAAAATATATTATTATATATTTTATATATTATTATTATAAATATTATTATATTAATATTATAAAATAATAATAATAGTATTATTATTAAAATAAAATGAGCAAATTCAAATGGAAAGACATCTCTGATGAGTGTACCTCCAAGTGTACCTTCCAATCATAAGAATGTACATACATTTTCTTTGATATTTGCTCGTCTTTGGGAAATAATGAGATATAGAAGTGAGAAAAATATATGCAGCAGTAGAAAGATAATTGATATAAGATTAAGAGAGGGAGAAAAAGAAAGATAGAGAGAAATTTATAAAATATAATATAGAATATTTTCTAGAATTTTAATAAATTAATGGGAAATTAATTGAAGCTAGCGTTTATGCATAACGTTTTTACAGTAACACAGATTTCTAGAAGCAAGGTTATTCGTAGATTATACAGAGAGCCTTGATAGAACAATTCAAGATATATTTTTATTTCAAGAAAGAAACTTGGATGAAGAGAAATCATTAGAGAATAAATATTAATTTTTCATCACTTCATTTCAAATTGTCATTTTAACAATTTATTAATAATAACATTGTCTTCTGCCGGATCGTAATCGTGCATGCAAGTATGTGAAACCTTGTTATAAAATTTGATTGCAAATTGCATTGCGATATGTTATCAGTTTGCAAATGGTATAGATCAATGTGATATTTAAAGCCTAAAGATTTGAAAGTTTTAGATTGATGCAATAATTCTGCAATTTGTAATTAAATTTTTTTGGCGCAAACAATAATATTAACATTATTGTTATATTTGAGTAAAACCAAATAGATGTTTAAATGTCGATTAAAAAAATAATAAAAAATTAATAAAAATCGTTAACTTTTTAATAGATGAACGATTAATTAAAAGTTTTTAAAGTATTATATATATGTATAAGTAGTTGCTTTTATACAACATATAATATTATAATCTTGGTTGGATATTTATATATTTTTTTCTGTAATTTTAATTTAAAATCTTGATATAATTTTAGATCGAAATTGATAATATTAATATTACTTCAAGAATTTGTAAGTTATTGTATGACCATACGATTTTCAAGACACCCTATATACGATAATTATACTGGAATTCCGATTACTTATGCGATCAAGTTTTCCCAAACGTGACGAACATGGATTGTATGTACATTCATGAATCATTAAAGATAAATGGAATATACTGGATGTTTACGAACTACGAGACAAAGTGGTGTTCTTCTTCAACAGTTCAATAATCGATCGATTATAAATATTCATTATCTACAATATCTACACGTATATATTTTACATCTATTTTGAAATAATCTGAGATCTAAGAGTTTAAATACATGATATAAACAATAATTACTAATTACAATCCCGTAAGCGAAATTTTATATGTTCTAAGTTGATTATCACGAGTGGATCACGGAAAACTTGAAGAAAGATTTATGCCTTAGAGAAAGTATAATGATCGGCCGCAATTAAGGGAATTAGTCGGGTATGCTAGGTGAATGGAATTGAGTCAGTGAACCACAGAGCTCAATTTAAAAGCTGATTTATGCTTTAAATCAACTCAGCTCTCTTGGGATGATTTAAGAATGATATTTAAATCGCAACACACATTCGTTTCTCGAACATAAAAAATACAAGAGGACAAAAATATATAGGACATCGCACTGTCATTATATTTCTTAAATAACGACAGGTCAATGATTGAAAATGAGCTTCAATAAATTATAAATCGACATTTGTTTTTTGCGAAAATTATTAGCATATATAAATTTATATATTAGCAATATATAAATTATTTATTATATATTCTATATTATATAAATAATTAAATTTCAAATTTTATTATAAGAAACTTTGTCTAAATCAACTGGAAAATGTAATTTCATAATTCATTTGGCTTTCTGAAGTTTAGTTCGGGAGAATGCCTTCTTTCTATTATTTATAAAATTTAAAAATTATTGATGCTTCGTATTTATCTATTTAAGGAAAAATTGATCAAAAGATCTTTAGAAAATAATATGTAACGTCTTGTACACGTAAATTATTTCAACCGAATAAGTCGAATTAAATTTGGACGTGCATGTCAATGAAAATATTATATATATACAGATATATAAATATTGTACATTAACAGATTCTATTTAATTCGATTTTGAAAATTCAAGATCTTTTCAAAATTACAAAATTGAATCACGCAATTTCTAGTTAGCGTTACATTATACTTCGTAAATAAAAATGTAAATAGAAACGAAGGCATTTTTCTTGCACGACGTGTTTTTTAGAAACATACAACAAAAATATGCCTTTTTTCCTTGATTTTTCCAAAATTAAAAGTGTTCTTTCGGAATAGTGAAACTAATTTCTAGTCTATTTAATTCGTACACTAAAGTTGATTGAGCTATGATTATAGACATATAATATATAGACTTTGGCTAAAAAGTTATACAAATTTTAGAAAGAGACAGCTTTTGTAGTGTTAGTTTCTCTGTCTATCAATAACAAGAGTGGGGCAAAAATTTAATATGGTCTGCGTTTGATATATGATTTAATATTTTATAATCGACTTCTTTCTCCCATCATGCGTCGTTAAACAAGGAAGAAACTACCATCAATAGAAGCTCTCTCTTTCTAAAATTTCAAGTTACTAAAACAAAGAAGATAATGGAAACTACAGACGTGATGGAAACGCGCGGTCTATATATTATATGTTTATGGCTATGTTAAAGTTACTCAATGTCGAGCAATTATAAATATTGATATTGTTAGAGTGGCTATAATCGCGATAAGCACGACAATAATTTTACCTGTTGCACGTGCATCTTATTGGTGCCCATATTGAATGAAATTAAGGCACTAACAAATCAATATCGATCCACAAGAATTGATGTATTGATTACTTCGTCAAGTAGGAATCGTTTCTTTTTGATATGTCGCACACGTTACACAGTCCCAGTAAGTAAGAACCATTCAAATCAAATATTTTAAATTGTTGATTCTATGCATGTGTTTTGCACGTTTTCGTGTATTTTTAGAAATATTACACCGATAAAATACGAACGATATTGTCGAGTATTACGTAAAAATGCTTTAAAAATATTAATATTTAATATAAAAATATCCGAATACGTATTAATTCCACAACATTATGTCAATAATTTTTTACTGAGGACCAACGACGAGATCAGTGACAGTGATCAAGCACTCGTCGTCGATGGTTCCGCTCGTATACGCGCGTATATCGCGACTGACAGCGAGACAGTCGAGGTGACAGTTGACTACCAAAGAGTAGAGGTAGGCATCATCACGAACGAGTGTCTACTCAAAGTAAGCACAATAAACGCGCGCGACGTGTGACGGTATTGTACACCACATCGCGTAGTGTGCCAGTATTTGGAACAGTGTGAAAGTATATATGTGCAACCAAACGATTATTTTCCAGGTGACTCAGGTGCGCAGGCCGAGACAGTTCTCTTTTTCTCTTCTGACGCGCGTCGAGTTATTAGAAAAAAATTATCTTCGTCGAGTGAACGAATAAATAAGATGAAAAGTGCAAATATCATGATTCAAGAAGTCGATTCTCTCAGCTGGCAATATTGATATTTATATTTCTTTCCTTCTCTCTATCTTTTTCAAGAGATTAGAGAAAAAAGTGACAATAATACCTTCTTCTTTTTCATCTTCATCTTTTTCAAGAGTCTAGTGAGAAAAGTGACAATGATAAATATTATCTATTAAAAAGAGAGAAAAGGAGAGATAGAAAAGAACCACTGCAACAAAACGAGTTTATCTATGTCAAAGTAGACGTCATCTTCCATACTAATAATAGAATTGCATCTCTTCTGTTGTACTAATCTTGTGGATGATATAAGTTTGTAGCAGCAGAACTGCATTTTTTATATTATTATCATAATAATTGTAATCTACAGGAAATCCGGGTGTTCGTCGATTCCGTTTATTCGGATTCTATTCCTCATAAGACAATCGTACATGTGTGTGTTATTTCTTTTGCATATTATTTTCGAATTATCTATTTAATAGAACAATTACATCAGTTGATTGCGATCGAATTATTATTACGATCGTATCTTTTACAGAGAGGGAGAGAAATCAAGAGATATCTCAACAAATACATGTTATTATATGTGCAGAAATTGAAATTTATTTGTCTAAATTCACTTTCACTGAAGCAATTAAAAAAGCGATAATTAAAAAGAAATCAAGCTTAATTTTCGCAATCTTTTTAATCACCCGTATTTTAAAACTTTCTCTGTCAAGAACATTTTATTAAAAACTTAGAAAATTGTTATTGAAAATTTATAACGCTGTTAAAATGTAATGTATCGTACGTGGCTATCTTTTTGCATTTATTATGGAACTGGAACTCACTTGTGTTGCGGAATCTGTCGTAAAACAAATACGCAATTCGACGAGAGACGTTTATTCGACGATTTCGAAACGTGTAAGGATCATGTGATTTTGCCAAAAGCTCATTGATATTCTTATATTTTTATATTTTTCTCTTCTCGTTGACTATACGATCATTTTGTACAAAAATGTCTGCTCGTTATTGCATCGTCACAGATTATGCAACGCGTTTAAATGCGCAGCAATAATGATAAGCTTTCCATCTTAAAAGAACGTTATAAAGCGAAAGTGATGCCGCGACGCATATTTTCACAAAGTCTTACACTGATACACACAACAGACGAAATTATCTGATAAAATTATGTATGCATGTCTATTGATACATTTCTATTTATTTCTCACCATATACTCACCATCTTATCGCTATTATAGATTATATTAATATGTAGATTAGATTAATATATGTTGATGTAATCCATTAAATCAATTTTATTGATATTTGAACAAGTTTGATTCTCACCTCTTCCTGTTTTTCGACATTGATCTGTTCATCTGGATGATTTGGATGATCTAAAATACAAAATATCAATATTTACGACAAAGCATTGATTCTTCTATCGAATTATTGAGTAAAAAAATATAGAAATCATGATTGACAAAATATAACGTTAAGAATCATTTTTGCTATCGAGAGATGTGTGAAAAAACTAATAAGATAACAGTGTCGTGTCTTGTGCGTTCGCTAAATTCGAGCCTGTATTTTTATTTTTAAATTAGTCACGTTATATTGATTAACGGTCACTCAATAGAGAATCTAAATGATTCAATTTATTATATACAATAAATTTGCGTGTTCAATTTTGAATACCTAACTGGCATAAACCGGTTTTAATGAATTTTAGATTCGACCGCATGTAACTTAATATTTATATAATAATATTTGTATAAATTGAGTATCATCACGAGTTTACTCAAGAAATCAATTTGGGCCATCATCAACGGTTGGTTCATTGTACATAAATTGTTTTAATAAATATAAATCGAAGAATTAATCCTGCCAAAGAGATAAACACAATTTTTTATATTTAACAAAATTAATCAACTAATCTATATTTCATTAGATTTTTGTAATTGACAATTTAATAACTTTTCTTTATTATAGAAATAGAGTGAAGAGAGAAGGAGAAAAATAAGAGTAGGGAATAAGTAAGAGATAAGTAGAGAATAAGTAAGAAATAGAGAATCGAGACCATTTTATTGGAATAATTTATCGAGCATTCCAACTCCTTTCTTCAACAAGTTATACCATAATATACAAGTTATATCATAAAGCAATAAAATAAATTATAACTCAATCGCGAATATCTGCAATGATCTATGCGAATATTTGAATGGTAATTTGATTATGCAAGAAAATCGCGGGAACGAGTTGTAAATAGATGTAGAGAAACCGTCGGCAATCGTTTACCATTTTTGCCATGCCGATCATTAATATACATAGCAACGGCGAATTTTATGTACGACTGTTTAAATTAGGCCATGGTCCAATCGCGCTCGTTTAAAAAGATCATTACAAGATTCGCGTTAGCGTTAAATTATCAATTAAATATTTTATGAATAGAATTTTATGTCCAGAGATATGCTGTTCGGGAAAAAATGTTATCGTTTATTTTATTTTTGCTCTCTCTCTCTCTCTCTTTGTGTGATTATAACGAATTTAATCAGATAGGGCGCGCAGAACAACGCGAATATATTGTTCGCATCATTTTTTTACTTTGTTCCGTTACTCGACAATTTCTTATCATGCTTCCTGTATTAATTACGATTCCGAGATAAACGTCATTCTTTCAAAATATAAAGAGATATGCAATATTATCGCAACAGCCAATTATTTACTTATTATTTATCAATGATTACAATACTCAATTCTTAAGAGAGAGATAAGAAAATTGTGCTCATTTAAAAAATTTTCATGAAGCTTTGAATTAAATTATTATTTTAATTAAATTGCTACGCCCATACGCGTATATCGTTTGTATGTGTGTGTGTGTGTGATTTATTTATATAATTAATAAATTATTACTCTGCCGAAATTAAAACATTAATTAATTATGATCGAGACATTTCTAATACTTTTCTATTAATCCGTCTAATTAATGTTTAATTAATCTAAATAATGAAATAGTACTTTCTTGCAATTAAGAGATAATTACATTTACATAACTTCAGAAGAATAATTTTGTTATTACTCACGTTCACAATTTCATAAATTATTCATCTAAATGATTAACAAATCGGTTTTCTACTCATGAAAGATAAGAATAAGTTATATTTCGAATCTAAGTAAATATTTGAACGAACTAATTATATTGCATTTATAGATTTATACATGGAAAGATTTTTAATATTATATCATTGTTGTTCTCGTTATCGTTTATCTGACCTTATTTCTTTAACTTATCTATATTTATTAAAAAGTCAATTATTTAATTGACAACTTGATTATATATATTCATGATTATTTATAATAAAAAAACTGTGTATGTGTGTCATTGAAATTTATGGATCATTATAATTCGAACTGATATAAAAAAAACGATTACAATTATGTCTGAGGCCACTGAAAAAATGTTTGATTTGCGATTGAAAAAATATTTACTGTTTTCATTATCGAAAGCAGAATAATGCGATTAACGGAAATTTATCGAAGGAAAGCGCGTCCTCGTTTCAACATGAATGAAGTGTGATTGATCGATGTGAGAGAAACCAAACACGGACTGCGATCTTGCAAAGATTGAGAAAACAATCTATGTTTTCTCTTTCTAATTTGTAAAAAATAATATTTTCTGTCTTTTAGATGATAAAGATCGAAGATTTAATTTATTTCTTTTCTCTCTCTCTTTTTTCCTTTTTTAAGTCAATTCAATACCTTCAATCTCGTTTTCGGAAGTCATTTTCCTTGGTTTATTCAAAGTGTCCATCTTCACCGATTCTTGCTCCTATCCAGTTTACCCTCGCGACAATGACTGATCCGTCTTTTCGACCGTCGTATCGACAGTGTAGATTATATCTCTATTATTCATCTTATCTATCAAAACCTGCAGACCTGAGCAAGATTACAAAGACGCGAGTTTATCATATACAAACTGAAAATCTTGAGGTTCCGTGTATTGGTACCAGAGAATGTTGACAATTTGGATTTTCCACGTGACGTGAATCGCTGTGTGACTTTTCCAATCCGGTTTCTGTCTCAAAAGTTTTGCATTATATCACATAATATTTTGTGTTATATTACATAATAATAAACGAATTAAAATTTATCAAGTTACAACAATATATCAAGTCCTCTAATCTGCAATAAAAGGAAATTTTTCACCTATCATATCGATGATATAAAACAAGATAATATATTTTGCAGGCTTTTTCTTCGAAACTTTTCCTCGTCTTAAGGAAGAATATTCGTCTTATCCATCGTAAATGCGGAAGAGCTCGAAATCAGGTTGCAGCGTATCTTCTTTTTTTTCACAAGAAACAACGTCGTCTTCTCCATGACGAGCTTAAGAAAGTGGCCTGTAAAAAAAATGTGTCCAATGAGTCGTACATTCACGATATCGAGAATCTATGGAATTAAATATCAATCGACCGCTAATCATTAATGACACTGACTAATATTAAAAATTATCGTTATCATAAAACAAGGTTGTCATAAAGCAAGATCGATTCGCAGAATTGTAGAATTTAAAGAGAGAGAGATTTAAATTGTTGATTGGAGCAACTTTCGATCATCGAGTACCGAGTTTATTCATTATCAAGGATATCAAAGAGTCAAAACAAATTCTATATCGATAGATTTTAATTTAACAGAAAGAATTTCAATTTTCCAAAATCATGTTTTTCGAAAATAAAATCTACTATATAGATAGAATTTAACAGAAAAGAATTTCAATTTTTCAAAATGTTTTTCGAAAATAAAATCTACTATAAAAACAAAGTCTTTTGGATTTATTTTTTTCACGAAGATTTTGCACATCATATTTTACTGGATCTTATACATATCTATATCTCTAACTAGAGAGAGTTGAAAATTACTTCTATTCAATCAATTCTACTTCTTATAAATTCTTCAGAAGATTTATCGTAATAAAAAAATCGAAGAACGGTTCTCTCTCGATCGTCCCTAATGTTGACGCTCGAGTTCGATCATGCGTTTCGAGAGCAGCAGGCCGATTAGTACGAGAACGGGATGGACGGTACCCGCGAGTATAACGGTAAAACTGTCGCCGTCCACAGAGACAGAGAAGAAGCGAGTCCGAGACCGAGAGACTCGTGCTCCGAAAAACCAGACAGAGACGAAGGAGGGGTCCTCTTCAGTGCTGTCTTTCGTGTCCGCCAAAGTCTAGGTAGATAGATCTCGGAATCATCGCGGAACTCCTGATTGGCGATTTTACGCGCTGTTTAAATTCAAACATGATCCTCCACCTGTGTAAGTTCACGTGAATGAGTTATTGTGCTAGGAGGGACAGAGGATTGCAGTAAATATATCAAAATTCTCGAAGCTTCGTCATTTCCCATAAATATCTCAATCGAGAATGCGAAGCAGTTATAAAATTTTTCCTTAAAATTTCATAAATAATAATGGAAATAATTAACTAAAATCACATGCAAAATCAAAGTCAGATATTTGAAAGGAGGAATTTTTTAGGAAGAGAAAAATTACGGGTACCAGAGAGGCGATTTGTCTCCCTGTCATTCTGGATGTCGGGGGCCTCTTCCACGTGCTCTTGCGACTAAGTCCGTTCCTGAGGATTGCGCGAGAGGCGACGAGGAGGCGACACACGCATCAACGAGCGATGGGGTTCGACGTGAACCGCTTCCAGGGCGACGTGGACGAAGAACTCGTGTGCCCAATATGCTCCGGCGTCCTCGAGGACCCCGTCCAGGTAGGACGACGCGCACGCTCGAGTCAGGGGAATCTCGCTGTAGTCCTCGTCCTCCGTCTAACCTAACCTAACCTAACGATTCCTCAGTCTGCGCGTTGTTATCCGAGGCGAGCTTCGTGAGATAGCTCGACCGGGAAAGAGGAAGCGAAGCTACATTTTTTTCTCTCGAAGAGAAATAAAATTGAGAAATAAAAAAGAAGACTTACCGGCCTCGATCGACGAGATTGACGGATCTATGGCGAGATTTTACGGTTTTCCGCGGCGTGTGATTTGTCAGACGCGTGACATCTTGCGCGAGATATACCTCGCTACGTTCATGTCAACATTTCTCGTCGTCGCTATAACCCGTTTGCATCGGCCTAGAAGCAAACCGAGTCACGTATCCGCGTCTATAGGCTAGCTTTTAGCTACTCGCTGCTATTATCAGTCATTATCATGTATTTACTTTTATCTAAACACTTCTATCATTTCCGCCACGTGGATGTTTCTTAGGCAAAATATTTATGTATGAAATATCGAAGCTACCATTTCTCATAACACTTGAATATTTTTCATATCGGCTGCAAATTTTTCATATACTTTCTAATTCCTGGGGAGACTGTATAATTTTTTCATTTATAATTTTCTTTTATTTTTCTTAAAAAATTTTTCTTAAAAAATATTTACGTATGAAATATCGAAGCTATCATCTCTCATAACTTGAATATTTTTCATATCGTCTGCAAATTTTTCATATATTTTTTAATTCCTGGGGAGACTGTATAATTTCATCATTTATAATTTTCTTTTATTCTTCTTAAAAAATTTACATCACTTTATTCTTCGAGGACATCGCAATCCATCCTACTGGAAATAATTTATATACACTTGTTTATTGCTATGAAATTGTGGCAGCTTACGAGGACTTGCAGGTGAGCAATGTGTTGCAGGCACCAGTGTGCGAGCATGCCTTCTGTCGTTCCTGCATCAACGAGTGGATAAACCGTCAGCCCACTTGCCCCCTAGACCGTACACCCATCACGTCCGCTCAGCTGAGAGCGGTTCCTAGAATCCTGAGAAATCTGCTGGCTCGTTTGTGCATCAATTGCGACAATATTGTGTACGGTTGTAACGCCATCGTTAAACTGGACAGTCTGACGTCGCATCTCGAACAGTGCGAGTACAATCCCAAGAGACCGATGCTGTGCGAGCAGGGCTGCAGCCTGATCATCCCCAAGAACGAGCTCAAGGATCATAACTGCGTGCGCGAACTGCGTAACCTGATTCAGTCGCAGCAACAGAAGCTGGCAGATATGAAACGCGAACTCGGCGAGCAACAGTTGCAAATCAACGAGCACAAGCGCGAGATTCACTTGCTCAAGGACTTTATGCGCGCCCTCAGGGTGTCGAATCCGGCGATGCGCGCGATCGCTGATCAGATGGAGCGGGACGAGGTCGTGAGATGGTCGGCGACCCTTCCACGCGCCAGGGTAACTAGATGGGGCGGCATGATCTCTACGCCTGACGAGTTGCTGCAGGTGCGAATTGTTAATTTATCAATCGTCAAAGTTATTTTGGCGTGAACAACAATTTGTAATTTTCCCTCATTTTGAGATTTTACTTTTATTCGTTTACAGACGATGATAAAGAGAACTCTGTCGGAGTACAATTGTCCACCTCATGTGATTGACGAGCTGATGGAGAACTGTCACGAGCGGAAATGGCCACCCGGCCTGAATTCCCTCGAGACCAGGCAGAACTCTCGACGACAATACGACAATTATGTATGCAAGAGAGTGCCCGGTAAGCAAGCGGTGCTGGTCCTCCATTGTGATAACACACATATGCCGGAGGATATGATGGTCGAGCCAGGACTAGTGATGATCTTTGCGCATGGCATCGAATAGAGTCATTGGATATCGTAGATGAATACGACTATTGATTCAACATTGCTTAAAGCCAAGATCATCGATATCGTCCCGCAAATGGAGGGATAGCATTTGGAATTTGCTCTTTCAGCATTTGCAAATTGAAACCGATTGTTCTGGAGGTTGATTCGAGAAACATCTGATCGTCATCAAGGTCGTTTACTCGGACAATTTCTTTAACGGAATACTCGCGGTTGGAAACGTAAGATTACATGTTATCCTTGCGAGTTCATTCCGAATTGAAGCCGCCGAACATACACGAATGATGATGCGCACACTGTCGTCCCATGTGATATGCAACTCTAGAGGCGCGATTGCCATGTACATCGAGTAGATCGGGACTGTAACCGTAATCGATGTGGTAAACCAAATAACGTATACATGCAATACGTTCGATTTGCCTTGCCAATCGGTTTATCGATTACCTCGATCGCACTCCCACAGGAAAACTCAATCGAATGTCTGGATCGTTGCACTGTGATATATCACTTCGGTGAAAAACCTCTTAAAATTACGTGATAAATGATCGACCACTCTCTCTTCTTTTGGCCGGTCAATCGATCGAATTGTACATTTTTTTTCGTCGGCGGTCCGTTTTTCGTTCATTTCAGGATCGTATACGAATACTTAGAAGTCTGAATGTTTATTGATAATACTTTAGAAGGAATAAGCTATGATTGGAGGGGAAATTCCCAAGTGATCTAATAATGCAAGCATCTCGAAATGGGGTACGAATTTGTTACGATACGATTCGTTTTTAAACATTTTTCATACATGTCAAAAGCGATGTTTTTCTCGATCTTTTTCTTATTTTTACTTTTTTCGAAATTACCCAAATTGTACGTTATAGATAAACCAATCTCATTATCATTCTCTTTTCATACCGCACGAAGCCAAACATTTTTTTAAAAATTGTCTATGATCTTTTGTTGAAGTACACGAAATATATACCTTGATTATTTCGAGTCGATGGCACATTTCACTTGTCGTATCATCGTACTAAGGTGCCGTACTATTTTGCTACATTAAATCTAAATTTTTCAAATAGTGTATCATTGAATTATCATTCGATAGTGATAAGATCATCTTGCATAAATTAGCCATTATATCAGTTAATTAGCTTTTATATTTCACAGCACCCTAATTTATATGTTTTGCAAGTCGCGTAACGTCAAATGCTTCCTCGTTATCTCTTTTACCTTGTCATAATTGTGCTAGTACATACAGCAGGATGGGCCAATAGATCTTTAGAAAATCTCCTTTTCGATGAGAGAATTTTGTAATTTATTTTCACAATACATAACTAAAAGAAATAGATTAAAGAAACAATAAATATATAGTTTGAATGAAAGAAATAGGATAGACATATTTAAATACGTTAAAAGGAAAAACATCCTGACACCTGATCAATACATCTTGTTAATTACTTCCAATAAGTCTTCAAAGAGAATCATGACGTCAAGTATGGCGAATATATTTAAAAAGCGAGAAAGAGAGAGAGTTGTATATTGTCTTTTGTACCTTTTTGTCCGATAAATTATATTGCTTGATAAATGCCATTAATCATGAACTTGGACATAAATTAGAATTTTAAGCGTAACATTTAGAGATTGTGTAGTAAGACAATTCGATCAACAGACTCTGATTATATACATACAGTATATATAATAATTATAATAAATCAGATTTTTACATATTATAAGTGATTTAATATACCTTATATTTTATTTTTTTTTTCCTCACTTTGTGCGAACAATACAATAGAATCCTATCCTAAATTATGCGACAGATGAAAGATGAATCGATTAAACAAATTAATATGCGCAAATAATAACTACAACATATTAGCAATAATCGCGAAATGTTGGCACTAGACGTTGCAAGGATCGTCTCTATAACTGTAAGTTACAGTTTAGTAAATGATGTTATCTTTTTATATTTTTTCGAGGGGGATTTAAATCTTTCAAATATCAAATTGCAACCGTTAAAATTTTCAACTATTTTGCAATAAACAGCGATTATTTTTTCCCAAAACTTTTTAAATTAAAAAGATTTATGCATGCATCATTTTCTAAATTATGGATTTGACGTTTACGTGACATTCTTTTATCAATTGTTTTTCGGAAGATACAATTTATTTTGTTGTTGAGTTAATGCAATATTCATTTTTGTACATATAATTTTCACGAGTGCACTTTTATATTTTCTTAGAGAGAGCACAGATCGCACCTGATTCACACTATATTAGGGCATGAGTTTTATGGCAGACACGCATTTTATATATGTACATTTATTCATCGCATTTTCATTAAAATTCTTCTTTTATGTGTTCGCGACATAAAATTGCAAACTATTTAAGGTACTATAATGAAATGGCGCTATATATATATTAACGAAGAAACAAGTATTATTTAAGAATGATAATTTTAGTAACATTAACAGTACCACAAGACTGAGCAAAAAAATCGAAAACGGATTTTTGAGAATTTTTTATTATGTATCGGAATTTGGATTTATTTACAATAAGTGCCGAGTGCGCGATACGCACAAAAATATACAGAATATTATATATATATATATATATATATATATATATATATATATATATATATTCATAAAGAATAAAAAACGCTTGTAAATTTTATAAATATTCTAATCTCATTTTTGACTTGCTTCCTTTTCTGTATAAACTTTCTCATCTATAGTATATAACTTATATCTCTTTTATTAGATCATATATCTTTGGTGTTACAAACATTTCTTTATCCTGTACAAGTAAATTTTCATATAACTCTTTGGAAAATTGAAAAAACATTTTTTCCAAAGAGAAAAACTAAAGGATCTATATAAATTCAGATTTTTTCATGCAGATTTATTTATATTATGTATTATTTTTTGCATGCATATAGGCATTGTAGAAATTAATGAAAACAATGTTTTGAAGAAAAAAAAAAACAATTCTCTCATGTAATTTTGGATTAAAATTTTCGTCATACGTTGAAATTCCTTTCGATCGTTTTAAATAGTCGGACATTTACCGGCAATCACTTGTCCGTAGGCTCGCTCGGGCCTGATGATGATGAGTTTCGAGTTGACATGAATGTTGTTAATGCAGCCGACATATTGAGTCTTCGAGGTGCTGCCTTGCAATCCTCTTCTAAGTAGAAAATGGCCACCGATGTATATCGGTTGCTTTGATACGACTCTACCCATATTCGAGTTACTAACTGCGGGCGGCAACGGTTTATGATCGATTGCCAGCAATACTGCATTCTTCTGTTTGGAGGCTGTTTGGAAAAAGAAAGACAATAATCGTAGAAGACATTTAATTAGCATCGAGTATTAGTATCCATTAATACAAAAGATTCCAGATTAATTTAAAAAATTGTTAAAATACAATATTGAGAATTGATCTTTTTACATTTTGTAAAAAATTAAATTATCGTACGACTTTATATCCTTTATACCTGTAATATGATGCCATTGACCGTCGCATAGGAAGTTTGATTTCGGCGGCTCATAAGAGGTCTCGATCAAGCCTTTTTGTGTCTTTACGACAAACTTGATGGTACCATTGATCATCTCCAGCACAAGATAATCCTTCTTACCATGTACCGATAGCAAGTGTCCGGACGTCGAGCGTGGTTTTATGTCCATCTCGATCTCAATCGTGCCTACATCGTTGAATCTATCAACTGAAAATTAACGGTAGAATGTTTATTTCGAATGTTTAATAATGTTCAATTAACTGTACGGAATGAAAATATATTCATCGCTTAATATGCTACACGATATGTCTAGCATACATTCTCACCTGCTTTATACAAGTTACTACCATTTCCTGGGAAAAAGAAGATACCATTTTCGACTCTGCTCGAGCAAGGTATTACGCCTATTTTCTCTGGTGGTTCTCCAACAGTTTGGCCGTTCATCATGAAATTTGCTAGACAGCCGTTAAATGTCTTATTGATAGTCTGAAAGAGATTCGAAAGATGTATATTATACATGCTTAGAATCCTTAAAGAATTTCTCTAAGAGGAATTAATTTGGCAATCTTACAATGTTTGTATGCGCGATGCTGGACATTTCTGGCAAAATACCTCCCACGAAGAACGGTGGATTAACGTTGATGGTTGTGGCGTCTCCCAGCGAGTATCCCGTCACTGGGGTCTCTTCGTCTACAGTCAGTGAGCCATATTTACCTTGTCTCTTGAAAACTACTATATGCCATGCATCGTCATTGATTAACTTGTCGTTTACCAATAACGCCGAGCCGCTTCCGCAGTTGAATATGTAGTGAACCTTAAAGAATTATTTTTCAAGATAGAGATGAGAAGATTTTGCTGTGTGAATTAAAGTACTTTGTTACCTTTCCGTTAAATATGTACACGGCGATCAAGTTCGTATTTTTGAGACCGGAAGCGTAGAATATAATTCCATTCTCCGCTGTTGTTTTTATATCGATTTGGAAATCGTAATCGTCCTTGTATCTTCCCTTCAGTGTTCTATATTCTAATCTACTGTTCTTCGCGACGCCTAAAAAATTATTAAATATTTGAAATTTTATAACATTACTTAACATAAATTTCAGATTGAATATATTTTTATTTATTTAAAAATGCATACCAAATCGCCAAGAATTCTTGACATCAGGATCCACAGCTGGATAGTATGGGAAGTGACATTCATCGACAGTTTGAGGTTGCTGTGTAGTAGTCGTGGTAGTGGTATCGTATTTTTCAACATCAACTCGTCCTTCCAACTTTGGTTCTTCCCATTCATCCTTGTCGTCTTCCTTTTCTAAGTCGACGTCTATGATATCTGAAAGAAATTTGTGTTTTTGTTCTACATTATAAATATTTACGATATGAGAGAGAGATATAGTATGATTTTTATTTCTTTAGAAAAATCTATTATTATTAACTTTGCTTACTGATTTGAGTTGACGATTCCACCGAATCTTCAGGAACTTCTGACGGCAGCAACGGTGGCAAAAATTCAGGTTCGACGATTGGCGGTAAAGCTAAATAAATCAAAGCAATATATAATTAAAAACAGAACGCGTGGCTTAAGAATGATTCACGAAATTGTAACATACGTGTTTGATCGCCACCCTTGCATTTTCCTAGGAACGCATGCGGCCTCTCAGTCGTGTTGGCAAAATTGATAATGATCTTGCTGTTGACAGTCGCGTCGCCGATGCAACCGACGAAAGGCACAGTATTAACAAGGTCGAGAGTCAACGGCAATCCGCCGATATATAGACTGCCATAGAGGAAGTTCAGCGGTGGCGGCGCCGAGTTGGTGCTATAACTCTTTGTGTCGTCGATGTCAAGACTGAGATCTGATTGGCTATGAGTGGCAGTCACTACGTGCCACTCATTATCATTGAAGTTGACATCGGACGGGTTAGTCCTAAGTACTTCACCTTGGCTATTAAATACCAGCTGACCGTCTATTAGCGACAAGAAACTGCTGGCTGGATTTCCTTGATCATCATTGGTCGCGTAGAAAATTAGACCGTCATTGGCTAAAGTTTTAAATTTAAGATTTACTTGGAGATCGTTGGATATTAAGTTGCGCCACCTCACGTAGCCAGGCATGTTTTCCTCGAACGAGACGAGCCTAGCAAACTGAAAAAAATAATTTGAAAAGTTATCAAAGTTATTAAATAATAATTCAAATTAGAAAAGTTAGTAGTTGTTCAATAAAAATTTGAATTTGTAATCCGTTTTGCATTTCACAAATAATAGAAATTTCAATTACCCTGACTGGACAACCAGGTATAACTCCAAATGCCTGAATGTTGTGAGTAAGATCGACTGAAGTATCGAGGATGACAACATCATCGATGCAACCTTCAAAGCCGTTATTGGTAACTGTATGATAATGATGTTTTACATTAGGCGGATATCCACCGAAATAAATGTGATCCGATGTAGCCAAAGGCTTGGTGGTTCCTTGCTCTTGTCTCGACGCGACCGTGTGGTCATCGATTTTCAGCGCACCCCTTGTGTCCTGTCTGATGGCTTCCAAGGTGTGCCAATTACCATCATTATATCTGTCGTTGGATTGCAAGCCAATCACACCTTCGCCAAGATCGTACTGATACAATATTCGACCTTTTTTTATTTCCAGTGATAAGAATTGCCTGCCTTTGCCCATTAGATAAATCAATCCATCTTCTGTGAGGGTCTTGAAGGATAATTTGATAATGAACTTTCTGGTATCTGGTGTGATCTGCGAACCTCTCTTACTGAGGATTGCGTATCCGTGTCGATCGAAGCGATATCCCCTACTCGGTGCAAAGTTGATGAGCTTGTCGCGCTCAAATGCACTCTTCCAGTTGTTCTCACCGTCGACAAAATTCCAGAAAGACACTGGTATATCGCCTACTATTAGCTCTTCCATCTCACCCTCGAATGAGGCTGTGGTCACGGCATCTTGAATGTGGAAGGACGACGGAAATCCACCGACAAACAATTTTGAATGCTCCTGATCTACATTGAAGATATAATAAGAGCCCGATAGCACTCGCTCCTTTTCGTATAATGCATCCTTGCCTTCACCGATATCTTCGCGAACGATCAATTTAACGTTCTTGCCAGTTCTAGAAGAAGAAGTTAGAAGAACATTAACACAAGATTATATATTAAGATATATTAGAATCAAATAAAACTAAATGAACCAGTGCTAACCTGTCGATAATTATCTGCCGCCACACGTTATCCGATACAAATCTGTTATGAATTATCTTTTCGGGTCCAGATCCTAAATCAACTATAAGTACGGGATATCCGCTTTCGATCAATAGCGCCATAAAATCATACTGCAAAATATAACATCGTTATAAGTATTCTTTGTTTACCCAAATTTTTACGATTTGTCATCGACTCACCGTCGTAGAGCGTGCTAGTTTGACTGTTTCCTCATTACCGAGATATAATAGGAAACCGTTAGTCTTGTTGGTTCTGAAATACAGAGAGATCATAGTAGATGTGGCTAGTAATGGCAGACTCTCTGGATTCTTCAACTCTAGAGTAGTGTTTCTATAGAAGGTCAAGCCAGTCTTGTATCGATTCGCTAGTTCTCGTGCATTCGCAATCTTGTTCCTCAAAGCCTCGATCCTGCTCTGCAGGTCGTTTCCGATCGTATCAACCGATTTTTGATTATTATTTAAACTTTTTAGCAGATTAATAATATTTGGCGTCATTTTGTCGACAATATCTAGCTGTTTCTTTGCCTGCGATATGTCGCGGATCGACTCTGAAGTATTTTTCGACAGCTGCTTTGTCTCTCGCAAGTCCTCCGGAATCTGATCCACGATACCGTTCATGTTGTCGATGGCAAATTTGATGTCGTGCTCGACGTTCACAGCCTGATTCATGGCATCATGCGCGATTGAGAACGACTGTAAAGGAATATTGCCGAGGGTCCTAAAATTTTATTAACAAAAATTTTATAACATACAGATAATAAAAAGTTTTATTTGTAGCATAAATGCTAAATTATAAGCCTCTTAATATACAACATGTATTATTTTCTTTATAAATATAAATTTAATTTTTTAAAAAATAATTTTTAAAAAAATTTAATAAATAAAATATAAAATATAACTTTTCTTCTTTTTCTTTCTTAAAATTGAAATATTAAAAATAATTGTACTTGTCAATAGAATCGAGAAGTTCCTTGTTGAGGTTGTTTTGGTTATCGATCAAGGTCGCGTTGTTTGTTGCATCTCGCAAATCATTCTCTGGCTGTTCAGTTGCCTTCATTAGAGCGAGTTGTGCGACGGAGAATAACTTAAAGCATTCTTGTCGAGAATCCAATATCTTTTGCTCGATTCCAGCAGACTGAATAAATGGAATTACATACATACAACAAATTAATTAAAAATTTTCTAATGTGTATAAAATAAATAAAATAAATAAAATAAATAAAATGAAAAATATAATTAAAATAAATAAATCAAGATTATATAATATAGTATATTAAGCCCCGTACTAATAATGTTGCATTCTCAGCAGCGTTTATAGCATCGTCCGCAGCGTCTTTCGCAGCTTGAATAGCGATTTCGATATCTCTGTATGCTGAAACGGCTCTCACGGCGTTAGTATTGCGAGTATCAGTTAACAAACTATCCAGTTCCAACGAACGATTATACAAATATACTGCATGAGAATGAGCTCTCTGTATCGGTTCAGTTAGATCGAATAACATTTGATCGTTGTGGACGATGGTATTGTTCAACTGAGCAGCCGTGTCGCCAACGGCATTGGTTTCTGAAAAAGAGAAAATTTTTATTTTACCTCCATTTCCGCGATTATTTTTCTCAAAGCATCTTCAAAACATTGAGATAAAAAAGAAATGACATTTACGCAGAATAACGATGTTGGCTTTAGCGTCATTAAGGAACTGGCTGGCATTTTTGTTGAGCTTCTCGCCGGCTTCTAAATCTTCCTTTGCTTCAGCCGTGGAATTTTTCACCACGTCCAAGTTACCAGTCTGCGCTGCGATTCTGTTCTCTCGATTCAACTTATCGACCATGCTGGCCGATTCTTGAGCCGTTTGCGCAATATCTAGCAAATCATCCATCTTGGCGCTAGCGTTCTTGATCCTATTGCTAAGATCAGATGCAGCGAAGCTTAAATTGCTGACCGGAAAATTGTACTGCTGCATCTCGGAAACTAGAATGTTGGCCTGGTCGGCTTGGTCCACGGCATTGTCTCGGAACTTGACGAAGGAAACGTCTTGGATTTTCTTCAGAATCTCCTTTGCCTCGTTTAGGGCACTTTCGAGCTTGGCGGCTGTTCCTAATTCAATATTCAATACCAATGATTGCACCTCCGATACAATTAGATTTACTAAATCAATCTTGCGTGCCACATCTTCATCCAAGGTATTCATATCCCGCAGTGTGTTTTCCGCATCGTTCTTTGACTTGATACTGTCTTCGGCGGTGAAGTCAATCTGTCGTTTCTGATTATACACTATATGCTCCAAGTCCTTTAATTTCTTTTGTAATGGCTGCAAGTTTACTCGACTTGGATCTAGCGATTGAACTTCAGGATAAAGCTCGTTGGCTGTATCATTGATAAATTTGAGTCGTTGGTTTGTAAAGTAACCTTCCGCAACGGTCTAAAAACACATCAGAGACACATTCCAAGTTATATATACTTGTTTTATACATATACATATGTATATTCATGAGAGATACTCTCTTCTTTGCTTACACTATATTCGCGCGAAATGGGTTGCAATAAATCTTCCAATTCATCTGTGACATCCAGAAGATTCCCCGTACAAGAACCGCAGGAGAAACAACCTTGCGCCGGTATAAGCACATGTCGATACGGACAATGGTCGCATTTTTCACCAATCACACCTGGTAGACAGGTACATTGGCCGGTGGTTGTATTGCAAGATACGCCGACAGAATAACCAGTGTGACATTCACAAGCTAAAATAGATACATGTGATGATTTGAACCTTAATTTGAGCAAATTTTGATTTATCGTAAGAAAAACTATTACTCTACATAATAATTATCAAGCGCTCTAATAATCAGTTTAGTAAACATGATTTTTTTACGCTTGAATAAAACTTAATATTAATGATCTTTGTAAGAAAAATAATTATTCAAATATTGACTCAAGAAAGCTACTTTACATGTGCATCCATCTGATTCATAGTTCCAATATCCTTGAATGCATTGGTCGCATCTGCGACCGGTGACACCCGGCATACACTTGCACTGTCCCGTCTCCTCATCACACTGGCTGCTCTCTGAGGCTGGACCGCATTCGCAGGGCCTGCAGCCTTCACAAGCGCTGAAGCCATAATGATCGGGCGCGCAGCGATCACATTGCTCGCCGATCACGTTTTCTTGACAGAAGCATTGGCCGCTGTAGCTATCGCAGTGCTCCATCCCGCACTCATCGCACACACAGCTGCGACAGTCCTTTCGCTGTACGGCATCGCCGAAGAATCCAGGCGCGCACAAATTGCACGCCTCGCCATATGTATTATTCAGGCATTGCAAGCATTGACCAGTGATGCTGTCACATGAGCCGAACTGATTGGTGTCTATATTGCCAGAGCATTCGCACAGCTTGCAATAGTCGCCGTACACTTCAGGATTGCCGTAGTAACCGGCAGCGCAAGCCTCGCAACGGGCGCCGTAATATCCAGGTAGACAGTCGCAGCTAATCTTATTGCCCTCGTCATTTACCTCGCAGCCAGTGGCGAAGTTGTTAGAAGTAACCGGTAGTGGGCACGCGCAAATTAAACAATCAGACGGTGTTCCCACTGTGGCGTTACCATAATAGCCCTGTTCACAGAACTCGCAATGGTCGCCGGTGGTGCCATTCTTGCAATTCTGCGAGATATTAAAGAAAGTTTATAAGCTTTCATCGGAAAAATCTGGAAATTTTATTCTAAGAAGAAGATTTCCTTTTCAACTTACCTGACAAATTCCAGTGTTCACATCACATATGGTCGCATGGCCATTGCATTGACACGGCGCGCAATATCCTCCGTACGGTCCTGATTTAACTCTGTAGTAGCCAGGTGCGCATTCTTCGCATGAAAGTCCTTGGTAATTGGGTGGACATTGGCACTGCTCGATACTGCTGGCTGGAACATTATATTGCGCGGAATACTGTTCCGTTGTGACATCCAAAGTTGCGTACGCTAATCTGTAAATATATTTAAAAAAAGAATAAGATTCATCGACATTTCGACGCATATAGAGTCGCGGATACATACGTTGCCATTAAGCTGGGACTCCAATATGTAGCACGTACATAAATTCCGCGTAGATTTTCTAGAACTACCATAAATTGTTCTCTCGTAGCGCTGAGTCTATTGCTAGTTAAAAAGTTAGTCTCAACGAGACGAACGGAAGATCTGAAGTTTACAAAAGACGGCGGCTGTTCGTCAGAATAGTAGAACAGGGTAGTATTGGCACCCTGAAGAACCACATCAGCGGCGCTGACAGCCTTACCGAAGGGTCCCGTACTATAGTAAACGGTATAGTTGAAATATCCGCCGTAGGAAGTCAATTTTTTACCGAGATATGTATCAGGCACTGAGAAATAGACAATATTCTCGTAAGTATCATTATTGCTAAGAGAGACTTTAATTGTAGTGGCATTATCCTCAGGATAGGTCGACAGATTAGTGAAATCGCCATTTTTATCTACGGGCGCGACTATTTCCCAATTAGCCATGTCCATAAGATGAGTCCAATAGAGGCTCGCAGAGGCACATCTGATGAGTAAATGACAATATTTTATTATGCTTTAAGATATATATATATATATATATATATATATATATATATATATATATAATATTTTTAATATTTTATATATGATATTTTAATAAGTAACTAATAAAAACACAGAAATAAGTTATAATCATAAAAAATAATTGCAATAGCAAATGTAAAAACCTGGTGGTCTTGCCAAAACAGAAGCATTTGGTACAGCCGTCCTCATTGTCAGCCTGAATATCGAAAGTGCCTTCACGGCATACATCGCACGCTGAACCCTGGACGTTCTCCTTGCAGAAGCACTCAGCTGTATACTGATCGCAAATGTCACTGGTAGTGCCGCGCGAGTCGCAGTCGCAGCGCTCGCAATGCGGGAATTGTGAGTAGCCGGCACGGCAGCGGTCGCATTGACGACCCACCACGTTCTCTTTGCAACGACAGCCGCCATCGAATAGGTCGCACTGCCGATCACCGTCCAGAACGCCCATAGGCGAGCAGTTGCATTCTTCGCAGCCGATAATTGGATGGAATCCATATGTACCAAGCTCGCATTGATCGCACCTAAGACCTGTCACTCGTGGCGGGCAGATACATCTACCACTGTTTGGTTCGCAGAGCGCGGTCGTAGGGCAATTGCATGGTCTACATCTAGGATAGCCATAGAAACCTGTCCGACAGATCTCGCATCGTCTGCCGATGATGTTCGGTCGGCAAGGACATTGACCGCCAAACTTATCGCATTCGAAACTAGTGGAGCCTTCGACATCACAGTTGCACGGTAGTGCGCCGTTATTGTAATTGGCTGTCAGCGAAAAACTGGAATCGCGACAGAAACCATCCTCGGTGACGTTGATATGAAAATGATTGTTACCGCAACGCTTGATAAACTCCTTAGTCCGATCAAATTGTAGTTTGCCGAGAATTTTTTCGTTATATTGATCTGCCGGTATCACCAGGATATAATCCAGCCAAATACCGCGGCCATCACCGGGCTCCTTTAGCGTCAGCATAAAGTTCTCGATCAATTGGAATCTGGTACCGCCACCATCAATCTGACGTACGATGCTGCGGCAACCGCTATTACTAGGACAGTGGGGAACCGGCACCTTTGCTTCATAGTACTTGCCGTTCTGCACTAGCACGTCCAATTCGAACTCGGGATGGTCTGGTTGATAATATTGTATCACGAAAACGTAATCTCCCTGCTGAGACACATTTGCACGAATATCCACCATTGCGTCATCATCACCTAAGTAAATCAACTTAGTAACGTTATCGTAAATACCAGAAGGTCGATGTTTGGCCTCGAGAACGCCGCTGGACGTTTCAAACTCAATCTTCTTGGCATCAGCTGCGCCAGAGAACAGTCCCTGTATACATTTACCATCCTTCCTCACACATATGGATTTGGGCTCCACATAGTCCAGTGACCACTGATTATAGGGAATTGCTACTACCGAGTCAATCCCAACATTGGAAGCCGGTTCGCCAGTTAACACCAAGCTGACATAATTTGACGGAAAGTTCATGACGGCTACCTTACCATAAGTATCAGTAACGACTTGTCGGCAGGTGCTAGTATATTTGCAGGGGTTTAAAGTAACTTTGCCCTTGCCGACGGTATTGGCCTCAATTAATAATATTGACGTAGATTGCTCGTCTCGTGATGTAACATAAGTCACCACGAGAACATGGGGACCAGGTTTGCTAATTCTCAGTTCGAAGTGGATCTCCTCTTGTTGATTATTGATGAGCGGTACTTCCTCTTTGCCAATCTCTTGCAGAGCCTCGTGATCAGTGAAATATTCTGTTAATGGAATTCGGAGATTGTTCTCGCTAAGGAAGCCGCCGCCACCATAAACCGAGTCAAACCGTATCAAATTGGGATATCCATAGTGTCTGCAGAGTCCCCTGTAACCGACTTCGCAGGGTATATTCACATCTTGCGTTAGTATGCCACCTTCGTAGTATTCAGATGGTAATAGGACAAAGTAGTCAAGGAACAAACTCTTTTCCGTAGCAATTTTGATAGACCAATGTCCAGGATCCATCACCATAGGCGATGGATGATTGCCATGCGCTCCGGCAACTGTTACAAAAGACGGTTGGCTGGTCGGTTTGAAATTGACTTTAAAGTGCTGCTCTACCTCGGTTGGATTGTCGGGAGTGATAGTAATGGTGCCGAGAATCGGCTCATTATTAGGGTTGACATAGCGTAGAACCATTCGGTAAAGCGAGGACTTGCCGATGCCGACACCCAGCACGATCTCGTCCTGCAGAGCGGAGAACACAGCGTAACCTTTCCAACTGAAGCCAGGGAAGAGATCTTCCGTAAAACCATAACGGACGGCGCTGCCGCTAGGAGTTCTGCCGTCCTCAGCCTCGTATTGATATTGATGAAGCGTAGGAAAATAGTGCGCCTTTAAAGGCTCCTTGCATGTTATACCGGTCACTCGTGGTTGGCAAGGGCACTGGCCGGTTTGCTTGTCGCATATCAGATTCACGGAACCACCGACATCGCATGCACAGTCTTAAGAATAATGTAAATGTTGCAGATTATTATTAGATATTTAATCGATTAAGGAATAGAAGATTGTCGATTCGGTAGTCGACTTACCCGAACAACCGAAAAGATTGCTCTCTTGAAGATTGTATGTTCCATCGATACATCTGCTGCATCCTCTATCAGTCACTCCAGGCTTGCATATGCACTGTCCAGTCTTAGTGTCGCACTCGCCGATGCTGCCAATGACTCCGGGAATGTTACAATGGCAGTCTTTTGAATATAAATATATATATTTTATATAATAAAAAAAAAATTATAAAATATGAAACTTTATATTCATATCATATAATTATTTTTTTTGTATTAAGAAAATATGATGATTTTTAACTTTACAAATCTCATTATCTATTATCTCGTATTATTTTACATAATGTTATTTTTTATAATAAAAAAATAATGTTGATATATTTTATAATTTTTCAATATAGAATTAATTCTAGAATATAGATTCACAAACCTTCGCAACCATCCGGATTGTAAGGCTGCAGATTCCAATAGAGTGGCTTGCATTGGTTGCATATTCTACCCTCGACTCGATCCTTACATTGGCAAAGTTCGCCAGGCGGTAGAGATCCGCAACCTTGAAAGGTCGCAACTATGCCGGCCGGATCACAATTGCAACCCTCGCAGGTGGGGAAGTTGTAGTAACCCTCTTTGCATTGTTCACATCGGATACCGTCAAAGTTTTCCCGACATTGACATTTACCCTCGCTGTCGCAGGACACACCGATCGAGCCATGACTGTCACAATTACATGCTAAAGAGAGAATCAAAGGGTTATAAAAAAATTTAATTAATAATATAATATAATTAATATAAATATAATTAATATTAATATAATTTGAGATTAAGTAAAATAAAATATAAAATAATTCAAAGATTAATAAGATATTTAAAGATAATCAAATACTGTACAGAGAAGTTCAATTGAGACATTCTTTTGTATAATGTAAAGAGTTTCGATTCACATACCGATGCACTCCGGATATTTGTAATATCCCGGACTGCATTGATTGCAAGTTCTTCCGGCGAAATTGGTGAGACACGAGCACTTGCCCGCGGAATCGCAACTGATGATGGATGAGCCGACAGAACTACAATTGCACGGTCTACAGTTGGGATAACCGTAATATCCAGGAATGCACTGGTCACATCTAGCACCGCCGTATCCGTCCTTGCATAAGCAAGCACCATCATTCTTGTTGCAAATGCCGGGTTTTGTTCCACGCGCATCGCAATTGCAATCTGCAATTTAAATAAAAATAATCATCCTCAGGATTAGCATTATAAATTTAGGGACATAAATTTAATTTTATATATATCTATTTAGATTACTTTCTAAATTTATGTCCCGTAGAAATTTTATTTAATATCGAGCATTTAAATTATTTAAAATAATGACAATAAACTTTTAGCTTTTAAATAATTAAAATAAATATTAAAATAAACGCTTAATTATTTTTATAATTATTTTTGTAATATTTTTTATATTATATCGATATAGCAAGAGTATTCTATAACTAGAAAAATATTGAATTGTTATAAAAGAACAGTAATAAATAAAAGGTCTGAACAATAATAAATGAAAAATTATCATCAGAAGACAACGTACCGAATGCTAAATTAAATTTTTTATGTTATTGCTATTGATAAAATAGCATTCTACCGTGCAATAGAAGAAACCGAAGAATATTTTTTCATGAAATATAAAAGTTAAATTGCGACGTACTTAGCGATAATTAAAATGCTGACGTACATGTGCAAAGAGGATAATTGAAGTAACCGTCCTCGCAAATGTCGCACGATCTGCCGCCATAGTTGTTTTTGCATGTGCAGTTACCTGATACCACATCGCAGACGCCGTTCATAGCGCCCAGAAGATTGCAGACGCAAGCTGAAATCGTAATTATATATCTTTTAGATAATTTAATGATCGAAAAAAGAATTAAATAAGATACAAATCTCTAAGAGATTCACTTACGTAAGCAATCGGGGAATTTGTAGTATCCCTCCGCGCAGAGATTGCAATAGTGACCGGCGTAATTAAATCTGCAAGGACAATAACCATCCGTTGCTTCGCAGTGATAACCATCGGTGCCCTGTAAGTGGCACTCGCAAGGTCGGCAAGTGGGATAGCCGAAGTACCCGTAATTGCAAGAGTCGCAGTTCGGCGGGGCATATTCTTTCCGACACTCGCACTTCCCGGTGGAATCGGCGCAATTTCCGGTCGAATAAAAGTAATCGCAGTCGCAAGCTAAACATTCGAAAATAATCGCGAATTAAACGTCATTAATAAATTTTATAATCATCTCAAATCAAGGACTTACGTTGACACACGTCGGTCGCGTTCAGCGGTTTGTCCCGAGGCCTATAAAACCTAGGTTTACAGCGATTGCAATTGATGCCCTCGGTATTATGTTTGCAATTCTGACATATACCACCGCCCTCGTAATTACCGTGAATATCCAGCGACAAGTGTTTTTCGTCCATTTCCGGATCATAGCTGCACTCGTCCGAGTGTCCGAAACAATTGCAGGCTGCAAAATAATTCAATACATATTTAAATAAAAAAGAATCTTAAAAAGAATTTGGAGAAATGTTCAGAATTTGATTGACGGAGGAATAAGAATTAATTTGTATGTTATTATAGAGAAATAATTTTTTAGAACAAATAAAAGCGTGGAATCACATTTTCATTATTCCTATATTGAGAGAGTTCTGTTTATCTATCGGAACGAGAAAGCAAATTATTCTTACGTTCGCATGTGAATTTTTTAGATGCCGTGGACTGCTGCCACTTCTTCTGCTCGAAGCCCTTGCAACAAGTCGCGCACTGAGGCCCGCAAGTGTTGTGCTGGCATCGGCAGACTAGTTTCTTCGGCATATTGGGGTCCTGAATGTCGCAAGTATCCGCATGTCCGTTGCACATGCAGCGACCGCCGATGCTAATATCCTTTATTGAATAAAAGTACTGCAACAGACAAATAATATTTTTAAGAATTAAATTATAAAATATGTATGCGTAACATTTTAATTACGATATAAAATTTTAATTAAATAAATTTAATTAAATAAATTCTAAAATCTCGAAGTTATTTTTGTTCAATGATACAAAAATATATATATGAAAAAATCGAAAGTGAAATATCTTACTCTTCTCGTAACAGTGGGATCCTGACGGACGACGGACATTAGATGACCTAGTAAATTCTTTGTCCTGAGAAAGCGGAAACGGACGTTGGTCGCCCGCGTCCATTCTTGTAGCAAGGTTGAATTGAAATAGTGTTTCGCCGAGGGCCGGTTGTTCAAAATCGAGATTGGAATTTCACCGCCCTCGAGCGGGACAACCTGCGAGAACTCGGTTGTGCAGATCACACTGTCGTCTCGAACGATCGGCTTGTGGCTGTCTACACCAAAATACGTCAAACAATCACTGGCGGAATCCGAAAAGTACTGCCAGGGCGACCAAGTCTTGCCGTAGTCCTTCGACTTTTCTAGGACCCAAAGCCCTGGCCGGGGGGAGTTGCCCATTCGTATGTAAACGTAAGCCACATGGAATTCCTTCCATAAAAAACGAAGAACCCAATTTAAAAAAATTTTATATATTCTAATCAAAATTTTTTCTTCCATTTCCTCGATTTATCCTTTTTTAAATAAATATTATAAATATTAGATATATAATATTTATTTAAAAAAGGATAAATCGAGGAAATGGAAGAAAAAATATACATATATTTATTTATAATACATAATATAACATATATATATATATATATATATATATATATATATATATATATATTTTATAGTTTATAATCTTTTAATTTTTTTCAAAATATCTTACTATTAATTGTTACATTTCACGGAGAAATGCGTCATTCGCTAAATTTATAGTTTTGAATTTTACAATTAGATCTGCTTTGTGAGTTCTCTTATTTCAAACAGAATAATAGGAACCGAGGGTAAAAACTGAAGACTGAATGCCAGATGTATGCCATGCAAAGTTTCGGTGCTACTAAAATCTCAAGTGTGGGCTGACAGATTTGAGAGAGAAAGAAAGAAAGGAAAAAAGAGAAAGAAAATGGAGGATACATAGATAGATAGAGAGAGAGGAAAAAGAAAAAAAATATTTACTTTTTGAGATAATATATACTTAAAAAAATTAGAGAGTGCAGTGGTTTTATAATTATATATTAAAATTAATGAGAAACAAAATATGCTTTTAAAAATCGCTTACGTAAATAATTTAGTAGAGAAAGAAAAAGTGGAGAAAGAGAAGATGGATAAAGAGAGGAGCAGACACGGTAAAACGTCGGTGTAAATGAACCTTTCTAGGAAGATGATTAGCAGACGACAGACTCCGCGTGCGTTGCAGTCACGAACTTAAACTTGTGATAACAGCTAATACATGCACTGCAAAAATTAAGTCGGGTCCAGATACGGTCAACTCTAAATGAAATCTCTCGCTATATATTTGCTAATAAAAATTATACGGAACAAAATCAGATTTATACTTGAAAAAATCAGATTTATACTTACAAAATAGTTTAATACTTATAATTGTTGAAAAATTATGTTCTTACTAATTGTCAATGAAAATTAATCTCTTTATAATACATATAATACATGCATATAATTAGAATAAGAAATTTTAAGAAAAATGTACCCTAATTTTTTAACAAATAAAACGACGAAAATATGATTAAAGATGAAATCGTTGATATTTTCTGTCTTCAAACTTCCCATCATTCTCCGGAAGTGAATCGAAGATAAATCTTCCCACTTGCAGGAAAACGCCTACTCTATATGTGATAGAAATGTTTATGTCGCCGATAAAAGGATCGCGTTTTTCATCATTTCCTGTCACTTCTATGTGAATCACGAATCTTTTCAATACGCTATAAAAACTTTGGCATATATATATAACTCTTGTACATTTTATATAATAGAAGAGTTTTTTAAAATTAAGAGTTGATATAATAGAAGTTTATACCTGTCCAAGATCAATCGTCAGATTCACTTCGTTATACTTCATCCCTCTGGATAAAGGCGGCGATTGCCACCAAGTTTCCATGCCATCAACCGCGTATTCAGGTGGATGTCTTTTCTCAGGATTATCAGGATCACAATAGTCGCATACCTGAAAAAAATGAAATTTACACGCTATATTAAAACAAAAAGAATATCAATTAATCGGATTGAATTTAGAACATATGTATGAATCTCAAATGTAAAGACCTCTTTAGAAAATTTATAATCTATTAAATTTGTGTGCAAAAAATTCAAAACAGAATCTTTCTAATTTTATGTGTGGTGTAATATAGGGAAATTATATTTGTGAAGAAATAAAAACATATATACAAAATGTGCACACATATAGATGTACATATAAGCACACATATGTATCAAGAAACAACACAACAAGATTATAAATAGATTCTTAGCTGAAATTTTTTGTCGCAAATTATAGATTTATAAAATGAACTTAAGGTTAAAATAAAATAAAAATTTTTATTAAAATCAAATCTGTTACACTTTATTGATTTCTTATCGTAGTAGTATATTAAAATATTAAGAATTAAATTAATTAAAATATTTGAATATGAAATATAAAAGTATAAAAAGCAATTTTTAGAAAGAATCGCAAGATAAAATATAGAATAAATAAAGGTTTTTCTTTTCAAAATCTATGTAGATCATCCGTGACATCAGAAAGCCTCTTAATTTTCGAATAAACGATCAAGTGTTATCGAGAGGTCATCCGTATCTTCCGCTTTATCGGACCTTGCGACTTCTTTTTTATTTAGTATAAAGAGGTAGAGAAAAAGTGAGAAAATCATGTCGTACATTGATGTGATCGAAATATTAATCGATCTAGAATCCAAAATTGTTGAATTAATAATTTGATAATTACAATATAAGCTGAAATTGTCAAACTTGACAATTATGCACAATTAATTTTGCGATAATCAAATTGATACACATATAGCATTTATTAATTATGTATATTTATAATATAAATCTATATTCATATGAATATACATTCATAATATATAAATATATATATTTTCTGTTCTGACGATAAAAATTGCCGTTATACTTTCAAAAATGTTACGTGATCCTGTGAGACCCTATCGAGCATTCTTCTAACACAATTATAGATGCTGCGGACTTCTTATTGTTAGCTGAATCTTTCTTACGAAAGCTTTGAAATCGTTCTTTGTCCTGATTTGCCAACAAAAAACTTGTTAATACGCGAGTCTATTAATTTTTGGAACAATCGCGAACGTGACGATTATGCTCGAAGAGATTGCAATTGTAATTCGCAGGATACACAATTTATATAATAATATTTTATCGAGAATACTGTTTTGATAAATACTAGCTTAATGTATTAGCTGTTTTTACTATATAAAAAATATGTAAAATATTGATAAATTTTTGAAAATAGTTTCTAAATTCGTCTTAAGATGCTAGAAGTATAATTTGCATGTTTAATAGAAATATATTATATATTATAAATTTATTAATAATTTTATATGTATATATATATATATATATATATATATTTGTTATTTAAATATTTTAATTTTTAATAAAATAAATTAATAAAGAAAATAATAAAATAAATTATTAAATAAACTACTAATAAAAAAAATTTTTATTAATAAATATTCAACGATGTTATATACAGGGTATCCCAAAACTCATAATCAATCTTTCAAAAACAAATTCCTAGGATTATTTGGAGACGATTTTTCCTCAGCGAAAATGTCAATGAAGATCATCATTTTTTGCATGTTCCCGATTTTTGTCATATATTTCTTTGCAATTAAGCCTCAAATTAAAACTCAACTAAAGTAAACTCTATTTAAAATTAATCGAAGAATGTGGTTTTGTTAATATTTTATTTCTACAAAGCTTAGTTTACAAAAAACCCCTTATTTCCAATCACTTATAATTCGAAAATTATTAGTGCCTCGACATTTTCGTTGAGGAAAAATCGTCTTCAGATGATCCCAGGAATCTGTCTTTGAAAAATTGATTATGAGTTTTGGGACACTCTGTATATCTTTAATTATATTTATTTATCTCTTGTATATATATATCTGTATATATATATATATATATATATATATATATATATATATATGTGTGTGTGTGTGTGTGTGTGTGTGTGTGTATCTATATGCATGTATGTATTCGCCATTCGATTGATAAAAATAATCTTTTATAAACGATTTCATTCATGTTCCTTGTTAAAACGATTATTTCTTATCATAATTCTAAGATGGAGAGACCGAGAAAATATATTTGACAGATAATTATAAATGTTTACACGAGTGTTACACTTTGACGATACATATATATTTCCTATACGAATAAGAAAGAGAAGTAGTTGAGTGAGTGTTGAAGCTGATAAACTGTTGGACTGGTAAGATCTAATGATAATATATATAATTTAGTGCGAATACTGAAGACGGAAAATATATCATGATTTTTCAACGTACAAGAATATTCATTATAATCAACTTTGATTGTGTTAATACAAATTTATAAACCTTAGCAGGTTTAAATGTTAAATTTAAATGCAAGAGAGATAAAAATATGTGGATCGTTTTTTATCTTTATTTCTGAATAAAATTTATTTTTTCTGTAATAATCGATAAATTTATTTTAATATATATATCTAAAAAATGTGTAATTATATAAAATTTATGTAAACCGGAAGATTATAAATAAATAATAATATGTGCAGTTTTTATATAAATTTTTATATATGATATATTATTATAGAAATTATATTAAAAATAGAATCATATATTGTTAAAAAAAAAATATTCTCCACTATATTATTTTCTTTTTTAACTTACCTGACCCTGTATTAGATTAATATCTTCATCTTGATCGGCGTTCGCACCAACAAGCTTACAGTAAAGCTCTGGACCTGTGGAGTCGACGCCGCACGTAGCCGAGGCGATGATGTTTTTGCCTTCAGCCAGGTTGAAGTATGGCGGCGTCAGGATCTCGCCCTTGGACAGCCGGGTGACCAGCAAGAGGCCGGCAAGGATCGCCGGCAAGCGCATCCTGCCAGCGGCGAAAAGAGACACCTCTCCTCTTGAGTTCCTTCAAGAAATCGTTCCGCTCCTTCCTTCTTCTCCTCACTTTCGTCTTCCCTCCACGCACTGCCACTCTTCCTCTCTCTTTGTCTCTCTCCTGCTCTTCACGAGAGAGACTATGATGCCTGCGCGCCTTCTCGATGTCGACTGTCCGGACTAAACCGGAGTTCATCCAGTGCTGTCGACTCGCCGGATGAGAGGAGAGCTTGGTGGGAGTGGAAGAGATCAGTGATCTTCAAGTCGAAGCTCGGGATTCCTTTTAGAAATCCAAAGTAAGTTCGAGTATTCTGAACTGCTTATAATTGATCCTCAAAAATCCGTTACAAATGCTGTTGGATTTTTATTTTAATGTATTATAATTATATATAATAGTTTTAAAGTAACGAAAGTAATAAAAGAAAAACAATAGAAGTTTAAATCTTGTTGCAATTGTTTCTCTACAAAATGCTTTTAGATATGTCTACATATTTTTTAAAGATATCCAAATTATGAAAACTTATATGGTTTATGCATAATCTAATTAGAAATTGTCCAAGAACGCGGCAAACAATTTGTTTATGAAAGAATTTGTTATCATTTTTTCATGTGCAAGATTTAGGGACGTGGAACTTTGAAGATCACTGATTTAGAAGGATAATCCATAAAGATTGAGACCACATGGCATCAGACACACATATACTCTCACATATAGAATACAATATTCTTTATCATTTTTTTTCGGCATTATCTTGCAACTCAAACTGATTCCTAAAGGCAAAATAAATTGTTTTGTGAATAGAAAACATATTTTTTCGTTGATATTTGATTTTTAAATTGTGCTTTTCATATAATGCATGTAATATTTATATTTTTAAGTTTTTAGAAACATATATATATATATAAATAACACAGGGTATTTGATAAAGATTGAACCAACGTTTGGATAAGGTGCAACAAATTAAATAGATACGTCCTTTACCATTTTGCAATTTTTACAATAATTATTGGAATATTAATTAAAAGGGACTGGCAAATGAACACCTGTTTAGCTAGATCATAGGATGTGTTCTCTAGGTATGTCAGTGATGAGTGTTACATGGCAACGAAAAAGTTTTATCGTGTCTTATCTGAATCTTGTCTTTTCGAACGTTGCCATGCGATATTCGCTATTGATGGCTAGATCACACATCGCATGGTCTAGCTTTTGCGAAATGGATTTGCCAATCCTTTTTTAATTAATATTTTAATAATTATTGCAAAAGTTTCAAAATGGTAAAAAAAGAAAAATTTTTTATTTAATTTATCGTGCTCTATCCGCTCACGAGCATTGATCAAATCTTTATCAAATACCTTGTATTATATATATATATATATATATATATATATATATATATATATATATAATGTTTGATAAATGCATGTTAATATTTCAGGGGGTTAATCTACTAAAACAAGTAAAAAATGTCATATCAATATATATCCAATATAGCTTAATTTTCGAGTTATGGATGATTAAAGAAAATGTTCGAAATGTCCGCCTTCTGCCTCAACACACGCTACTGCACGTTGTAATATTGAATTCCAGTGGAAAATACAAGGCATTCTTCGAATAATCTCAAATCTATTTTGTAAATCGTGCACATTATTCACTTGAGTTGCACACAATAATTTTTAAATGGCCTTAAAGGTAAAAGTCTAATGGGTTAATTAGATAAGGTCAAAATTGTCTAAAACGTGCAATAGCGTTTGTTGAGGCAGAAGGCCAGCACTTCGGACATTTTTTTAAATCATCCATACAGACGTTCATGTAATATTTTTTACTTGTTTAAGATTAATTTCCTAAAGTATTAACATGCATTTATGAAACATCTTTTATAATCAATATATGTTAATAATAAAATTCTCTGTTATTAACTTTTATTATAAACGTTTTGATTGTATATTTTTTACTTTTCTCTATTTAAATATTGTAAAATTTGGGGCAAAAAATATAAATTGACATATGTAAGGGGCAACATAATTTCTATGTTTATTATCAACAATAAAATAGGATATATATCTCTCTTGATTATTCTTAACAAATAAAATTCACATGTAAATATAAAATTACTTACATGCAAATCATGTAAATCATCAATTTCTCATGGAATATACTTGCAATTAAATTATTTATATAATTTTCGTTTAATCTTGTTTCGGACGACTTCTGTAATAAAGGGCAGAGAACATGATGCTTGAGCTTAACAACACTGAGAGGATAAAGTTTCCCAGTAATAGTACATCGGCCGAATCCATCCATATCGTGAACACCCTCGCTGAAATACAACGTTACTTATATTTGATTCATTTCCACAAATTATACTGCAAGCACAAAACGGGGAACTTACTCAAGTTCGTGAAGGCGGAGATAAACCAGGTGAGAGGCGACACCGACTCTGCGTTTCTAGCGCGAAGTATGGACAATAATTGAACGATCTTACTGGAAGCGGAGATCGGAGTACACATCGGCTGAAAATTATTTTTTAAAATTATATTTTTTAGAATAATAAAATGCATTTTTTATTTAGAATAACAATTTAAAGTATTTATATATTTGCAAGAAAGAAAATTATTTGCGATGTAATATTTAATTTATCGTACACTAACCGCTAGAAATGTAAGTACGATTTTCGGAGCAATTTCCAACAGCAAACAAGCGCTCAGCATAAAATATATAACAGCACATAAAAATGACCAAACGTTGAGTCTATTTAAATATTTCAATACGAGGAATATCAGTATATATTCCTGCACTAATATTATCGGATACTCTAGGTACGATAGTACCGAGTATCCATTCGTGTAATTGTAACTAGTCATCACAGTGTAACTGTAAAAAACAAAGAATAACATTGATCATTATTTGTGAAAAACGAGAAATTTTGCAGATTGTTGCGTAAAATTACCTCGTTAATTCTAAGAATAATCCTAGGGTAGATATTTCGTCGGCTGATTTCACGGAAAGCAGTTTTAATATCTGCGGAATTTTCAATACGAAGCACATGCCTATCGTTATCAAGCTCAACAAGTCCGCAAATTGTTGCAACAATTCCATTTTCGCGCCTTTTTAACTATAACAGTTTTAAAAATTAATCTTTGATAATTTCGGCGTATCTTATTAATTCTTACGCGATCGGCGGATTACAATTATTATATAATACTCGTATATATTAATATTTTATCTAATCTTTTTATATAAATAAGCCGGTAACTGAGCGCACATTTAAGTTTTTTAGCGAAACATACGTTTACGAGAAAATCCGTGCGAAACTGTCATTCATCTGCCACTTATTTATATTACAAGAATCACAATTTACGCCAAAAGAGAAGAAGCTACAAAAATAGATCGCATTCATGAGTTACAAGAAACATCTTATGCCGATGTTAATTCTCCGTCGCGATAATCGCAGATTATAGAGTATACTCCTTCGAATGATATCGCGATGAACTATGATCCAATGCTTGCATTTTTATGTTATATATTACCTTTTTATCGCTGATTGTTTCGAAAGTAAGCGCGCGCGCGCGCGCGCGTTTTTCCACTCGGTCCGCTCGTCGCGTTGTTTGACACCTGTCTATTCTCGAATACAGTGACAGCTCGTCATTCTACTCTACTCGATCACTTGTACAATCAATGTACAATTAAGTATGTGTAAAGCATCGTAACGAATCGCGAACTGCCGGAGTATTCCTCGACTCGTGTTCCGTGTGTCATCAAGGCCGTCCTCTCTCCACAGACTTTTCGCTATCACCCCTTACTTTACAATCATCTTATTATTACGCTCAGCTGTACAGTAGCTCTCTCCCTCTCGCGTTACTCATGAACACTTGAAAGATTGAGATTACTGGAGCAACTGTCGCTTGTACGATACATTAATGTTACAGATTACTACATTATCAACGATCTATCATGGATACCGACAGCAGAATTCTATTTTTTCGATTGATCCGGATTTTAACATGAAATACACATAACTCTCTTTCTCTCTCTGACAATGTACGCTGCAAAATTTCGATGGGTACTTTCAGATTCACGCATGATGCACATGACTAACAGAAAATGTATAGTTTATGTCACGCATATTATACATCTTCTGTCACTTCATGCAAATCATGCGTGAATTGGAAAGTACGGGATCTCGTGTCGTGTCGATGATATACGTTTAACTATCACTTTATATAAATTACAATAAGTTTCTCCTATTATTCTAGATTTTTTTTATAGAGAGGCCTTTTTTTATAAAATGCACATGATAAAAATTTTGATCTTACTACTGTGGTTTCTGAATAAATTAATATTCATGAAAATATATACTTATATTTTATCACTTTTTCGTTTTATGAACGGTTGCATAATCATGCAATGAATAGAATAATAAAAAATAATAGTAATAATGAAAATAAATTCTAATATTTCTAATGGTAAATTTATGCTGAAATTATTTGTCAATAATACAAGCGATGATAAGAAATGAAATTTGAAATCATTAAAATTGAATTTTATTCGGTCAAAAATTTCATGAGTATGCACTGCAATTTCATGATTATGCAGTAAGGTAGATTATGTTTAATCGAATAGACCGAAGCCCATATCGTCGTCTTCCGACTCGGATTCCTCCTTCTTTTCTTCTTTCTTTTCTGCGGCAGTAGCATCAGCAGCTGCGGCTGCTGGAGCCGCTACAGCGGTGGCGGCAGCAGCGAATTTGCTCGGATCCTACAAATAAGCAATTCCAATGTTCTTAATATAAGCAATTAGTCATACACAAAAAAATATTACATTATGTTTATTATATTCAGGCAGCTTTCACGCGATATCTCAACCGTGATCTTGACGTATCAGTGGGTTCAACTATTTCTAGTTCTGATACGTGGACCAAGATCTTCAGACGCGTCATGTTTTCATCATTTTATTCATATATGAGAAATTAACAAAAGTAAGATATAATAATGTATATATGAAATTATACCTTGATGTATTCCTTGATAGTAGCAGCTTCTGGGAATTCGACTTCAGTAACAGCAGCAATAGCCAACAGGTTTTTGAAGCCATTTGCAATACTATGCGGTGCACTGGCAACCGTAGGATAACCAATCGACAAACAAACTGAAGCTAAATTTGCAACTCCAGCCATGAATTTTTCACGAAGGTCTTCAGGCTTGATGTCTAAAATCTCAGGTGCAAAGATGGTACCAGAGTCATAAACCTGTTCGACCAATAGTCCATAAGAGAAAGGAGAAATGTTCAACATGTTCAAGAGAGTAGCTTCAGAAGCTCCCACTTTGTCACCAGGTTTGAGGATGTGTACATCATTCTAAAATTTGATATCACATTGTTATATTAGTGAGATTTATGAAATAGTAAAATTCAAGAATTAAATCTAATAGAAAATTTCTCAACAAAGTACTTACTATAATTTCAATGGTACCCTTGGAAATTTTAGTCGGTATACTCAATGCTTGGAAGAAAGAAGTCTTCTCAGGACCAAGTCCTGTATTTTGGGCTGGAATGATGACACTTAAGGGTGCAATGGCTCCTGCTCTGGCAGGAGCGCGTACTTTATTTTCCAACAACTTGTCCCTTACTTCGATCAAGTCTCCTCGAGTGAAGACAAATCCAACATTACCACGAATATGAGGTAATAACTTCTCTAGTGCTGCGTTACGTTCTATATGACCACGAATTGCTTTTCTCATCATAGTATTTTTGCCCATCAGTACCACTGCATTTCCACGCAATGACATGCGGATTTGTTGCATTTGCTTCGAGCCGACATTGTCCGCGCCCACAATGAAGCACTTGGGATAATCATCTAACAGTTGCTATATTTATAAAAAAAAAGATTATTATAATATATTTTATATATATATGTACTTTTATATTTTGTTATATATAATTCAGACTGTGTTTTCACACGATATTTCAACCATGATCTTGACGCATTAGTGGGTTCAGCTATTTCTAGCTCTAACACGTGGACCAAGATCTTCAGACATATAATATTTTCATCATTAATTTAAAAATAAATAATTGGAATATGATTTTATATATATATATATAACAAAAAGCAATGTTATAAATTTCATTAAGTTTACATATTGCATGAAACTACCTATCAGAAATACAAAATTATCTCATTTTTATGTACTTTTAAAATAATTTCTTATATATATTTTTTATATAACTTTATATTTTTGGTATTAAATACAAGATTAAAATATAATGAAATAATGCACGCAAAAATACTTACAACAAGTTTAGTGAAGTAATTCGACTTCCATGTTGCTTTGTCCTCCCTACCCATCGTGAAATGTGTGCAGGGATACCTCGTAGGAATTTAAGGACTAAAAATTATTTAAAATGAAAGGAATTATATTAATGTGTAAAGAAAGCGACGAAAACTAAGAATATTAATATTTAGTTCAGAGGCTGGTAATAATCGTGCATAAAATACGAGGTTCCACACTCTGCTCAAGCAGTGATGGGACCCCTCGAATTTTCAAGAATAGTTGATTGTCATCACTTTCACATATATTTAAATAAAGGATATAGAAATGACTTGAAATCCTCTAAATTTTAACAAATAGTAAGAAGCAAACAAATTTCTAAAGATTCAAAACCACATGGTTTCATTAACCTAACAACCGATATATAACTGTTTAAATATTTAATATATATTTTTCTCTACATAAAATTATTTCTACGTAGATTGATACATATAAATGCAACATCTTTAATGATTCTAAAATAAATAATATAAAATGTATAAATTCTATAAGATTGCAGAAATGATATCGCTTGCTCGCTACATACCTCAGCAAAGTGAAATACCGCAATGAAGGAGGAAACGGAAATTCAGAATAAGTTACACATGGCCGAACTTAAAGCTATTACACACAAGATATGTCGACGTACGACATAAAGCGATGCGATATGTCCCGATTTACAATAGATAATTTAAGCCCTTGAGTATTCTCTTTATACTTGACTGTGATTGGTCAATTTCTTAAAGCTTGAGGCTTAAATTGCCTAAATTAGAGAACCTCTAGGAGAGAGAATGGACAACTGATCAAGCTTTTTCATGATTGGCTGGCAGAAAATGTATCAATTTTAGCTATTGCGACGCCAATGCAAAATATGATACACACAAATAAGTTAATATATGTGTGTCATGTGTGTCCTATTTGTGTGTCATCATATTTTGCATTGGCGTCGCAATAGCTAAAATTGATACATTTTCTGCCAGCCAATCATGAAAAAGCTTGATCACATGTCACATGATCAGTTGTCCATTCTCTCTCCTAGAGGTTCTCTAGCCTAAATTGTAGACCTGGCCAATCAATCGATTTACAACTTGTCTAGAAGCAAAAAGCTGATTGGCTTGTGCCTTTTGTCGCGCATGATGTGTCTTGTGCAAGAGCATGTGAAAGTTTTATTTTTGTAAAAGATATCCGTCTACGTATTTTTTATATATCTATGATGTAAAAAAAATATTTCACGCGATTGTTTAAGGCACACAAAAGTTTGTAGATAAAATATTATAGTAATAAAAAAAGATTCGTGATACAAATATTGTTTTAATTGTTGTATATACTTTTAATTTGGCTGCGTTCCAATATTCACTGCCAGTATTGAAAATCTAGAGTTTACGTGACGTACATACGAGAGCGTCCCGTTTGACCACAGCCAATTATATCAACCTGTGCCTAGGGTAACCAGCAATGATTAACCAATCAGAAAGTCCTATTTTGAATTGGCAAATTGGCGATGTGGTCAATCGGGTGTCATACATACACTATAGTTTTTCAGTACTGGCAGTGAATATTGGAACGCAGCCAAATTAAAAGTATATACAACAATTAAAACAATTTTAAGCAAATTTATCTTTAGAATAAAAATGAAGTATTAAAAAATAAGATTATATTATTAAATAAGATTATATGAAGAATTTGAAGTTTTTTTATAATGTGACCTTTGTTATTACTGATTGGCTGATGTCAAAGGGACATGATCGATCGGGTGTCGCGCGCATCACATAAATGAGATTTCATTCGCGATAGAGATATGTCATTATATAACGCCAACAAAATGGCCTGATCGATATATAAAAAAAAAAAAAGATAATTTGCAAAATTATGCTAATAATGATCTAATCGATTGTATGAAATCATTTGAGCGAAAAATATGTATGTATATACATTGTATATGTGGAAATATTTTTTAGCATTTATTCCACAGATAGCTTTTTTTTAGATATTTTAACAAGCTCAATTACGAAAAATTAACACATTTTAAGAGGAAATAAAAACTGTAAAAACAAGAAAATTTTTTCTTAAACAGAATTTATCTTGCAAACTTACAAATTTTCCAATTTTTTTGGATTTTAGAAAGTAATTTTGAATTTTTTGTATATTAGGATCATTTAAAAACAATTGTTTATTCAAGATTAATTTTTATTACATTATGATGCTCTATCATATATAGAAAAAAAAAAACATCTCTCAAAGAGAGTTCTACACAAGACACTCTCGCTGTATAATATTAATTATATACTATGCATACAACATTTATGTCACAAAATTCAAGTTCTATGACTAATGTAATTTTTGTTACAATTCATCACTAATGAATGTAGAACAGTTTTAAATAGAAAAATAAATTAAATTAAATTTTGATCATGGATTATTTGATTGTTATGTACAATTTTCACAGTATTGTAATATATATATATATATATATATATATATATATATAATGGTAATATATAAATATATATATGTATATATATATATATATATATATATATATATATTGGTCTTTTTTCTAAGCTATGTGATTCTAAAGATGTATATATCAATGTTATTATTTCTTTATTGTATTACCACAATGCCATGTGTGTGTATGAATGCTAATTTATATTATTCTCATCATAAAAAAACATCCGTATATTATACATATATTATATAAATCATTTTTCAATAATAAGATTAGGATCGAAATAGACACAATTATTTTCAAGCCAAACTTTTAGATACTATAATTATAATAGACGATTAATAAAAATTAATATGAAAAAAAGATGATAAATAAAGAAATAATTATTCAAGTTACGTCTCGATATAATGAATCGATGATCGATAATATAAATTACATATGAGGATGCCATTAAGTGACTCTCTGTCTTGCAAAAATATAAATTGCAAGTCAAATTATATTGCAGGTTGTGTCAAAATATTGTATGTACTATACCGGCTGCTCATTTTCCGGTAAGTCTAAAATCTCCCCGACGAATTCCGCTACATTTGTGTCCTTCTGAGCATATTCCTTAATAAAGTCAAGTTCTAATAATTGACTGTAATTTGGACGGGCAGTGTAATTTTTCATTAGACTAAAAACAAAAAGGATTTTATATGAAAGTATCCATACGTTATTTAAAAGTAATAAAAAATAATCCTATTATGCCATTATTTACCACTTATTGATAAATTCCTCGAACGAAGGAGAGAATTTGCCAGCAGGTAATTTTGGAGCATCATCTTTTACCACTTGTTTCAGTTGCTCGAACGGTGTGCCCCATGACTCGTATGGAAATTTACCAGTGGCTAATTCAACAAGAGAAATCCCTAATGACCAGACATCGGATCTGATGTCATATTGCGATGGGTTACCCGACGGGTCTATCCTTTCTGGCTATAAAAAAGATAATGGTGGAGGATGTATTGAGAGAAATACTGATGGAATCTTTTGGAAGATTAAAATCCTATAGCTACGTACAGCCATATATGGTTTACATCCAGCATCAATAGTCTTGGCAACTGAGTCTACGAGGTAACCAGATATACCAAAATCGCAAATTTTTACTTCTCCTTTCCGATTAATTAGAATATTGCTAGGCTTAACATCTCTATGAATTACCCGTAATTGTGAATAGAGGTAATGTAATGCGCTTACTACCTGCAAGTATTAATACAAGAATATATATAGTTTATATATTAAAAAGTTTAAAATAGAAATTAAAATATGGACTAAAAAAAATTGATTTGTTATTCTGCAATATTACTGAATGTTTAACTGATTAGTATATATACCGCAAAAGCCACTTTTCCTAAAATATCTTCAGGAATGGCACGACCATGTTTATATACTTTTGTATAAAATTTGTCAAGGCTCATATCCATCACTTCCATGCATATCCATACATCTCCCTCTCGGAATAAGGCTCCATAAAATTGTACTGTATAGGAACATGCTGAGCTACGCATGGAAATGTCTAAATCCATGAGTAGACGCTTTTGTTCTTGTGTATTAACAGTTGCAGTTATTCTCTGTAAAAAAAATATCAATTGTTAAAAAGATATCCTCTCTTTTGAAACAACTATATTGCTTCTAGATGCTCTATAAAAACTACTATTATAATTATAATATTACCTTGACAGCCATAATTGTACCACTCTGTTTGTGTCGCATTTTATCAACAATTCCATATGCGCCACGACCAAGAACACATAGAGTTTCTAAATCATCAGCTTCTACAACAAACGTTTTTTCGTCTATTGTAATAGTAGTCCGTTTGTCTAAATTCCTTGGTGGTGTCCTAGAAAAACGACAAATTCGCAAGATATAAATAAAAAGTATCTTTGTTTCTCGAAATACAGTGTGTATATAAAATGAGATGTTACTTTACGAACATTATATATATTTTTTTAACTTTTTACAAATGTAACAAATTCAAAAAGTTATCTAGTATATAAAACAGACACGGTAACACTATTTGCTGCAAAAGTATCATCACAGTTTTACGTACACTGGTGCGGGCGCTTCATCGGAGACCTGCAGTTTCAGATTACGTTTTCCACGACGTACAGCCATGGTGTCGGGCTGTGATCGATGAAAGACGTCCGCGCGAATTTGCCAGTATTCCAGAGGAAAGTCAAAAACAATTCATGGCCGTTGAAGGGCGCAGCGCATACGCGATCTGCAAAAGATAAGAGGAACTTGACAATCGGAGTTCGATCCGGGGATGAACGGAGTTCGTGCGTCCCATGTCTAGGTTATTCCGCGGAGGAGCTTGCACGCGACATTGAAGCATTGTCCTCGCGTCGTCGCGAGGAGACGTATAACATCAAGTTCGGGTCTACGTACTCTGTGAAAAACATCACGCTCCGCCTCGACAGAATCGCTGCGCGAGAGATCTTCGTGTTCCTGCCACAGGACACTCCGCGCTTGCCCATATATGAAGTTTTCAACAAACTTAAACTACACCGCCCCTGAAGTTGGCCGCGCGAAAACCGCACAGTTTTGCAACGGTAATTCCGTTAAATTCAAAAATCGCGCAAACAACGTCCGCGATATGATTAGCATTTTTCATTCATAAAGATCCGAGTTTATTTCTAAAAATGATATAAATAATCTCGAAAGACAGAATGTAAAAAACGAATGCGAAAAAGCAGATGAAAAATATTTCATTCTACAATCTATGTGCGATCCGATAATTCTAGGAAATTTTTTTTTATATGTAACTAGTACTGTTTTTTGGGAGCTTTCCAGTGAGAAAAATACATTTGTTTTTTGAAATACAAATCATGTGTATAAAATAGGACATTATTTTTTAAACATTTTTTTTTCAACTTTTAATAAATATTACATAATGATAGTATATATATGTATATAATGTACTTATAAATGTAATATCTTGAAGCAGCAAGATTGAATTTGATTAATCAGAAAAAAAATTTTTTTCCTTTTCAATCAAATTTCAATCTTTAATCTCTTCAATTTTTAATGTGTAGTTTCTAATATTGGCTTAATGAAATTATTTATATTGATATATCCGACTTCAATAAATGGAAATCCAAGAAGGAAATAATATACATAATCATAAACTTAATAAAGAATTTTCCACTTGTCATCTTATTACTGGATGAAAAAGAAGAAAAATACAAAAGGAAGCACAAAGTAAAACTTGATGCACAAATAGATAATTGATATAGTAACGAAATTCCCCTTATTACTAGAATTTAACTTTTTATCAATTCTAATTACAAAGAATGTATAACTTTTTCGCGAGTTATATATCTCATTAATAATTTATATCTTTTTAAATAGCTTATATATTAATTTATTTTCAGTTAAGATGTAAATTGACACAGAAAGTGTTACACAAATAAAAAATTACCGCTGATATGAGCATTTCAAAATAATGTTTATTTATCAAGGATAATATGTATTATCATGAATTAACAAATATCTTATTTGAAATATTTTTATATATTATAGACCATATTTAGAAAAACATTCTATATAAAAATCATTCACATTTTATAGCAAAAATACAAATAAATGTGCATAATGCAATAATGTAAATCAATAATATTACATTGTATTAATTATCAATATTCTAAATATGGCCATCATAATTTTTATAAACATCTATTTCTATAAAAATATTTCGAATTGAACAAATCTCAATCATCAAAATTTAGATTTCACCGTTCAACAGTTTTTTATCAAACAAAAATTCTCCCAATTGTCCGTGTGTTTGCATCATTTTTCCTAAAGTTGAGAGTTTGCCGGCGAGATCACGTTGTCCCTTATGTTGCTCCTCCAAGAAGTCAGTAATGAGGTAGTCCACCAACTAAAAAAAAATCACGATATATCAATAATGAATATTATTTTTCTTATAAAATCAATTTTCTGCTTTGTTCACAATACTCACGTGATAATCATTGAAAGAAGATGTCTCCGTTTCTTTTGGATTCTCGCAAGTTATGATTATGTTACGAATGCTACGTGTAACTTCAGCTTCTAATTTCAAAGCATCACTGAGAGCTTCTTCTGCACTGAGCCACTCTTGACGAATATTTGTATCATTGTTATTTAAAATCTATAATATATTATTTATATATATTAATTAAAATCTATTTTATCTAAAATTTATCTCTTTATAATTTACATATAATTGTCTTAAAATGTGCAATGGCCACAAAAAAATACCCACCACAGGAAACTTGAGGAGTTTACTAACATCATTTGTAAGTTGCCCACGCATCAGCAAATATTCAATGATTTTTATTGCATGTTCCCTCTCTTCGCTTGCACTTTCAAAAAAGAATTTGCTAAAACCTGGGCGATTTATAGTATCTCGTGCAAAGTGAGCGCCCTAACAAGAAAATATTAAATATATATGTAATATAAATTATTTTTATTAATTTAATAAGTCATAATAGTTATATGTCAGATTAAAATATATAAATAAATCAGAATTTATGTACCATTGCGAGATATTTCATGGCAGCTGCGATTTCGGTTTTGACTTGAGATTCCATGACTTTTACGCATGGATCAACGATATCTATCCATGATGTTGGTACATTGGCAGGTTTAAGTGTACCTAAAAAGGAATAGAGTAAAAATTTTGATTAATGATTATACAATAAAAGTTTATAACAATTATTGCTTCTGATAAAATTTCCGTTATATTGTGTAATAATCAATTTTCAATAGCAAATTATTATTATTAATTATTTTATCGATATATTATCAGAAAATGAAATACTTTATCAGTTTGATTGATCATTGTAATGTCGATAGCATCTTTTCCTGCATAGATAAGATATTATTTAACTAATTGTAAGATAAAAGGCAAATCTGTTATAGGAGTAAACATTTTTGCTACATGTGATTTAATTATATAATTATGTATGATTATGTATAAATGTAAATTGCTTTGAGTCATTAATTGTTACTAAAATGGTTACATTAATATATCTATATTTTAATAGATATTTTTAAAAAATTAACTGTTAATAAAATATTATTTTACATGATGTGAAATTGATGTGAGATATTAGTATATGCATAAATAAATGTGTATTTATATTATGAATTAAATCTTTTTTATATACAATTATATTATAATAGAATATGTATGAATATATATGATAATGAATCAAGAGTAACAATTACTAATCAAAAACAATTTATTGAATTTAATGAATAAAAAAATTGTAAAAATGGAAAGAATATTGTCAATATAATATACGTGTCATTATATAACTTTTCATTAAAATTATCTTTATACAAAACAAGATAATTAGTGATGACGAGATTTAATTTATCACATATCATACATGTATGACAAGTATTAATTATATTTGTTTGACATTTTTTACTATTACAATCTATAAATAAACATCTTTTCCAAATGATTGATGGCACTGCAATATGATATTTTTAAATTAAATTTTACATTTTACGTATACAAATGTTATATACATATATATATATATATATATATATATATATATATATATTATTTGTAAAAATTATAAATTTATTATATTATATAAGAAAATTAAAAATTACATCAATTATACAAAAAACACAAACAAAAATATTTTATTTTTTCCCTTGTATATATAAAATAATAGATTAAACTTCATTTAAATAAATATATTGTAAAATAAAATAAAAAGAATATTATTTTATTCTCTCTTTTACTTTTTTATATAAACTTTCATAGAAAATCAATTGTTTGTTCATATTAGCTTTAACAAGTTCCACATAATATTTGAAATAATCGCGTATGCATATTGATATGAACCAGGGAACAAAGCTCAGATAACTGCGTACTAAAGTGACCATACAGTCACGTCCTTATCATATACTGATAACGGCAATGATGTTGATTTCCTGATCTTTTCTGGCCATTTAGCTCGATCCACGTCTCTATTTTGTAAAATGATAAATACTGAATCAGGTCATATATATAGATATAAAAATAGACTTGATAAAATTGTGCAATCTGGATGTAAAAACAGTGTAGATATAAGTAATATTGGAAATTATGTTGAGATATACGTTAAAGGCATGCGTCAAAAAAGAGCAATTAACTTGTTATTGACTTTAAAAATAGATACAACTGCAAGAGGGATTATATTAATTATTAAGATATATCTTCATTCTGTAATTTACTGCAAAAACACTTGGAAAAAAATTGTTAACTATCATAATTAAATACATTTATATACATTTATATATTGTCCCTGCAATTAAGCTTTGGTAATTTTAAATACGACACATCAGCATTGTGCAATTTAACATACAGTTAGTTTATGATGTATATGCGTTATAGATATTTCATCACTTGCCCAGTTTATTGCGCAAGGCTTTTAAAGTAACAAACATCATCGATGATCATGAATCAGAAAGGGACAAAGATTGTCCTTGAAATTGTGATAGTTATTTTTTATCAATTTTTCTGCTAATTCTAATAAGAATATGCATGACTCATTAATAACATGTACTTAATAAGGCCATCTAAAATTGCAACATTAACATTTTATAACATATACAAAGATAAGAGCTTTAGCGAATAATATTGTCTTGAAATTGAAACAGTTTCAATAAACATTCAGAAATGGAAACAAACATTTCAATAAACATTGAAATATTTGCACTGATCAAATTATTGTGGAAGATTTCAATTTTCCATTACAGTACTCGTATTTGTATAAAATATTTATTAGTAATATTTATTACGGAGACGAACGACGCAGATTCCTTTTACTTTTAATCTAAATGCGAAGATAGAGACAAAGAGTCTTGATATGAGAAACAAACATTCGTAACAATCTCTGATCTATTGAAAGAGCTTGGATAAGGTTGTTCCATCAAAACAAACCATCATGTACATATCACGCTTACTTTACTTTATGCGTAGTCATTCTATTATTCTGTGAAACAAACAAGGAGAATGTTTCATGCAAACTCATAATATTCCTTCCTTTTATATCTCAATTCGAAATAACGTTTCGTTGCAGAAATAACGAAAGATCACAATAGTAATTTAATCGAACGAAAATTATTTTCCATATCGGAGAGGCGGAGAAAAGATATGGAACAGCGTCGAATGTCAACGTTCTCAAACATGACGTCATAATGTTTCTACGCAATACCGCGTGTCCAGAAATTTAACGTAATTTATTCTTTTTAGTTAAACTTTTCGTTCTGCCTTTTGTTTCCCTTCGAATTTCTAAACATATATCTACCTTATACTAAACTATTCCGTTCTGATTCAGTTAAAAAGAACAAACTTCGTGTTATAGAAGAGAGAAAAGAAAGAATAAAGAAAAAGAGAGAGAGAGAGAGAGAGAGAAAATATATATAAAAGAAAATCATATATAATCTTGCATAAATTATATATTTGTATTTATAAATTGATATCCGTAATATCTCGTCCGATGGACGGAAATCCAAGAAGAAAATAAAATAGCAACTTACACTTGAGTCCATTTCCCATCGTTCCGCCGACGCAGGCCAGGGCGACAAGGAAGACGCAAAACAGCTTCATGGTTCGATTGTGAAATCGAGCGAAGAGGTTATGTGACGAATTTCGGAAAAGCGAAAATAACGTCGAAAAGTCGAGCTGGATGGATGAATACGCTGATGGCTCGTCCGCCTCGTTCAGAAGCAACCTTTATACGCACTGGTATAGAAGGCTGCTTTCGGAGCTTTTAGATAAGAAAGTACGGAGACTGAACGCTTCTTACGCAGTCATCGATCACCTAACAATGTCTCATGGACGCGCGATATTCGCACTTTAACCGCTAGGATGGGGTGAAGTGGGGCGGAGAGGAGTAGAAGACCCTTGGAATCTCTCCCTCTCACTTTCCCACCACCCGTCTCGCCTGTCAAACGCGCGGCGCGCGCAGCTGCTGCGCCTGCGCCGGTGCCGCTCTACCCCTCCTCCTATCAGCTGACTATGACCGAGTGAAAAGCGCTGTGCTACGCTGTGTAACGTTCATTGTTGGGATAACGTCGAAGCGAGAGTATTCACGTTACTTCCCATCAGCCGTTGCGGACCGATCTTGACGAGAGAGAGTGAGAGAGAGAAAAATTATTCCAGAGAATCTACTTTGATAATACTACTTCCTCGCACGTACGTAAATAAAAAAATATCATATCGCCCGCGAGGGCGTTTTTTTGATCTTTGTGCATGAGTCATAGATACTACGCACTTTGTTAAGTACCGTAAAGTTCGTGGGTCGAGCGATTATGCGCATAAAATACGTAGTTCTTCGAAAAAATCGTTGACTGTTATCTTGCGATCAATCTTTGAGTCATCTCGAATTCGATTGCGCTACTTTTCGAGTTTCTTTCATTTGCGTCTGACAGGATTATGATCAGGATTATATACGCATTAGATTTATACGTTTTAGCTAAATTTTTGGCGTTTCTTGTTATTCCTTTCTTTTAAACTTATATATTTATCTTATTTTATATTATTCTAGTTCAGAAAAAAGAACAAATCTATCGTGCATTTGTTTTTTTTTTCTTTCGACTTCAAAACATCGTCGTAAATAAAAACTTTTATTATCTTATTTATATACTATTTATTACCGTATTTATGTAATCGGTAGATACTTTTTATAGGGCGAGATAAGTTCGAAGCAACAAAAGTTAATTGTAATATTCTTAAAATTGAAAATTTTTTTATTGATTCTTAATATCTACGCGAGATATGTAGGCTAATCTATAGCTAATTTAGGAACATGAAACATTTTATTAAATCTGTATGAGTGTTCATTGATATTTATTTTTGTAAATTTTAGCAAAGATGTTGTTCTTGGGAATCTTTTCTGTCCTTCTGCTGACTGTTTCTGCAGAATTCTGTTACAGTGATGTTGAGAATGCTTGCAGCACTAATCCTAAAAGTATGTGGAGATACTACCATTAATTCTTCACAAAAATTTAATAATATTAAAATTAAGAATATTAAAAAGATGTAATAATTTTAAAAAGCTATGTAATTTTGAATGGGATCATTTTATCGCTTCTATAACTTTCTGATGTAAAAATGTATGATTATATATATATATATAACAATTGACTATATTCTATTCTATAAAAAATTGACTATTCTAATTCAATGAAATTGTGTTTATATAGTTTTAAGAAAAATACATTCTTTTTGATACTTTTAGGTGGTGGATTAACATTAAACTGTAATGCTCAATATGGAGCTATTGATACGCTTCAGGCTGACTTGCAATCATTTGTAAATGCTAATATCGAAACAAGTTTTGAATTTCTGCTGATGTCTACACATTTTGGCAATTATGAAGCGAGTCGAGACGGATTTAAGGGACTGTATCGCAAACTTTCAGATCAATCATGGGCAGACGCGATAGATTTAATCAAATACATTACAAGACGTGGTGGAAAGATGGACCTCAATCAGCTTCCACGCTTTAAGAAATCTGTAAATATATATCTGTTTGTTTTCACTCGTTTTGTTCTTGTAGGAAAAAGAAAGAAGACATTATTGATATTATCATTGTTTACAGGTCAAGGACAGTAAAATTTTGGAACTGACCGAAATGAATAGTCTGGCTAAAGCGCTCGATAGCGAGAAGCAACTCGCCAAAGAAGCGTTACGTATCCATAATCAAGCGCAACATCATACCTCGCAAGATGCAGATGTCGCTCATTACATCGAAGACCATTTCACGGAATCATTGTCCGAACGTGTGAGAGACCTCGCGGGCTATTCAAACGACTTTAAGAATTTGTTAAGTGAGCGTGATGCATCAGTCTCTGTATTTTTGTTTGACGAATATCTTAAAAAAACTTTGTAAAAAAACAATAATTGTATACGGGTACAATTTATAACACATATATACATTATGTTTCAATTATATTATTATTGTTACTGTATTTTATCTTTATTTTCATTCTCTAAAGATCTTTTCTATGTAAAATACAAGAAATAAACGCATATAGAAATTTATTTCTTATACTCTGTGTGTATACCATAATAATAGAATAACGAACATATCTACACTCATACTTTTCTTCTCTCGTTTCCTTTTTTAAGTGGTTTATGATCGATAATACCAATACGGAACTATTTAAATCAATATGCTAATAATCGCATTTGTAACAAAGCAAAACTTATCATAGACTTACGTGCATTTATCCTCAATAGATATATCTAATCATATCGCTCATAGTACAAAGTACAGGCACAGTGAACGCATATTTTTAAAATTAATTATACGAATACTATATATTTTTAAAATGTACTCAATGATTAAGATAAGATACTACATGCATTATAATCTCGAAACATGTAACAGAATTGCAACATTGGCTCTAGTATGCTATAGTCGGGAAAAAATTCATTGATAGATATCAGTATAGATATTGTAAATAAAAAAAATTGTATATATATATATATATATATATATTTATTTATTTACAACATTTACACTGTTGTTCACCAATGTGTGTGTGTGTATATATATATATATATATATATATATATATATATATATATATGCGCAATTATTAGGGAAGACGTTTTCTGCCAAGGACAGAATATTAAAAATATTCACTTATCACACATAATCGAAAAAATTGACACTTATTAATTGAGCATTATTTATCAGTTATAAGGAAAATAAATTGCGTCATAACAATAGTATTGAATGATATGATAGTCTTTATCATCAATGATGTCTATGCATTTTAGACTAAAGTTTTGCACATTTCTAGCATAATTAGACAGGTAAAATATATCTATTAGTAATAAATTTAAATTTCGCCGGACTTCTTTGTGTTAATATCTATTAGTTTTACATAAGAATAAATTTATGTTAATTTTACTGACAGCCATTGATAGATTGTAGGCAAGCATATATGATATGTTTTTTGCTATTATTGCACACTCAATATCAATATTTAAAGAACCAAATAAATATAATATATAATATTTTATTTTATATTAAATGCAATCATATTGCACATTTATGATATGATATTACTAGAAATAATTGTATTTATGCTGTGTTATTACATTTCTTTTGTTTCAATTAAACTTTCACTTTAACTATTCTTTCCAATCAATATTAAGCATTATTTTAATATTACTATAAAATATAGTAATTTGATAAATTATTATAAAGAAATATTGTTCAATCACATTATACATGATATGTAATGAAAATTATTTCTCACATATATATATATATATATATATATATATATATATATATATATATATAATAAATCATTATGTTTTACCAATTGTGTGTATCTATGTATGTATGTTTTTATATTTGTGTGTGTATATATATGTGTGTACGTATATATATGTATGTATGTACATACGTATGTATTATTAAAAAACCTCACCATATATAGAAAAAAATTAAATACATTATAGGCTAGGCAATCAAAATATCTATATATATCATAGTAATAAAATCTACCTATTCTAGATCACGTTTGCACATATTGTCTTCCTACTTTATATTAGAGCCATTTTTTTAATTAAAAAATTTCTTAATTCCTCATTTCATCATTTATTTTGTCTGTCTCTCTTTTCATGAGAGAATGCATCAGAATGTTCAATTCTCTGTTTTATTCAGACTCCAATTATAGAAATATTTCTAATAAATTTTTATAATATTCTTATATAATCTGTAGAGTTAACTTGTAAAGTGTGTGTACAATATAACTATATACAGTCTTCTAACGATATGTTTGACCTAACATATGTTGATTTTATGCCATTGTATACTACATTATGACATATATCATTCATGATAGTTTTTTGCTTTATCTGGAATAATATATAGATATTAATATAATACTTATATATCTACATATGAATGGAAAATTAATACTGATTCATATGCAATTATGCAAAATATTTACTATAATTGTATAAGATACTTACACATAATTATGCTAATTTGGTATTTTCACCAATCTTTACCAATTGAATATTTTATAATGTAGATTTAACTTTTTGTCAATCTATTTTATGCATTATGTATGTGACTATACTGAACAACAAATCTCAATAAGAGATTTTAATTTAAATGTATAGATTATTATCGATTATTATAGCAAGTAACTCTTTAGATGGCATTTCTTATTATCGATGATGTTATAATTTTAATATGTACTAATAAAGAAGCAAGCTCAAGATCTTCGCTATATACGTTTTTTAATGGAACACTTCTATATCCCGTTCTTAAACAACGCACCTAAAAATTAGAACATTAATTTTTTTTTAATTCAGACAAAGATCAAACAAAAATACCCTATTTGATACTAAACATAAATATTTTTAATACAATTAATAAAGTACTCACTGGATAAGTAGCTTGTCCTATGAAATTACTATCACCAAACATATCTTCGTCTTGTACTAAAAATCGTATAAGAGCAAAATATGGATTAAATATCTCAAATTCACATGTTTCATTCCACATTGGATTAAATCCGTTATCCGCTGCAAGTTTAAGAATTATATTTTTTGTAATTGTATTAATATATTATATTAATTAAATTACCATATCATCTAATAAAATGACAATTCAAGATAATAAAATATATTTACGTATTGTCTTTGTTGTTAATTTTGTTCCAGAGTCAAAATCTGCACCAATAATTTCGACTTCAATGGATGGACTGGCAGTGCCTCTTCCTGATTTCATTAAATGTCTAGCTCCAATAACTTTCAAGCAGATTTTAAGTGATTCAACTCCATACAATGTATTTTTATCATATGGATTAAAGTCTTGTCTAAACATGAATTCTGGTTTCAATAAATAACCACAATTGCCATTCTCTTTAAATTTAGCTTGATTCAATTGCATTGATTTGTCTCCAGTCTGATAATTCAAAGCTACCATCTGACAACCAGCATTCCACATTGGTACAGGATTATAATTAGATGAATCAATACGTTGACCCTTTGGATAAACTCTGCTAAATTGAATCTATAAAATAAATAATTTGTTTTTTAATAATCTATTCTCATTCTCATTCACATGTTTCGACATTCATTTCATCTATTTGTATACCTGATGATACTTTATAAAAAATTTATTTTCTTGTTGACACATTAATTTTTCAGCCTTTGTTTCCGGGAAGCTACTCATTTCATTGAATGTAAATCCCTTAGTTCTTATTCGTTCTATGTTAAATGCAACTGATCTACAGTATACTATAAGATTAGACATTTCCTTGGCTATTCTCCATGCTCTCTCCATTTCTTTATGCTGACTTTCCTAAAATAAATAAATAAATAAATAATATGGATGAAATGTACATACCCATTTATAATATCTAAATTTTATAAGTTATATAAATTATTACATACCCTAACACTTGCATTTTGTGCAGTCTCTTTGATACTTGACATCCATTCTAAGGCGGTATCCTTCGATGGTGTAGCGACTTCGAATACTGAACACATACTAGGATTTTGTATCCTTAAAATCCATTCCAAACCTAATCTCTCCCCGACTGTTAGTTCTACTACAGCACCCATGATATCTAATGAACCTTTTTGCAAACTACCAAGCATCATGGAATCTGCGGACTAAAAAAAATATTCTTGTATTAAACAAAATATATGTGATACAATATATATATATATATATATATATATATATATATATATATATATATATATAGGGAATTTGATGTCATTAGAGCCTTTGCTATTTCATATATATAATATCAAATATAAAATTCAGAACTTACATCTCCTTGATTTTCTTGTTCATCGATTTCTTCCACATAATTAGCAGGAAACCAATGTTGTTTTTTACCACCATAATCACCCCTCCACCATCCTCCACGTTGCACATTGACATTAGTAATTATAGCATGCTTCACTAATGTCAATTCATCCTCTCTTTTAGCCTTATAATCATAAATAGCCTTAACTGTAATCTTTATACACAAAATAATTCAATTTATCTTATTAAAATTATATAGCTATTATGAAATAATAAATATTTACATATTATATATGTATACACACACACACACACATACACACACATCCACACACAAATTCAATAATCTTATTGATTTAATAATTTATGATCTTGTACTTACTTTTGATGTAAAGCTTGTAGGATCCATATAACCTGGGATGCCATAAACAGATCCATCATCATTATCCTAAATAAAAAAGAAAAGAAACAATTAATGTATTCTTTATACTTTTAATATTTAGATGAATTTTTTTGCTTATGTCTTAAAAAAATGAAAGAAAACTACAAAATTGCATACCAATCCCATTCTTCTGATAATATCTTGATTAACTGGATGGCTCAATTTAATCTTTTTATATAATGGACGTCGTTCGTAATAATTGATTAACTCAACTAAGCTTTCAAACTGTACAGTTCCAGTGGTATAGAGCCTGCCTTCAAGTTTTATTTTACAATGTTTTATTTTCTTTTCTGCTCTATAACAATACAATATAATTAAAATATAATTAAAATATAATTACAATATAATTAAAATATAATTAGAATTAAAAATTAATATAGCAAATTATAAACTATACATGATATTTTAAGAAAACATACCTAAATGAAATTGCATAGCAATTACTTTCTCTTTCACTAGGTCTTACTAAGAATGCACCATCTGTAGGTATACGTTTTAACATCTCTTCCGCTGCAATTCGAGTGCATTCAGGATGCCACCATTCTTTTTCTTCATGTTTATTTGGTTGGGGAACCGGTTCTTGCAGCGTGATTAAAAATTCCTATATATCAGAGGAAAAAAGAGAGAAACAAAGATTTATTATCTTTCAATTTTATTTTCAAAAATAAATATTTAATTTCTTGATATACTTACTTGGCTCCTAAGTGGATGATTACGATAATGAGTGATTAAACTATATAAGCTATCAAAACAATTGGTATCAATAAGGTAATATTGTGTTTGACCCATTTCTTGTTTCAGCTTGATGCGACAATGATTCACTTTTCCTTTACGCCAAAACGATAAACAATAATCACCTACAAATGTAACACATTGTCGTACGAGAAAAGTACCATCTCCGAGATAGGAATAGTGTCGTAATAATTCTTCAGCCTCCTCTCTTCCTCTTGCTAATTTTCCATGAAACCATTTTTCGCCAAAGTGCAATTCGTCATTCGGTGCGCCCTTTTTTAAAAATTAAATATTACATTTTAATGCCTTTTTAATATTATTTTAATTTTACCCTATAATTATGCTTATATAATATATATAATTCATGTATTGCATTAATGCAATAAAAATTATTATATTTCTAAATTATAATTATATTTATAATGTTTTATATCTATGAATATATCGTACATCTGACGATCTCCGAATACCACTTTCTTCATCGTCATCATGTTCCGTTTCTTGTACTCTTGAAAATGTGTCTGTATAAAATAACTTTTGTTGTGTCAACACAAAAAAATGAGGATTCCATTCTTTATCAATAGGATCTTCTAAATAGAGGATTCCATTTTTTACAGTATTTCTAAGATCCATCTCTTGTCTACTTTCGTCATTTCGAACAAGAAACGAAGATTCGTCGACACCATCGGGAAGCTTCTTGTGTTTTAATAAAATTTTTCTGCGCATTGCATATGGGGAAGGTAAACAAGTTTCATTTTTGTCAACAGGTTGAACTAACAGCATATCACCAAAGACCTCTTGCATACTCATAGCCATTTTACGTTGTTGCGGTAAAGTACAGTTATCCTCAATAGATAAAATAACAGGATATCTGAATAAATAATGTATTAATAGAGAAGATAATAGAAGATAATAGAGAAGATAATAGATAATAGTTCATAGAAATAACTTTTTCTTTAAATTTCTTTCTTGACTTACTCGGATGTAGCAAAAGCATGCTCCTTAATAGTTTTAATAACATCCAAAAATTTAATTTTAGTAGTGAGTGTATGTCCATGGAATATAAATGGCATTCCATCTGGACCATCCCAACAATCAAGCTCTATACATCTGCATCCTGCTCTTAGCGCACGCACATATGCCTGACAACTGCTTTCGCTGCTAATTTGATCTCCCATCAAGTATCTATAATTCATAGTTAAGATTTTATTGGAGATAGAATCTTCTTTAAAAATTATATACATTTTATATATACTAAGATTACATACGTATTATGCGATGATGCTATCCAATAATGTGCAAGAGGTCGAGCCATATCTTGAGAAACTTGATTGAACTTTTGATTCCAAATATCATTTTGCTTAGAAAATAAGAAATCTACAAACTCTGAGAAAGTAAAATATGGTTCTTGTATGTCCCTTTGAGGATCTTGTAAATATTCTCTAATAAAACGGGATATCTCTAATTCGTTATTTCCCAAACTATCTTGCTGTTCAGTTAATAAAAAGTTCTGAAATTCTTGAAGTGTGACAGTTGGTTCAATTTGGGAATAATTCAACAGTTTGTGCCAATCTGCAAGATTCTGCAAAAGATATAATTTATGATAAACGATGTAAACTTGTAATATTTACAAAATAAAATAATAAGACATACATTCTGATCAAACATTAAATTATGATACAAGATAACAAAATCGTCAAATCCAAGTTCGTTTCGATTTCTCGTGTCTACTTCTTGAAATAATTCCCTGAGTCTATTTGTTGCAATTTTGCAATTAACTCTAGGCAAAAATGCTTTCACATCCTTCAATGTGACCCTGTTAGTCAGCATAAGTAAAAAAATTAAAGTAATATAATTAATTATATATATATATATATATATATATATATATATATATATATATATTACAAATATACATAATTATATAATTTTTTATTCACACACACAAAATAAATTCTATTAAGAATATTTACGTTTCACGGGAATTTTCCATTGTATAAAATTCTTTTCTAAGCCATCTTTCAACTTGTAAAGGATATGGCGCATTTATAGTGTCTTGTACCAAGTAACGCAATCCCTTAATCCATAATTCACATTCTTTTTCACTAAGAGCTGAGATAAGTATAAATAATATCTTAAGTATTAAATACTATATATTTGTATATATAAAAATAATTAACATTTATAAACACAGTAATAGATTTATATATATCATATTTACCAGATATAGAAAGAGTTTTCAGTCTAAATTCTGATCCATAATATACAACAAAGCACCTTAAATTTTCAATTCTCTTAGCATCCTCAGGCCATTTTTCAAAATCTTTAGATTGTTTACCTATTCTAACTTCTTTGACTTCTCTTATTTCCACTGTAAATAAATATCTAAAATAAATATGCTGTAAATGTGGAATATTTATGATAATTTTAGTAAATATTATCTTATTATCAATAATAACAATGCATATATTTGAGATAAAAATAAAAAGAAGAAAATATCTATTAATGTAAAAGACCTCAATGTAATTTAAAATATAATGTAAATTTAAAATTCATTTTAATTGCTTAAAGATTATTGGATAAGATTTATACATAATATTATATATAACATATTATATATAAATGATATAAATTTAATTATTTTTATAAATTTATCCACATAAACATGCAAGAGTCTTTATTCTACACTTCAGATTTACATGTATCTTTGTTTTTAATATTTATCTCAATTTTATTGCAAATATTTATTTTTAATTATATATATTTCCAAATATATCTATACAAAAAATATATATCTGAAATATTAGATAAATTCACATTCACAAATTTATGGATATAAGTAAAATCTTACCTGAACCATCAAAAGGTCTAAATGTTGCACTTCTTGACCAAACAATTTGTCTAGTTTCTCTTCGTATCATAAGAGTTTTCTTTTCTGGTCGCTTTCTCGGAAAGAATTTGGTAACTACAGTACCTCTCTCGAGTTGACTAATAATTTGTTCCATTTCAGGTATAATTCCATTCATTTTTGTAATATTACATATATTTATACTCTGCAAAATATATAAGTTATCAAATTTGGAACAATTTTACTTTTACATTGTGCTTAGCTTTGAAATGAATTGTATAAAACTTATATACAGAACTTTGAAATGTTATAGTTTAAAAAATAATGTTTCATATAACTTATAAAAGTGTACTAAATAAAATAATATTCAGAATTCGCTGCAAATCTTTTTATTATTATATACAAAATAGAACACATGTAGAAATAACATAAGTTTTCTTTCTTCTTGTTTAAAATATTTTGAACAATTTATACAAAATAATATTTGTAATGTATTTATAAATTGCATGAATATTTATAAAGTATTCTTATGTATAAATTTGAATATTGATAAGGTATCCCTATGTATAAGTTTGAATATTTATAAAATATTTATAAAGTACATGAATATTTATAATATTTCTATATATAATGTACAGCAAACATTTTTCAATTGTTACGTTTTTTTCTTTATGTATTTTAAAAATATATGAAACTAAAAAATACATATTTTAGTCTATATATGCACCATATGTATTTATTTCTGTACAGTATTTTCAAGCCGAATAATCATTTATAATTATTTTTTATAATTATTTTTATAATTATCTTTATGATAATTATTTTTCGCTACATTTTCGCATCAATTGTATCAGAATTAATTAAATTTGCATTTTCTTCAACAAGTTCAAATATTTTTTCCTAACCTTTGCAATGTAAACATAACCTAGTAAAAGATATCTTATGAAAAGTCGAGATTATTTTTCGTGGAAAAACGTAATCGGGACATGGAGTAATTACGACAACTGATAACTTATGTAGGCTTATATTTCGAGAGATTTCTTGTCTCTCCAAGTGTCAATTTCAAAACTCAATCCCGCAAACGCATCGTGCCATTAATTTTTTCAACGCACGATCATTTTTATTACACCCGTCGCGACGTCTTACGATGTTTAAAGATATATCATACCTGTCTCCGAAATGATACGCTGTATTGATGATATTATTCGATAAAAAATATGTTGCATTTATCATGTGTAGGTATAGTTTGCAATTCGCGTTTACATGGATTATTTCCGGTGCGAGGTGACGTTACGTTTCGCATACATTCGACATCTTTGACTGCAGAGACATATGGAGGATGTACCGAAGTGTGAATTGTCAAAGGAGGGAGAATGATCTAAGTCGTAGAAAAGGATATACGCATGCTGGATGGATCGTTATCTTTGTCATCTTCATTGATGTCCTATTTTAATATTATAGTAAAAAAACATGATTTCATATGTATGTGTATATTTTACGAATTGAAAATAAATAATTCACAACTTATATTTCCAATTGTATTTTTCTCAAATTTATAAATAAAATAAGAAATGTTTTTAGTTCGGATGATATAATGTAAAAAGAGACAAAGATCCATCCAAGAATATACATATCTCTTTCTAATTCTGAATTCCGATTTTCTAGAATAATGTAAAGAGAAGGGGGGAAAAGAGGGAGGTAGAGAAGGAGAGAGAGGGAAAGAGGGAGAGAGAGAGAGAGGGAGAGAATGTGTCAGTATCTATTACACACACACACACACACATTTTTTTTTTTATGATAAATCACATTATTCATAGGAGCTTTTCAGCAAGAAAGTACAGATAAATATAATATCACGCAATTAAAATAGAAAAAATTATTAAAATCTTATAATTTTTGTTATTTGATATTTAATTATGTAGTATTATATTTATATATTTCTTGCTGGAAAAAATTTTTCATATAAAATAAATATATAAATATATGTTAATCAAATGTTTATCGTACCTAATCGAAGTAAATTGAAATCGATATAATTTCAAATAAAATGATTTTACGACGACACATACGTTTTGAAAACACACACATTGCTCATTTCTATAGCATCTAATCAATTTGGCTACCTGAAAAAAATGCTTATATTAAAACTTTTGTTATTCATATTTGATCCAAATTTTATCCAAAACTATTAATTACCTGAGAAATAATAATAAAAAATTTTCAAGTTATTATTATATAGAATTGTGTCTGATAAACTCATTAGAGAGAATCTTTAAATGTACTCTTTTTTATGAATCATCGTAATCTGTATTTCGCAAATGACCTTTCATCTTGCAAAACTTGCATAATCGATTAAAAAATCGATTCAAAAATTTCATTTTTTTTTTTCAAATCACATACCTAACACAAAGCGATAACAAGATTTCAGACATACACATATATGTATATATCATATAAAATACAAATACTATAGTATATATTCTTACGTCCCCACATAGCAATTGCGAACGTCACAATGAGTGACATATAGATATTATAAGCAGAAGGTATAACGATACATTCACTCCCTCGATACTAAATATAATATAAGAGGTACCCCATTGAAAAGCATGTTATTTAGCAAGTCTTTTTCCACGCAGAACAAATTATAATATCCATGAAAACGTATCATCTGTCAAATGTGTATTTATTTAATTTTTCCTAGGAATAAATAGCAAAAAAAGTTTATATTTTGTTACAAATAACTCTCCAATTTTTAAAACGTTAGTTAAAATTTTTTTTATAAAATCTTTTTTCTCAAAATAATTTTTGTGTCTTTTTATTTATTTAAGTTTTATTAATTTAAGTGTTTATTTAATTAGTTTCAAGTTGACGTTTTTATCTTTTATGACGTCAATAAAGAAGATAAATAGATATCACTTTTTTCACATACTATATAGATGGTCTCGTAAAAGAAAAATTATATCGCATTTCCTTTGCGATAATTTGTATCTTGTATTGCGTTACATAGAACATTTTAGGATCATAAGTATTTTCTCATAAAACTTTTGTTTTGTTTGATTTCAAGAATTAATGTATTGAGATAAGCAAGTTATAATCGTTATAACATTAAATGTTATTCATGCATAGATAATAAACTTGTATCATCACAGAAGAATTAAACGATATCATATGACTGAATGCACATGATTAATACACCACATATTCGTAGTCTATTCTTATATTTAAAATCACCTTAAATGTGATCTTAAGATTCTAATTATGGAATGATTGTGTAGCATTTTAAGATCTTCTGGAGGCCTGATTTCCAGAGAAAGATAGGGATGTATGTGGGAGGAGGTCGGACGTGTCTTTACGCCCATTTGGTCAACGAGCGACAGAATCCATTCATGGCAACGGCATTGACGCATATCCTGTGAAGAGAACATTCACACGTTTTTCAGCCTAACGAATAATTGCTAGAAAACAATATTCGCAGACTAGAAAAATATGAGGCGCAATGGCTGGATCGAAAATCGAACCCAAGTCTTTCGCTTTCCAGGCAACTGCTCCAGACCACTGAGCTATCTAGACCTTACACCTAATGCTGCTTTTTAACACAGTGTTATGCGACTCCAGAGCGATTTGGTATCTCATTCAGGCCCGGTTCCACAACTTGAGTTAATCTGAGTTTAATACGTTAAACTGGGTCATGATTGGTCCATTCACTACTTAAACTCGGATTAACTGGATTGTGAAACTGGGCCTCAATGGATGCAATGCCGATTGCCACGAAGGATCTCTAAAAAGTCGCTGACCAAATAAGTGCTGGTGGAGGTATTCGCGTATGCTGGCTTCCGACTAGCCTTCCGAAAAGGAGCATGACGCCGTAGAGTGGCCACATCCTCCAAGATCCCTCTAGAATATACTAAAATCCCCACTGTACCAAATAGCAGTGGCGGATAGACCCTAATATAGGGCCGGGGCAGGCCTCCAGAATGATTGTGTAGCATTTTAAGATCTGTAGATAAGATGAATATAAGAGTAAACCATGAATACAAGTCATAGATATTGATCCTTGCTTAATTATTCCAAAGACGAGAGCACCGTAAAGTATGACATCGAAGTTTGCACGATCTTTAAAATAAGAACTCGTATTACTAAAGTTGCCTTACGAGATTGTTGCGTTCTAATCTTGTAAAGTTTATTACATAAAGCTTTACCGAAGTAAAGTTCTCCAACGAGAAAATGTAAATTTTGCCAGCAGTCAAGAACATCGGTTGGAGACTCTTCCGCATCACGAATAGAAGCATCTTTTGAGATTTCGCAGGTGTTTTATACCAAGGACTGTTATAGCTGTAATATGTTTCAATTTATTAAACTATAGTACTCTAAATTAACTAAATTAACTATAAGTAACTGTAATGTTATAATCATTATTGTAAAAATCTTTTGTCTTACATTGTGTCGCGCGTTTGAAGACTGTGATCTATCAGTTTCTGTCCTTCGAAACTGAGGCAGAACAGATGGATCAGCTGAGCGATAACATACACTACATATTTCAGAATTACCAAAACGTCAGCGTCCTCCTGCGTAACCTTCAGTCCCAAAAATATAATTTAAAAAGTTAATTCTTTGCATTTATAACTATTTTTCTCACAATTTTAATAAACATAACTTGCAAAATGACCTTAAATATATAAAAAATACAATATGTTCTGTATAGGTACGATATTATTATATTCCTTATCAAAAAATAATTTCCCTTTTGACAACATTTATGAAGGATTTTACGAAAAAATGGGTTGTTTTTTAAATATTTTATCTGTTAATGTGTGCATTTGCAGTTTCTTGATTCTTTGTACAAATATAATAATTCTTCGCACGAAAGTTTTAATTCTTTGCTATAAATTTAATATTTATATTACATTTGTTTTATATTTATGTCACTTCAAATAAAATTCAAATAAAATTTCTTCAAATGTTTCATTATAAAAATATAAATATATTTGACTAAATATCAATATTATAGAATAAAATTATCAAAATTTTTGAAAATACGAAGAATTAACAATGAATTGACGTATTAAAAAATAGGATAATAATGCATTTCCAGAAATTTTAAAAGAAAAATGCTCTTTTTGACAAGAAATACATAGACTACCTACATTTATATTATATAAAACCTGTATAATAATTACGTAAAGTATAGTTTTAGAATGATAACGTACTTGTAATAGAGTAATACTAATCATTACTGTGTTCAACATTATTTGTATTGCCAGAGTCAACGAAAACGTATCTTCAATAAGCTGAGCAAATCTATAATAAAATAAATAATACTATACAATAATAAATGTGAATTTTTTAAATCTCTTTTCCTTGTACTAAAGAGATAATAAAGAGATAAGATGCACATAACAATAAAGAGATTAGATGCGATGATAAAGAGATTAAATGCTTACTTTAAAGCCTTTCGATGCGTGTGCACCGAAAACTCAATTCGTTTGCGATAAGTGTCATTTGTAGAATGTAAAATTGTCACGGAATTAGCACTTTTACACGTTAATTGTTTGAATCGAGATCTGCAAATATTTCTGCGTGACATCAAGTAATACATATAACAATACAATATACACGTCGCATTCTTCTCACCCAGTTATAGCAAAAATACTGCAGACGTGTTCGACATAAGTTAACAGCATACAATCGTGGGCGACTATTCCAGTCATAGCGACCTCCCATGCCACGATAGCATGCGAGAAGATGTAATAGAAGTATTTTTTCTCGTCAACGAAATAGTAGCCTGGGTGAGCGGGCAATATAGGGCGGGATTCGTTGAGAGGTAGTATGACATCTAGCAATTGCGGTACAAGAGATAAGGACATGAACAGATATACAGATATAAAGCAGTACACTGTAATAAACGAAGTTAAGTTGTAATTTCATCTACAAAAAAACCGAGATGCATACGAGAACGGAGACATCGCGCGATACATTCTTACACGAGTATCCTAAAGAATAACGTCTGCCCTTCTCGGCGTACTTTTTCATAATTTCGAGTTCTTCTGGGGTTTGTAAATCATCCCATTCGATGAATAATTGATCAATCAGAACTTTCATCTAAAAGTACTATTAATTAATGATACTATTAATTAATAGTAAATAATTAATAGTACTATTAATTAATAATGAACACTTTTTCTTTTCATTTTTCTTTTCATAAAATCTAACCGACTACTGATTCAATTATAAATTTTAGACTTCAAGCTTACTTTGTGATATAAAATGCACAAGAGTATTATAAAATAAATAACATACTTTACATCGATTAAAATAACACGTGTATAGCTTCACCAATGTTACGACTGTCAACAGATACGCTGTCAGTGTTTGAAAAATACATTGCAGGTCTCCGTTGCATTTAACAAATTTGGCCATCTGGCGAAATTATTATGTTTATGTGCAGATTAAATAATCTTCAAATTCTAATTTGATAAAGAGAATTATTGTAATTACTTGTGGAACAATCATGGAAAATGTGATCAAAGTCACCACGCTACTACAAAGCAGTCTCGTTTTTGGTTTCTGATAGGGCCATTGACCGGCTAACGATGACACTTTTTCAACAACACTGTAATAATGATTCCAAGTGGAGTTCATAGTTTGCAGATAGCCTTTCGCTTTTTACTTTGTACGGTCAACTAACTTCAAAATTTTCTTTCCTCCAAGTCCCAGCAAAATAACATCCTTCGATACAAGAAATGACTCGTTTTTGATATTATTACAAAGTTTTCGCTTCAAGTACATACGTATTTTACACACATACGTACATATTATACGTAATAATATGTTACAATATTTCGCATAGCTGTTGCAAACTGTCAAGGGAAAAATAAATCGCTTTTATTCATAAGTGCTACGTGTCATTTATTGCAACACGTTTCCATGTAGCAATAAATGACACGTAGCACTTATGAATAAAAGCGGCTTATTTTTCCCTTGACAGTAAATATGGGGGCGAATAACTTTGACAAGCGTATCATTTTGCAAGTCCTCTCCAGATAGAACGCATCGATCAGTAAGATGGTTTATTTTTGGAAACTTAAAAAATTTAATTTAGTAAATTATATTTGGTGACAATGTGTGCTTGCAAATTTAATAAGAGTTTGTTAATCAGGTATGTAAGAAATATAGAAATATATAAATTTGAAATAAAAAATGTATTAAGTACATGATTCTTTAAAAATATAATATATAATAACAATTAAAGATATGTGTAACGTTTGTAATCGTTTTTGATATTATCACAAAGTTTTCGCTTTAATTTAAGAATAATAACTATTGCAAAAGTGTGAACACACTATATAATACAATATCAAAATCTGTAAAACTTTTAAAAGAAGGATTTTCGTAATTCAAGAAGTATTTTAAACATTCTATTTGCAATAACCTTATAATATATGTATATAAGTTTTATTAGCACATAGACTTCCTCAGAGATAAGATATAAACCTTGCTTAAGAAACACAAGGTTATCGAAAGATTATCATCACCAGCATGATCGATTTTTAAAATTTGGATGGATACATCGTATCAAAATAGATTATATTTTTCACTATTTCATAAATATATCAAACACAAGAACTGAAGAAATTATGTAAAGAATGTTTTTCTTAGTAATGGATGGAATTTCTTAATAATGGAGATATTTTTACAAAAAACCTATTTTCTTTAAGATTTATAGTACATATTCTTACAAATTCTTCTTTAAACTTAACGATGCATATCTATCTTACTTATCTTTTGCTAATTCAACACAAAAATCTAGTTTAACACATGTTGCAAATAGTCATCAGATAGAGATAGTTTTACTTTATTTTCTTTGTAATGAGTATTTTTTATTGTGTTGGCAAATGTATGCACCTTATTACGTAAAGATTATGATTCTTCTAAATTTCTTTGTTAGAGAGATTTTTAATTGTAATTATATAATTTTATATAATAATTATAATTTAATTATTATTATGTTTTCTCTTTAGAATTGCACATTACCTTCTGACAAATATTTTGAAATATTTCAGAATTATAAACATTTTTCCAATTTTTATTTGACTTTAATAATTATTATATGCAATATATACCCACGCAAATAAGTACAATTTATCAAATTACACTATAACATGAGAAGTTTAACTTATATACGAATAAGAATCTCATCTTATTGTCATGTAAGAATTATGATTTCATAATTGAATGCAAGATTAATATCTGGATAAATTAAATTCTGACTGTTGCTTGATTATTCTAATGATGCGAGTATCGTAAAGTATGACATTGAAGTTTGCACGACCTTCAAAATAAAAACACGTAATGAACAAGAAGTATCATTAAAGAAGCTATTCTATCTTACGCAATATATATCTTTCCTATAGTTACCGTAGTGAAGCTTTCCATTGAGAAAATGTAAATCTTGCCGGCACTCAGAAACATAGGTTGAAAACTCTTTCGTATCACGAACAAAAGCATCTTTTGTGACTTTGCGGATGTTTTATACCAAAAACTATTATAGCTGCAATAGAATTAAAGTCAATTTTAATAAGATAATTGTTACGAAAATCTCTTGCGTCTTACATTTTGTCGCGTATTTGAAGACTATGATCTATCAGCTTCTGTCCCTCGAAACTGAGACAGAATAAATGGATCAATTGACCAAAAACGTAGAAAATATATCTTATTGCTTCTAAAAAATCTCCCTTTTGTTGCGTGATCTTCAATCCGAAAAATATAATAATTTAATTTTTTTTGCTAATTTATCTTATTTTTGATAAACAAATAATTTTTTTAAATACAAATGTGTGTGTCAGATATAATTTTAGAAAAATTGAGTAAATATTATATATACTTGTAACAGAGTGATGCTGATCATTACGGTATTTAACGCTAATTGTATAGCTAGCGTTAAGGAAAACGTATCTTCGATAAGCTCGGCGAATCTGCAACAAACAAAAAACACAATAATAACGATGAAAAAATTAAAGAATATTTCTTTCATATTGATTAGATATTCACTTTAAAGCTTTTCGATGTGTCTGTACCGAAAATGCGATTCGTTTACAAGTGTCGGTTAGTTGAGGATGTAAAATGCTCGTAGAGTCAGTGTGTCTATATGTTAATTGTTCAAAGCGAAATCTGTAAAAATGCGTATAAATATATAATTTATTTTATATATAATTATTTTTTATTAATTATATATAATTATTTTATATATAATTATTTTATATATAAATATTTTATATATAATTTATTTTATTGCGTCACATATTGCTCTCTTACCCAACTATAGCGAAAATGCTGCAAACATGTTCAATGTAAGTCAGCAGCATGCAATCGTGAGTGACTATCCCTGCCATAGCGATTTCCCAGGCCACAATAGCATGCGAAAAAATATAAAAAAAGTATTTTTTCTCGTCGACAAAATAATATCCCGGGTATGTCGACAATATAGGACGAGATTCGTTGAGTGGCAGTACAACATCCAATAATTGCGGTATGAGGGATATACACATGAAGAGGCATACAGATGAAAAGCAATACACTGCAACAGATAATCGCGATTATGATCGTTAAAAAATAATTTTATCAATCAAATAAGCAGAGAAAATATATATGACGATGAAAATCGCATAGTTTATTCCTACAGGAATATCCCAAAGAATATCGCCTGCTATTCTCGGCATATCTCTTCATAATTTCGTACTCTTCCGGTGTTTCTAATTCATCCCAATCGACGAATAATCGATCAATTAGCATTTTTATCTAGGATTAATAATGAACTCTTTTTTATATTCTTTATTACTGATAAAATATCAAGATTTGAAATATTGGAATATCATAAGAAATGAATAACGTACTTTACATCGATTAAAATAACACGTGTATAGTTTCACCAATGTTACAGATGTCAACATATACGATGTCATGGTTTCAAAAATACATCGTAAGTCGCCGTCACATATAGTAAATTTGGCTATCTGGAAAGTTTGTGGCTTATAGATCTCGAAATTCCACAGAATTTTTATTAAGAATTAGGATTTACTTGCGGAATAATCATAGAAAACGTGCTCAAAGTTACCAAGCACACGCAAAGTAGTCTCGTTTTTGATCTCTGATATGGCCACTGGCCAGATAATGATGACACTCTTTTAACGATGTCGTAATACTGACTCCAAGTGGAGTTCATGATTTGTAAGCAATCTCTTATCTTTGACCTCACACGGTCGACTAATTTAAATTTTATTTCACCCAAGTCGCCATCCCTTAGTACGAGGAACACGATTCAAGGTTCAAACATATCATACATAATACAATATATAATATTATATGTACGCAATGTCTCCGGGAACAATTGCAGCGTGTCTTCGCGTAGAAATTACGGTGTGTCTCCGCATAACAATTACAGTATGTCTCCGCGTATACAATAGGATGACACATACCTCTCGTGCAAACAATATAGTATTTTCACAATGGTATATTATTTATATATCCCTTTGAACAGGAAATTTAACATAAAAAAAGACGGAATATCATTGACGAGACATGTTGTGTTGTGTACAAGTTTCTAGACGGAATATATCGATCAATGAAATGCTTCATCTTTTTTTCTTAGCAACAGAAAGCTGAGAATAAAGAGGCTTTATTTGAATTATTAAAAAATTAGATTTATGTTTGAGTAATCATATTTTGATACACGGTTGAATTTTATAAATCATAGGTATTATGTAAATTGTAATATTATTACGTATAATAATCAATAGTAGTACGTTATTGTAATAAAAAAAATAAAGACACATGTTTTTTTTCTCGATATTAATATCATCATAATTGAATAATATGATTAACGTGAGTTATATTATGCAACGGACCCAAGTACCGTAAGGTATGACACTGAAGTTTGTAGAACCTTAGAAATAAAAGTAAGCATTATATATCAAATTAAAACTATGCTAAAACAATATTTACGATAATCCTCATTTTACCGTGGTAAAACTTTCCAGAGAGAAAATGTATATTTTGCCGGCAGTCAAAAAACTCGGTCGAAGACCTTTCATCATCACTAATATGATTAATTTTTGTAATTTTATAGATGTTTTGTACCAAGAGCTATTATATCTATATAGAAAAAATGCAGGGAATATCATATGTATAAAATTCAGATGTTCTTTAGATAAATCAAAAGTGGTTGCTTTTTTTACATTTTGTCGCGCATTTGAAGACTGTGATCTATTAGTTTTTGTCCCTCGAAACTAAGGCAGAATAAATGAATCAATTGACCAATGACGTAGAATACGTATCTTATTGCTTCTAAAATATCATCCTGTTGCGTAATCTGTAAAAACATTATATTACATTAGATACGTCCAGATAAAACATATTGATCTATGTTTTAAATTTGTTAAAAGTCTTGATCGATTTTTAGGAAACAACAATTTTATTCAGATTTTAGTTAAATGCATCTAATATTTTATTAGCTTGCAATTTGAGTATTTATAATAATAAATAAAATTATATAATAAATAAAATTATTTTATAATAAATAAAAACATACTTGTAATAAGCTAATGCTCATTCCTATTGTTACTATAAACATTTGTATAGCGAAAGGTATGGTAAATGTATCTTCAATAAGTTGCGCGTACCTGTGCAAACAAAAGATTAGATACTAATCGCATAAATTTTATCATTTTATTATTTCATTATCTTTAACTCAATGTTGCATTTCATCATGCTCGATGATGTTATGCACTTACTTTAGAGCTTCTCGGTGTGTATATACAAGAAATGCGACTCTTTTGTCATATGTATCATCTGTATTTGATCCATCAGTAACAGTTGCTGCTTCTTTTTCCTTATGATAATAAAATAAATGTTCATAACGAAATCTGCAAATAAGTCATGTACGATTTTGTTGAATTTTAAATACAAATTACAAATATATTATAATTAATAATTTTTATTTTCTAACCCGGCTATAGCGAACATACTGCAAACATGCTCAACATAAGCCACAAACATACAATCATGAGCGATTACACCGGTTACAACTATTTCCCAGGCTACGATGGAGTGCCAGTAAATTTGAAAAAAATATTCTCCAATATCCACAAAATAGTATCCTCTATACGGTGGCAGTATAGGACGGGATTCATTTAGAGGCAATACAATATCGAGCATATACGGTATAAGGGACATTGACATAAACATAATTACTGCCATGAAGACATATACTGCAATGTATGATGCACGATTTAAAAAGAGAAGATATCGTAGAGTACAAATCTCTGATTCAAATATATTATATAATACAACAGATAAGACATTTTATCAGCCCTCACCTGACCATAGCAGGGAAAATCGTTTGCTATTTTCGGCATATGATTTCATAATTTTATATTCTTCGGTAGATTCTAATGTCTTCCAGTCGTAAAACAATTGATGAGTAAGATCCTTAATCTAGTAAAGGATAAATAATACATTTTTCAAATAAAGAATTAATAGCAAATTTTTTCTCATGACTTAATAAAAAGTAGTGCTCATAAAAATATAAGAAAAATATATATATGTTTGCAAAATATTTTTAATATAATTTTTTTTTCTATCTAAATTGCAATCTCTAAAGTTGAACATAATGAAGTATTTAAATTATACAATATAAATATTTGTAATAAAACATACTGTACGATTATTTAAATGAAATGTATACATCTTTAGCATAACTATAATTGATAGTAAATACGCTGTCATTGCCTGATAAGTGCATTGCATTTCCTTGCATGTAAATTGGTAAGCTATCTAAAAATATTATTGTTTATACAAGATTTTTGAAATAAATTCGTTTTCGTCTCGGTGTGATTACATTATATTTACTTGCGGAATAAATATAGTTAATAGGATCATAGTTAGAAATGTAACACGAAACATTCTTGTTTTTGGTTTCAGATACGGCCATATACCGGCGATTGATGCTATTTTATACACAATGTTGTAATAATGATTACAGGTAGTTTCCATAATACGTTCCATAATACAAAGAAACACGATTTCTTCGATAGCGCGATTCTAACTAATTTTCATCTTTTATACAGTTTAGTTGTTTATCTTCTGATAGTAGAAACGAATTAAAACTTGGATATTGTCGTTCATAGTAAAACTACTAAATATTTGCTTTATAAATTTTTTAAAAATTTCATGCATGTGTTATGTCGCTCAAGAATTGTCACATAGTCCTTACGGATAGAAGAGCATTTATTTGCTTGACACATTAAGTACTATGTAGAGAGCAGTCGAGTTCTACTGACGAGCGGGTCATATTCCCTCCACAAAGAATATCTCGAGCAGAAAAAATGACAAAATTAGTACTTCCTATATTGGTGATGTATACCTGCATATATTGTGAATGTTTGCGATCAACGAGAAAAAGTTCAACGAGATCTGTATTGTATAGCGATCGTGTTGATAATAAAAAAAAATCTTCTGTCACTTCTTTACTAATATCTCAATAATAAAATAAAATTTAATCTACATATGAATTGATATGTCATCTGAGAAAATATTAACATTTATAATTTTTACAATAAAAAGTGCGAACAGTTATTGTCAAAATTTATCTATAAAACTTGAGATTAAATTTCTCGGTTTAAAATAAAATTTATCACACATAGATTATGAATATAAGTTTCTAAACGAATCAAGATTATCGTTTTAGACAAAAGGTAAATAAAGATAAAATAAATATTTTTTGTAAGTATTTTTTATAAGAGTAAAAATTAAATTAAATTAAAATTTTTATAAGAATGAAAATTAAACGATAACTTAGATCCATCTGGAAATATTCGTAAACTTCGTGTCATAAATCTTATTTTAAGCTAAAAATGAAGTCCAATTTCAAATTAAAAAATTTTAGGCAACAGGACTGTCACTTTTCTGCATTCTTTCTTTCGATGATTACTTTATATTAATTTACTCTCTCTCTCTTTTTGAGTAAACTCTTTTTGAATAATTAATAACAGAATTCCCGAATGCCTTATTAAATAATTTCAAATAAAAAAATATATTACAAATACTCTATTATTATTATTATTATTATTATTATTATTTTTGATGATTTGTGATATTAAAGTATTGTAAAAAATTTACCAAGTATATTTTACTACATGTATTGTTATAATCACTAGATATCGTCATTATGGTTTGTTGAAAAATAATATAGTAATGTAAAAATAGTAGTATAAAAATTTATCAAACTTGCTCGTTAATATAACAATCAAAATTTTTTAAAATTTATCTATTTTTATATATCTGACATGTAATAATTACTTTATCATATATATACATACAGGGTGCTCCACATAACTCTTCACAGCTCGATGCAGAAAGTAATCTTTATGAAAAAATATTTCAAACAAAAGTTGTAAGATTCGGAGAGGCACATCTGATGTCCCTCTCTAAATCCTTTTAGAAACATCTTTTTCGATAAAGCTTACTTTCCGAACTATCGAGCTGTTAATAGGTATGTAGGCCACTCTGTATATAGTGTGAGGAAAAACCTGTAGAAATACATATCTTATCACATCGCAGTTAAAATAGCTTCAAACTCTCTTTTATCACAATGAAGAATAATTTTTGTATTTTTATATATATTTTGTATACAAATTATTACATCTCAAAAAACATCGTAGTATGTAAAACAAGGACAATAAAATAGCCATATATATATATATATATGAAAAAAAATCATATAAATTAATATAAAAAATAATCCCATTAAATCGGTTAAAAAGAAATAATTAAATTTTCTATAAGTGTTTTTCATAAAAAAAATATTTTATATAACTAATTTTAAACTTAAATTTAACATTATTTTACGATTATAATTTATTTTAATTAATATTTAATTAATATTTAATTTTGCTTTCTTGTAATTGATTATGAAATAAGTGGGATAATTGAATAATGATATGAAAATGAAATATTATCATTTTCGATAAGTCATGCAAATGTATTAAGATAAGTAGTAATGTATTAAGATAAGAAAGTATCAGCATAAAAGATAAAATAATGTTTTACTTTTTTAATTATATCTGTATTCTAGAACACCTACATTTATTTCTTTATAATCAATTTATTTGTATTAAACTGACATTATACAACACTGAAACTATAATGATTTTCATAACGGCAAATAATACTGAAAAGACAGAAGTTCTAGAAGTTTAGCAAACATGCATATAGATAAAAATATATGACAGTATAAAATGATAATAGTGATTTAAAAAATATTTTAAGAATATTACAATCTTTATGGCGATTATCAAGAGTATTGCTCATTGACTTCTAGATTAATAGAATATATATATATATATATATATATATATATATATATTCTATTAATCTAGAAGTTAATAAGCAATGCTCTTGAATAAATAAATAAATAAATAAATAAATATATATATATATATTTATTTATTTATTTATATGTATATACTCATACACATGTAATATTATTACATATTCATTACACAAAGCTTCTCGATAAATATATATCGAAAATGTATCTATAATATATTTATTACATTGTCGTCTCTTTTCTTGCATTATTGTATATTTACATAATAAATATTTAAATCTGTACAAATACTTGTTCAAAATATATGTTATTATAAATTTTCGAAAATTAATTTCTCTTGTCAAATATATATATGTGCAAGTATTAATTATTATTGTCACGTTACATACATTAAACATAATTAATCATTATTACGTTATTACTCGAGAAGAGAAGATAGCATTCCATTTATTTTATAAAATGCAATTGATTGAACAGTAAATAATTATTGTTATTTAAATATGACGAAAATATAAGATCCACAAATGTATTCGGCTACAAGTAAAAAACATGTATTCATGTGCGATTAATTCAATTATTATATACGCACATTCCTGTAAAATAACAAAAGATGTAATAAAAAATATTGTATTTCGTTAACAAAAGAATACACTGAACATACTGCTAGTATTACTGAAAATTATAAGTTGAATGATAGATACATAAATATATTTTATAACATTAAAGGAATAAAATTTGTCGAAGGCCTGCATCTAAAAAATATTCCATATTTTTCGACTAAAATTTTCGTTATAATACCTCATAATTATCGTTGGAAATATCTCTATTATTTTCTTCCCATTGAATGAAAATTTCCAAAGTCGATTTTTTCATAATAAAATAAATTCTTATCCTGAATCGTTTCAAAAATAATCTTCAGCTCGAAAATACACGAATTTAAATACGCTACTAGAGATACAACTTCATTTGTTGAAGATCTTCTAATTGTTTGACCAATTAAACCAAAGAAGAAAAGATTTCTTCGTTCCGATTCGTCGATTCGAAGTGACCAATCAGGTTAATAACGGAAAAGATCTTTTTGCTCTGATTGGTTAATCAAAATTACTAAATCGACACAATTCTTCTAGAGACTTTCGTTCTTCATTCTTTTTAGAGTTGGTCACGAGTGATTGTTTCCTTAGTTACCACCCCCCTTCACTGCTGGATAAATTTCAAATCGGTTGAAATATAACGTCTTTCTTCAAGAACAGTTATTCCCAAGTAGAGGATCCTTACGTGTGTCTTCGCACTAGGCTTTTTTCAGAATATGTTCTAAGTTGTAAACTTTTGAGAAATTGTAAAAAGTAAGTACAAATAGTTTTCTAGCGATATTATAAAAAATAGACGTTTTGACACGTTGCTTCTAAGCAACCGATGTGATATGATAGTCACTCTTTTGGAGTCTTAAGATCTTAAGAGTTTCATGAATATTTCTTTCTACCTTAAAAAATATATATTAAAAAAACTAAAATAAAATCTTCATTTTCTTTTTTTAACTGAAACATATTTCTTCTAGAAATATTTAATAAGTATTTTTCTACAATATGAAAAAAATTCTTATATCTTTTTTTGACTTTTTATCAATATATTTTATTTGATGATAAAATGTGCAAATATAGATCTGCAAATATATTCTTTTCACATTAGAGACATTAGAAATTGTGCACTGGTATGTAAATGTAAATAAATTATTAAATAGCGAGATATATTTAAATTGGATTACTTTAATAACAGATAATTCTTTTTCTTAACAAAGTAATCTAAAACTGCCTACAATTATTTAATATTAATTGATAAAATATAAATACTATTTATGAACATACAATATGTTTATATACAATTATTTAAATTATTTTGACAAAACAGAATGAACACAAATATCATATCTAATAAGGATAAAAATTAAATGCCTCCATGTTGCTGTTTGAACTCTTGGTGAACTGAATGTATATATTTTTAGATGTCTGATGATACTGTTTGCGTTGCTCTACGCATCCGTCCATTAGTAGAAAGTGAGATTGAGAAGGGATGTCAAATGTGCTTGAATGTTGTTCCTGGAGAACCACAAGTCCGGATATGTAATACCGATAAGGCATTTACATATAATTATGTTTTTCCTCCTGATATTGGACAGAAGGATTTTTATAATACAGCTGTTAAAAAATTGATAGACAATACATTTCAAGGTAAATATCTCTACATTCCTTATTTGATGATATATGTTGTAATTCTATTGTATTGAAAATTAATTTTTCATTATCAGGCTATAATGTTACAATATTGGCATATGGACAAACTGGGAGTGGCAAAACTCATTCTATGGGCACCAATTATGTTGGAATGGGAGAGAAGGGTATAATACCAAGAGTTATTGATGATATATTTGAAAGAATTAAATCGAAAGAAGACTGGAGTTTTAAAGTTGCTGCGTCATTTATGGAATTATACCAAGAACAATTATATGATCTTTTATCTGATAAGCAAAGAAGCCAATCTATTGTAGATATCAGAGAAGATGGAAAAAATATAAAAATCTTTGGCATAACTGAAAAAGAAGTTACTAATGCTCAAGAGACATTGGAATGTTTGACCCAGGGTGCTATGGGTCGTGTAACTGGTGCGACTGCTATGAATGCACATAGCAGTCGTAGCCATGCAATATTTACAATATGTATACATCAACAAAAGAAAAATGATCCGTGAGTAATTCCCTGCTTGTGATTCTTCTGTTGTATTTTTTTGTTATTCTGTATTAAAATTGTGAAAAATAAAAATTTTTCTTTCTTTCATAGAAATTCAGCAACAGTAGCCAAATTTCATTTAGTAGATTTAGCAGGTTCAGAACGTAGTAAAAAGACTCAGGCCACTGGAGAACGATTTAAGGAAGGTGTGAATATAAACAAGGGTTTGTTAGCTCTAGGCAATGTAATTTCGCAACTCGGTGATGGTGCTCCTGGAACATATATTGGATATAGAGACAGTAAACTTACAAGATTATTACAAGATTCCTTAGGTGGTAATTCCATGACTCTTATGGTTGCTTGTGTTAGTCCTGCTGGTAAGTATTCGCATATACTATATCTCATTTTAACACATACTTCTTATTATATAATAAATCTGTTTTAATAAATTTATAGATTATAACTTGGATGAAACCCTTAGTACATTGAGATATGCGGATCGTGCACGTAAAATAAAGAATAAGCCAATCGTAAATCAAGATTCTAAGATAGCTGAAATAAATCGATTGAATAAATTGGTTCAAGAATTGCGACTGGCTCTTATAAATCAGGAACTTGGCATAACGTGTCCTAAACAACATGAAGAACTTGAAGAGAAATATGGCATATTACAACAAAAGTTTAGAGATATGACAGAGAAATTGAATTTGAATTTAGGAGAAATTGCTGTTATGCATGAACGAGCGGAAATGGTTGAACAAGCTCGGGAAAAGGTCAGATCCGCTATGGCGACATTATTGGATGAATTTAATCAAGTGTTACAAGATCTTAATGCTTGTCCTGAAATCAGCAGTGAAAGATATAATACATTAAAAGCAATATATGAAAAAATGTTAGGTAAGTATTTTTTTTTATATAAATATTTCCAAACCGTTTTTAAAAAATTTTTTTCACATAAATTTTTATAATCTTTAATCTTTATTTTATTCATACAGATATTCAAAATGATGAAAAAAAAGCATCTGAGGAACTTATAAATTATGAAATATCTAATTCTAAAAATTGTGTAATGCACATGGAAGAAGATACAGAACGTACAGAACCTATAGATGAATTGAATAATATTGAAGATAGTTTAGATTATTTTGACAAAAAAGAGGAAGAACACACATTACGACAAGCGGAACGAAATAACGAAGTACAAAATATCAATAAGGAATTAGCACTTAAAGAAAGTCTTGTGTCTGAACTCTTAAAAAATGCTACACAGCAAACTGCAGAGAGCCGTAGAAATGTTATAGAAATGGAGCAAGAAATTAAACGGTTGCATGCGGAAAAAGAAGAACATTTACAGGCAGCACATGCACATAATGTCAGTTCTAAGTAAGTAATTAAAAAATAATTAATTAGTTATATTTTATTTTAAAACTTTACTGATTAAATATTCTGGATGCTTTTTATACAGATTAGCTGAAACGCGTCGTAAAAAAGTGCAAGAATTAGAGAAAAAAATAACGGAATTAACGCGTAAATGCATGGAACAAAACAAGATAATCAAAATAAAAGAAAAACAGGATCACAGGATCAAAACTCTTTCCAGCGAGATACAATCGCTGAAAGAGACTCGAGTCAAGCTTATCAGGCAAATGCGTATTGATGCAAATAATTTTACAAAGTGGAAGCAATCTAAAGAAAAAGAAATTAATAGATTGAAAGCTCAAGATCGAAAGCGTGCTTGTGAAATGGTACGCATGAAAATGCAACATAATAAACAGGAGAATGTCTTCAAGAGAAAAATGGAGGAAGCTTTTGCAGTTAATAAAAGATTAAAGGTATTTTTTTCTATAATAATTGTTAAGGAATTTATCTTATTTAGATACCTTTTAACATTTTTCTATTATTTTTCTATTGCAAATATTAATATCCAAGCAATTTATATATATATATATATATATATACAGGGTGCGTTGGAAATGCAGAAGAAGGCGATGCAGCGACAAGAAAGTAAGGCCAACAGCAAAAATATAATAAAAACATTGGTAGCTCAAGAATTCGAAATTTTAATGGCCACCATAGAAGCCGAGGGCTCTCTTGAGAGATTGATGCAAGATAGAGCTTCCTTGGTGCATCAGTTGGAGCAATTAAAAAAAAATGGCAATTCAAATGAAGAAGAACTTGCAACTGTCACTGAACTCATAGAGCTGCGTAATGCACAAATTGCAGATCTGCAACAAAAAATTCTCGAATCAGATCAAGGTATATATAAGATACCTGAGATTATTTAATTAAGTAGAATGCGCAATCTTCAATTTCATGAATTTTTTTTAGAAAGTAGAGCAAATACTAGGGGGAATATGATACATACAATAGCAGATGGCAAGGTGGCATATAAAACATTATTTGATATAATCACACAAGACAGAAAGCAACATTGTTATAAGTATAATGAATTAAAAGTAGGTATATATTACATTATTATATAATTTTATATAGATTATACATTTTAATCGCTAAAATAACTAATTTTTTCAGGAAAAGTATCAGAATCTGGAAACGCGATTAGAAGAATATAAGAAACAGGAAGAAGAGAGTAAAACATCTTCACAAAATACATCTGACACATCTTTCAGTGATGTTGAAACAAAAAAGGTGATTAAATAAATTAAATAATGTCGAGAACAATATGTTTTGTATTCTATTAAGAGATAAGATTATTTTTATTGTCAGTTTTATTGTTAATATGTGTTTTAGGTTTTGACTGACAATAATTTTAGCAATAAACAAAATAAGAGATCGTGGCCCAAAAAAGAAAGGCCATCTAAAATGGAAATCACTCATGATATTATCAACTTTGAGGATAGTTTAACAATAGAAGACGATGTTAACAAGGATCCAGATTGGAGGAGCACACCGCTTTATAATCGCATACGAAAGTTAGAGGTAAAACAAAATTTTTAATTATAATTACTATTATAAATATGATATTTCAAAAGCTTGTTGTCAAGATATAAAGATTATGTAATCATATGGAAGATAATTAGATTTTTATAAATATGTATTTTATTTGTTTAGAATGGATCCAAGCTGTCAGTTCAACAATTGACTTTTAAAATAGAATCTAGTGAGATAAAATGTGCATGTAAAACAAAGTGTTCCACGCGGGTATGTACGTGCCGTAAGAACAATGTTACTTGCAACAATTGTAACTGTAGTCCAGAACAGTGTCAGAATAAAGATAAAGAAAACGTAAGTACATACTATATATTAATGTTAGCTAATGTGTGTATGTATATATATATATATATATATATATATATGTATATATATATATATATATATATATATATATATATGTTATATTTTTTTTATATTATATTTTATTATATTTTTTTTCAGTTGCGCACTGAATTGTTTTTGGATATCATGGAAAAGTGAATCAATAAATCAAACGAATCAACAAGTGATTAGAAAACAGAAGAAATTATTTATTTTTCTAATCATGAGAAGTACAATTAATGAAGAGTGTCACGTGCTCAATTTATCAAATTGTATATAATTTCTCATGTCATAGACACTTTCATTTCATTTTCATCACAGTTTTTTTCTTATTTTATTTTGATGCCTGTTTGTTGATTTATCTTAGTTTTTATTCTTTTATATTAAATGACAATGCTTCAGATAAATGTAATTGTCTAAAGATCTGATATATAATTCATTTTATATTGTGATAATTGATCAATTATAAATGATAACTGTGTATTAATATTTTGCTATTTGATAATTTAGTGTAAATGTATATATGAACTTGCCAGACTCGGACAAAAATAATTAATTCAAACAATAATAAGCGATACGAATGTTGATTACAATGTGATAATAAAGCGAAAGCTTTTGTTATCTTTTTGTTTTCGCTTTTTAACCAAAATTCTTGGCTATTTCCGACATATAACATTGTTATCGACATATCGACAGAGGAAAAAAAATGGTTTAGTAAATGAAATTGACAGCAGTGGCTCTGATAGCTCTTTGACATATGACATATACGAGGGTAAAATTGCGCAAGCGCGATTAAAATCTCGCTCAATCTCGCTTCGAAGATGTACTGATCGTGGTATGTGATATATATAAATGGGTTTAGAATTAGACTTTGACCACCACTTGACTGGACTGACAGCGACGGCGAGACGATTAATTTGGTGCATAACAAGCAATCACGCGGAAAGGGAGAGTGTGCATTTAAAGTGGCAGTCAAGCTGTGGTTGCGCTTTCGCGAGGTCGACGCGTTTCAGGCGTGTTTGGCGGCTTCTTGAGAGCAGCTAAGCACGAAGAAACGAGTCTGACATCTCACGAAAAAAGAAAAAAAAATATTGTGAAAAAGTGCTCGCGATTATTTACATACGAGAAACACGTTTTTCGATGTCAAACGTAATAAATCATTACGAGTCGATCAGTATGCGATGGAAGACGACGCATCTTGTCCGCCGCCATTAGCTCCCTTACCTAGAAGATTTGGGTACCTGTCAGGGTATCGAATAGTAATTCTCTCTGCTCTTTGCTCAAATTTCTCGTCCAACGTCGACCTAACATCATGGACGGTACCTGCCTTCATCAATTCGTCACGGCCCCTCTTAAAAACTTCCTACATTTACAACGAATCAGAGAGTAAGGCGCGAATCCAGCGATTTTATATACATATGATATAATTTTATATTTGAGCTTTATAATTTTATATTTAATCATTTTTTGAAAGTATAGTAGATATTCAATCTTAAAATGTCAAATCCTAAGCTTATATAAAAATAAAAAATAAATGTAATGTGAGTGTGTGTATGTATGTGTAGATATTTTGGAAATCTGTTTTAGATCATAAAAAAAAATCATTGCTTATATTATATTAGCTTGGCTCGTTATTTTAGACTTAACTCCATTAATTATTCTATCTCTCCTCTTATTATAGTTATTTGTATTTCTGGAACTATTCTTGACGTTTGGCATGTATCAATTTATCATGTAAAAAATAATTTATGTTTATGCATGTATTGATAATATGTTACCTAACAGCTACTTTTAATATTCTGCTTTTCATTTATAAAAAAAAATGTGTTAACAACATACAATTATTATTTTTAATTGTAGCTGTATGAATGTAATATATCATTAGTCAAGTTATATAGTTTTCTTGCTTGCAATGTATGGATTAATCAGTGATGAATTATAAATATGCATGTCTTGTTATATATAATTAAAAATTGAATTCTTTTGTACAAATATAAAAGCATAAAATAATCATGATATATTTATATTATTATATTTTATAATGTTAAAAAGAAAAGCCCGCGTTACATATGTATTATTTATCAGACAATTTTATAATCTTTTAACTTTGCAATGTGCTCCTTAAGCTTAAAAGAGATTAAAATTCATGCATGCATGCATGTATATATGTATTGAAATCTTTAACCTTACAATATCTTCTTTATTAAGCTTAAAAGAAATCAAAAGTCATGCATGCATGCATTGGATTTGAAATCTTTAATGGAACACACCAGCACCGCTTGTAGAAGATGAATATCCATGAGCAACACACTCTGGATCGTATTACCAGCATGGACATGCAAAGAAAAATACATTGGATTACTACTTTGAAGTAATTTTCTTCTTCAAAGTAGCAGGCAGGTATAAATTATTGATTTAATGACTTGAGTGTAATGTAGTGTTTTTTTGAATATATGTGTTTGGTATGATATGCTCTTTTAACATAGAATTTAAAATAAGCTTTATGCTAACTGAGAATGTATATTGCACAACTATTTGACCTTTATATTGCTACATTAGCATTGTATAATCTGCATATTATAACTACATAGTAATGCAAATCTTTTTTAATTTCATTATCTGCTTTACATGAATTTAGCTAAACTTTGATCATAATCTACTAATCTTCTTTCATCTTATATAAGTTCTTATGTTCCATTATTTCTTACATAATAGTCTCTTATTGTATTTTGGTCGATAAATATAGAGAATTTTTTTTTGTGCAGGATGTTATTAATTTTAATGTTATAATGTTATATTTTGTTATATGATTATATAATGTTATTGTATAATGTTTACGAATAAAGTTCCATTATATCATCATTAATTTTTTAATAATTTGTCAATAGCTTTATAAGATACAATCTGCAGTCGAGGAAAGAATTAAAGGGTGACAAATAATACACGTGAATATATTTGCAGGATAAAATGGATGAATCCAAGAGCATGTACGAATGAGGCGTATATTCCTACTCCTATAGAACATGTTGCAAATGTTGCAACTCATGGAATATGGGTTGTGCCATCAGTGATTGGTAGTATCGAGCTTATACGTCGTTCGATGAGGTGGGCTCAACTTGTATCCGCGTGCGTATACGGCACTTCTTTGATTCTCGTTTTTGCGGTGTCAACCTTTTTCCATAGTGTACATTACTGCAATCAAAATAGGTATGACTATTTCATTATGTTTTTTCTTTTTTTTTACTAGTTTCTAATTCTTCAATTATTATACATGAAAAATAGTAACAGTAAACAAAATATATTTATCACCCATAATATTTCAGACAATTGAAGGATGCGTTACATCGTTGTGATCGTGCTATGATATACATTTTTATAGCAGCCAGTTATTTTCCATGGTTAAATATAGAGTATTTCTCAGACAATGACTTATTTTCGATGCGGTATGTTGTCTGGATCATGGCTATAATGGGCATTCTTTATCAGCAAATCTTCCACGAGAAATACAAGATGTTGGAAACTATTTTCTATGTAGTCATGGGTATTGGACCTAGTGTTGCAATTCTTAACGTTGTAAGTAAAATATTTGAATTATTTTTAGATTGAATTTCGTTTGAGGAAATGTAAACGGAAAATATTCTTTGCTCAGGCAAACACGATTTTAAATAACTCGATTTAATAATATTTTATTTAATAAATAAGTTATAAGTCTAATATTATTTTTACAGTATAATTATTATAATATTACGGAATTAAAACTGGGCGGACTGATGTACGTACTTGGCTTAGTATTTTTCAAATCAGATGGTCGTATACCTTGTGCACACGCAATTTGGCATCTTTTCGTAGCCGCAGCAGCTGGATTTCATTACTATGCGATCTTGAGTCATGTATTTCCTGAGACAGATTTGACAAATATTCCTGGAAATATTTGGGAAATGCCCAAGCCGTTATCCAAAATGTTAACATCTCAAGTAGAATTATAGAAATTGTGTACTATTTTTTACAATATTTCTTCCAGATGCTAAAGATTCTAAAAAGTTTTAACAATTTTAGGGGTAAACCCTGTATATATTCTGATAGAAAGAGATGTGTCTTTCATTTTTATTCATTTGGAAAGGTTTTTGATAAAGATAAATTGATTTTATAATCATGATTCTTATATCTGTATTAGACAGTCGATCTCTTTACGATTTTTCCAAATGTTAATAAGCAAAAATCGTGCAATGCGTAAAATATTATATATTAATATATTTATATTTAAGAAAAAAAAAATAGAGCGAATTAAAAAAAAGTTAAGTACCTGACGGCCACATGTATTATGGGTGTCTTAAAACAAAAAAGAAATTATTAGCAAAGATATCAAACACACTCAGTTACTATATTAATTGCATTATAAGTTCGAATACATTGAATATTGTGTCTTTCATATGATTTAGTATGCTAGTCTTGAAACTATTTATGCCAAATTATTGTATAGAAAAAAGATTTACTAAACCTGTACTATATATAAAAATAGTACAGGTATTATTTTTGGGACAAATGTGCTATTTTGTTTTACACTGAGTTTTATAAGAATCTTTACATTAGAATCTAGAAAATATAGACACTAAGTATTAACTTAGCCATGAATGGAAACCAACTTGACTGAATATGCAATCTTTTTGCTTTCTATCAAAAGTGTCAACCATCTTTATGTTTACGGATGTATCGTGCCAAAATTAAAATCATATTCGTATCTATCTCTAATAGGTTTCCAATCATATATAGATATAATATACAGATACAATATAATGTATTTATATTGTTACTGTATGGTACAATTTTTATGTAAAAAAGACAAAATATTAAATTACAGTAATTTTGCAAGTATTTTGGTGTGTAGCTATAAAGAATATTAAAGGAATATTGATTTATAGATAATTACAATTATCAAAAACACATGAAAAATGTAATATGTTGTGTAATAATGGCCTTAATTGTATTATTATATATTTATATATTATTATGATATTGGTATAAAAATGTTTATATTACTTATATTAAAATTTGAGCTTTTATTATTTGTTTGTAATATATTAATAATTATATTTATAATAATTATAACAATTGTTATAAAAAATGTATAACAATTGTGTGTGGACATATAAAATATTTATATTATAAATAATTTATTTACACTACGTTCAAGTATTTCTAATTATATACTTTACATAATACTCTAATTTTACTTATTTATACAGTATATATTAAAATTAAATACATTACATTTCTTATATGTATGTATATATAACAGCATATATATATATATATATATATATATATATATATATAACATATGTAACACACATGTACAGTATTGACACTGTAAAGCATTGTAGAATGTAATAAGAACATTAATTATAATAGAACATGCGATATACATATGTGTATCGTGATATAAGAAACAAAGTACAAAGTAATCAGTTATGAGTTTATTCACACTCTATTTTTTTGTCCTTGTAATTTGTGCAGTGGACCAAAGTATTGTGGAAATATATAGAGTAACATGTAGCATTGCTGTTGTATGCTTTCTTGGTATGAGTGTACTTCTTTAATATTGAACAATAAAGAATTATATATTGGCGAAAAAAATGGTTGCTCATTCTGCAAAACTGATATGTGCAGAAACGATAACAATCTCTCATTAGTCATAAATAGCTTAAAAATTGCGTGCAGACACGTCAACACCTCCCTCAAGGGGTTTCCATGGTAATGGTAGCAAACAAAACGGGAAAAGAACAGCCGACAATGGATATTTCTGAGATTAGTCATTATCGTTAAAAACTGGTTAAACACTTTAGGATCATCATACAACAACGCAATCATGAAAATTATTACGCGCTCGTGCTTTTTTTCGCAACGTGAAAAAAAATTGCAATTCTAACAAGTTTTCAATGAAGCAATAAAGCTTACGCGAGCGATCCAATTTGTTGTGCCATTGTCGTAATAAAGTATTTGAATCGCGTTGCAGCGGCATATCATCAGTGATAAAATAAGAAAATAAAATATGGATAATGTTACGTATGATAAAACCGAGAAAACAATTTTACCCGATTCTCTGCCTGCTAGTACACTTGAAATACCATCGTGGTTGCTGGAAATGACCGAGTACGTATAACATTATTCATATATACAAAATTTTTTTTCTTTTAAGAATAAATTATATTTTATTAATATTATCAGCAATGTAGGAAAAATGAATGTAGATAACGATGCCAAATTACTACAAATGGAGGCATTTTTGACTGATAATCCATATCATTTTAAAAATTCATTTCTCAAAAAGGAAGCTGATGATATGTAAGATCTGTATACATCTTGCACTCTTTTTAGAATATGTATATAATAAAAAAAGTGATACTTTGTTTCAAATATTTATAGAAATACACAAGCCGGCGCATATTTAAATGATCTTTACGATGCTGATGACAATATTAAATTACAAACATCTGCGAGCAAATCACTGCCAAATACACCAAAGAACGAAGAAGTTGAAAGAAAAAAAATGCGCGCTTGTTCTGCAGTTGTAAATGCGAAGCATCGTATGAAAGACGATTTTCGCGGATTAGATGCATATTTAGAAAAAAAGCACCTAGAAATGCACGGCAATTATTTAGCGTCTGATGAAAATTATAATAACAATGTGAGGATTTATGCTAAGGAATCTAACTTGAAATATTCTACGAATGTTCAAGATCGCGCGAATGCACGGTTACATTTGTTGGACGATACTTATTATTCTAACAGTTCCATCTTTAGCGTACAGAATGGAGAAGAGCCAAAATTATTATCTAGCCAAGAAATTTCTCAATCTTTTAGCTTACTTAAAAACGATTTCATCAAAAATATAGATCAGGCGTCAAACAATGATATAGAAACAGATGTAGAAACAGGTCCATATTTATCTTGAAATCTTATATAATCTTATCTTTTTTTTAAGAGGATGCATGAAATATTAAATCTGTCTCTTTCACATATATCTATTGTGTCTTGATAATACAACTTAATTTAATTTAATTATTTTTATTTTAGATAAGATTTACAGAAATTTTATTATTCCCGAATTACCATCTGGAGACTTGTTAGTTATCGATATTCTTTCTACCTGGGGCGACAAATATTACGTAGGACTTAATGGCATCGAAATTTTTTCAAGTACCGGAGAACCGGCTAAAATAAAAGAAATTTATGCACATACGAGTCAATCGTTGAATAATAATCGTAATCTTCACACTGTAAATAACTTAATTAATGGTATTAATCGAACGAGAGATGATGCAAATTTATGGTTAACGCCTTATTCAAATGGTGATCATCATTATGTTCATGTGATATTTGAATTCACGATTACTATAGCAATGATCAGAATATGGGTGAGATTCTTTACAATCATTATAATAAATGTAGATGTGTATATAAAAAATAGATTTTTGATTTTTAATATTGCTTTTTTTCAGAACTATAATAAATCTAGAATACATTCCTTTAGGGGAGCCAAAGATGTTATAATTAAATTGAATGATATTACTATTTTTGATGGAGAAATTGCTAAAGCATCCGGGGATGATATGGGTAGTCTTGATTCCTTTGGTGATGTAAGAAATTCTATCGATGATTTTAAATTATAAAATTAAATTAAAATTAAATTATATTAAAAAATATAATTTCAACTTTTTTAATATTAATTATTATATATGCAATGTATAACAATCTCTTAAATTAATTGCAATATATTCTTACTTTTTGTATACTTTTTCTCTTATCATATATAATATACAGTTATGTGTGTTTTTAAATTAATTTTATATATAATACACAAAAATAATTGGGACTGTGATGTAGACTATATTATTTACGACGGATGAAAATATTCTGGAACTGATATCAAAACATGATAATACATTCATAGAATTCAATAATGGGACGGATTGCGAGGAAAAAGAAACAATTCGCCCGATAACAGCAACAATCAATGATGTAAGAAAGAGACTTAATGGTACACATAATATATACATTCGGAGATAAATGTGTGTGTATATAATGTAACAATTTGTTTTAGATTACTTCAGCAAGACATAAAAGTAATGATTCTGTCGAGAATTTTTCCAATTTGTACACCAATAGCAAAATTTACAATACACCTTCTACCGCTTTGTGTTGTAAAGAAGTTCAATTAATTATTATTTCTAATTGGGGTTTACAACATTTGGTTGGTCAGTAAACGTATTATATACAGGATATTTTACTTTAAATAATGCATATGAATATTTTCGAAGCTTTTTGTTATCGAAAATATTTCAAAATAAAAATTAAATAATCTTGAAGAGGATATAATAAAGTTTTTTTATAGCTAAAGATGTTGAAATTATTGTTCAATTTGTAGGTCTTACTGGTATAAAATTAATCGGAGATCAAAATACAATAGTTCCATTAGCGGACGCTAATTTATATTGCAATGTAGAAAATACGCATTTAACGAATCTGATTGATGGACATAATGTTACAACTGAAATGGATCATATGTGGTTAGCAGATGTAACAACGAATAAAAGGATTACAATAACTATTACTTTCAAAACAGATGTGTATTTAACAGGAATGCAGATTTGGAATTATAACGCATCTTTGGAATTATCTTATTGTGGAGTAAGATATCCGATATATATGTGCAATAAAAAATTTTTATAATATATATATATATATATATATATATATATATATTAAATATTAAAATTTTCATATTTGATTATATATTAAAATTTTCATGTTTGAATAATATATGTTATTGAATATATATATATATATATATATATATATATATATATATATATATATATTCAATAACATATATTATTCAAACATGAAAATTTTTTTATTGTAACAATCAATTTTAAGGAAATAATCTTATTTACTTAGGTAAAACGATTATTAGTTAAACTGGATGGTAAACAACTACCCGATGAAAATCTTGAGGGTTTCTTGTTAAGACGCGCTCCGGGATCTTGTCATTATGACTTTGCTCAAGAAATTAATTTCGCTAATAATCCATCTGCCCAAGTACACCTTTCGGATCAACCTGTTGATTTAGTTAAATCGTCCGAAGGTATCGGTCATTTACATATAAACTGCACACGCACACACATATGCGCGTGTGTATATTATAATATATATACACACACACACACACAACATTACATACATACATATATTTTTTTTTAAATTTTAGAACCTACATCTTTGGATTCAAACTATGAAGCTCCGTCAATGCCGCAAGGATTCGTTTATCAAATAATAATCTTCTCCACATGGGGAGACTCTTACTATGTTGGTCTGAATGGAATACAAATATATGATAATTATGGAAATGAAATCAAATTAACTGCAGATAGTATGTTATATATAATAATTCATACTGCAACTTAATAATTCATATATAATAATTCATACTTGCAACTTAATTGTGATTTTTATATAAAATTCTCTAAAGAAAAAATTTTATATATATATGTGTGTGTACTTTTTCTTTAATTTACATTTATAAATTATTTGTATTCTCTTAATTTTATCAGACATATGTGTTTTTATGTATCTTTTAAATATGTACATAATTTTCATCAATATTTCTAATTTTAGTTTTTCCTTAATAGATATAGCCGCATTTCCTGAAAGTGTTAATATAATAGAAGGCATAGATAATGACATTCGTACACCAGATAAACTTATCGATGGAATAAATAATACTAAGGACGGACGTCACGCTTGGTTAGCACCTATACTTCCTGGACAAGTGAGCAAAAATACATCATATTTTACAAGATTCGCTATTTAATTTTTTAAATAATTTATATATTTTTCAGACAAATCGAGTGTATCTAATATTTTACCACCCTGTTATGGTATCAACGATTAAAATATGGAATTATGGAAAAACGCCGCAAAGGAGAGTTAAAGAATTTGCAGTAAGAAAAATAAATTGCAATATGTTTATAATGATTCTCTAATTTGCTATTTATGCAAAAATATTTATTATGTAGATATTGGTAGACGATCTGTTAGTTTACAATGGAACTTTAGATAAATATAATTCATATGGACTGGTAACATTTGTGAAAGAAAATAGTAACAATGAGAACCTGGTCAACTGGTAAGTCATGTTATGTCAGGAATAAGTCATCAGAAGAAAATTTAAAAAAAAGAAAAAATGGAAGCTAGATCATAATTACACGTTGTTATTTCAGTCCGGAACAAGAAAATCGCCTTTTAAATTTACAAAGGAATACTTTAGGTGCTAACTCGTTACCAGACCCTTCTCTTCGTCCACATACATCTTTACAATTTAAATAATCATAATGCTATACATATATATATATATATATATATATATATATATATATATATATATATTTGTATACATACATGCACATTAGTATAATATTTACAAAATATATTTAAACTGTTGTGTATTTTTATATCTATATTAAAAGACGTTTTCATTTTTATAATGAAATATTTTGTTTGAATAATTAATAATTACAAAGTAGCATGTACATATATAATAATATCCACATATTGTTGTGCAATTCTGTAGCAATAAATATGGATATTATTTATAAATTCTTGCTTTAGAACTTGTAAGAACATAAAAATTAATAAAAATTCTAATAAAAATTATATACGTTATTGATTAAATCTTAAGAATATCATAAAAATGTTATAAGAATATGTATACATTATAAATATATCACACATATTTTGCTACCTCAATTTTTTTATACAAATTATAATAATTATAATATTTGAATTTATTTTTTTGTTGTATATATAAATATATTGTACGTATATTTCATATATTTTCATATATTTAATTATGAAGATAAGACCCGTGGTCTTTTTGTTTCCATCTGTGTGACCACATCTGTTTGGTCTACACTTTCTTCCGGAGGTCCAGTACGTTTTCTTGCTTTTGGAGATGATTGTTTTAAGCATTCCATGTCATTAAATATTATCTGTGCTCCACCACCGCTTGTTGGTAGTATGTCGCCCTATTTGATAAATTGAAAAAAAAATTACAGAATCTCCAAATATTAAAAATGTATTATTTTTTCTATTGAAGAAAATTTCGTCGTTTCAACCTTAAATAATTTTGTTTCGAGTTCTCCGTCTGTATCATGCTCTTGTGAGACAAGACAATATCTAGATGCACCATCTGTAATCTCCTTCGGGGAAGCAAGTCGCGTTACACTTCTTTTTCTTTGCATCAACGGTTGCAATACAGTCCCGAGTGGCACAAGAGGTTGAGGTCTATGATCGATCCATCGATCAGCACTTTGCGATCGTCTGTATCTTGGATTTGAAATGGGTATTCTATCCTGTATATAATAAAATTTTTAAAAATTTTTCTTAACTTATATTTTACAACTTGATTTTATTAAAAGATATTTAAAAAAAAAGAAATAAGAAATAACCTTCCGTGATATCCTGCCTTCTCTTTCTGGACTAATTACTTTTGCTGTTGACTCTGGTACTTCTTTTGATGGGATTACAGAATCGTCATCGACTAAAATTCGTTTCACCAATCGCAATTTGTCTTCTTTTTCTTTCATTTGATTCTAAATAATCATGAAGAAAAATACATTAAATATTGTAAAATTTTCTAAAGGCAAAAAAAAAAGTTAAATATATAGTTGAAATTACTTGAAGGTGTTCACGTTGTTGACGTAATTTGATTTCTAATTCTCTATTCATTTTATCTGTCTCAGCTTGCATTTTTGTATTATATCTTTGCTTCACTCTTTGTTTGTCTATTAAACGTTGATTCAATGCCAAGTCTCTATCTCTTATCTGTATATAAAGATTTTATTTTAAATAATTATATCAAGATACACATACACACAGATATATTATACCTACTTCTTGCTGTAAACTGCGTATCGTCTCGTTAGCAGAGTTTAATTTACACAGAAGCGTATCAATTTGTGTTTCCGTTTTACAAAGATGTCCTTCAAATGCAGATATCTAAAAATATAAAATATAATACAATATTATATATATTTTATTTTTATATTTTATTTTTATTCATATGTATATTTTATTTTTATTCACAATAATGTTATTAAATATATATACACATACATATATATACATACACACCTTTCTCTTTTGTTGTGAATTTGCAGCTTTCAGTGAAGCAACTTCAATTTTCAAATTTACGTTTTCTTGCTCCATTATTATTATTTTTTTTCTAAAATCCTCTTCTATAAAGAGAATAAATATTTTATTAGAACATGTTGAACATTAGATTGCAATATTAAATTTAATATATTATTAAATTTAATTTATTAAAACTGAACAAGAAAATGTCTCACGTTTCTTTTGTAAATCCGAACGAAGTATATTACGCTTTTCGATACGTTGTTCTAGGAATTGTATTAGAGAATGTATTATATGATCATTGTCTGAATTAACAGATTCCAATTGAGGAAATGGTCCACCCAAACTAAAATATAATTTAAAATATAATTAATCATTCAAATTATACAATAATTTATAAAATTAAAAGAAATTTCTTCAAATTAGAGCTATTTAAATTACAATACCTATACACTAAACCTAAATCAATGTCTAAATCAATAGCTTCTGGTCGTCCCTCTTTCTCTAATTTACTCCTTGCTTCTTTAAATATCTAAAAAAAATTTATGTTATTTCTGAATGATATAAATACTAATTTTTAATATTACCTTATTTGCTTGTCTTCTTCCAGGAGTGAAACCAAGATCCAATTTTATAGGATTTGATCGCATAGTTTGTACTTCTTGAGTCATTTCCGCGAACTTCAAGACTTGCTAAATATAAATTTGTATATAAAGAAATTGTAATTATATTTTTTTATAAATAAGTTTAATCATTTACGATCTATCATCTACTACGTACAATTGTTTCATCATAGTCATCTGCTCTTGGATTTACACAGACTATCATTCTAACTTGTCCTTCACCATCAAAATAGTTTTTGAATAAATGAGTAAGCTTGGAATCCCGATAAGGTACCATCTTATTTGTACCTTGGTTTTGATTTTCTCTTAAAATTTCCAGACACGAGCGCAGAGTCATCAGCGAGTTATTAATATTTCCTGAATGTACATTTATGATTTAAATAAATTTTTACAAATTTCATAAACATCACAAACGCGTAATGTTACCTGCTTCTCGTAAACGTTGACCAGTATTTTTGGTACGATTCGTGCGTTCGCTACCCGCTAAATCTACTAAAGATAGTTGACTTATACACACGACTCGTTTATCCTGCATTACATGTTCACCTTCGCAATCTAAAGGTGCCTAAAATACAAGAAAATATTATAAGCATTTGCAGATTAAGATAACTCTGATATTACAAAAAATCATAAAACAAGTATAATACCTGTACAAGTCGAATAGTAAAAACGCTATGGGATCTACTTGATTCTGCATTCAGTGCTGTATGTGCAACACGTCTTTTCCGTTGTCCACGTTGAAATAATTCAAAAGCTTCCTCTGCACTTTTTACCTCAATCTCGGTGACAGCATGTACATACATATTTTTGTTGCCATCCTCTCTGACAATTTTACTCTGTAGTGTCCTATATTAAATAAAAAGATTTGTTTTAAATATATATATATATATCAAACTTGTTTCATCAATTTTCTTTTGCGATATATACTTACTTGGATCTAATATCGTCTTCATCTAACAGATCATATACACTGTTATTATATATTTCAACATATGTTACAAATATAGCATATCCATTGTCTGGTTCAATTATCACAGTTTGTGATTCATTACGCTCGTGTGCTACTGTTGGATTACTGTCTCCATCGCTGTCCACCTTACGACTCAAATTTTTCACAATTACATTGTTATACAATCCCATCTAACATAATTATATTTATGTTTATTTCTATATGTTAAGTACAAAAACTTACTATTTGCCAAGTCTTCCTGTTCTTTGCGATATACCTGCATGAAGTTCATGTTGCCTGTCTAACATAGCATCAGCCTCGCTTTGCACATCAAAACCATTCAATTTATCTGGTTTAAAAACAAACTTTTTTGTTTGGTAGTTTGTAATGGTATTGAAAATAACATCCAGGCAGCGAGGCATGATACCAGCATCTTGCGATTCTCCAGTCATTGTATAAGTCTTTCCACTGCCAGTAACACCGTATGCAAACAGCAGACCATTTCTTCCATGAATGAGGTTTTCAACGAGAGGAAGAGCAACTGTTTTAAATACTTCTTTTTGTGTTGCATCTGGTGTAAATACATGACTAAATGTCGTTTGTATCTCTTTATTAGTTATAGTGCGAAAGTTTACTGCTGATTCTGGCGGCGTCACGACTAGCGTCGTCTCGGAGGTAATTCTCATGCACGACACATCTGTCGAAGATTGCATCGGTCGTAAACGACAGAAAACTTGCACGGGATCCTTAGATATCATATTCGATCCTTTCGGCCGATTAATCGGCTTACGAGCTGGAGTTTTCGGACGTCTGAAATAAGATTCGCGAAGGATACATTTATCCCGTACATATTTCATTTTTTACATTTCACAAAACACATGTACAAATATTCATCGTCAGTGTTGTTTATCGTATGCCTGAATATAATAATAAAATTTTACAATTACTTACGCAGGTTTCATTTTTACACAAGTCTACTTGTAGAATGTAATAACACAACGTATGCAGAAATCTTGCTCCTCTTTCTTATCGCTTTCCGTTATACTTTTCAAATTGAATCTCGCATACAGATGCTCGGTATTCAGTGCCACCAATCTTCAATTAGCGATATTAGAGATATAGAGAATTTTTCAACGAGAAAAATGGATACGATGTCACGTAATTGGTCAGCGAATAGAGAATTTAAAAATCTCCAGAATTTTTCTACTTGATAGCCAATCGTATGACATCTCGTTCATAGTATTTTTTGCTGAAAAACTCTCGTAGAATTATGGGAAATATAGAGAAATCGATAAAGGAGGTAGAGATTGGCCTTCCCATGGAATATCGCGTTGCTTGTGATTGGTGTTTCATTTGCTTAGCCACCAATCAGACGCGTCATTCCAAGGTAGATTATCTAGTCGTTGTGTTTTCTGAATGTAATCATGTTATGAATAAAATTTAAATTACATTGATGTTTTGCGCGGGATTGCAAAAGCGATTCGAGTTGTATTTAGGTTACCATCGCAAAAAAATGTTATTTTCAAGGAACCATTCTACGTGAATGAAATTTACAGTTAAATTTGTTATGATCTAAGACATTTATATGTCTCAGTTCGAGTCTTGTTTCATGACACTTTTAATAACGATTGTGCATGATTTTGAAACATAGTGTTGTGTGAGGAGCATGTTTTTCTTTTTTATCGAAATTTCTCGTGTATAAAGATTGTTGAAATTGCATTCGTGAAAATTATTAGTTATGTCGGAAGGTACTAGAGCAATTTCAAGGCCAAAAGTTAGATTCTCCCAATTTTCTGACAATGTACAAAACAAGGAAGAGGACGTTGAATGTAAAGACAAGACAGTTTTGCCAGTGAATGGTCCAAAAATTAAAAGTATCGTGTCTCTCAAAAAACCTGTTAGAATTGTAGACCCTAAGAAATGTACAACTGTTTGCGATAAAGATATACCACAACGTGATATAGAGACTCATTGCAGCGATATTACACCTGAAAATGTTCAAAGTACATGTACATCTAACAAAGATGTCTCAAAAATTGACACTTCAAAGATTTTACGCAATGCAAATGGCATCCAGAACATAAAAGAAAATTGCAACACATTGAGATCAAGTAAAAGTCCACAGAATATTTTAAAAGATCATAGAGAAAGTATTCGACAAAAGGGAAAAGAAAACAGAGACACAATGTTGAAAAAAGTTGTATCTGTAAAAAGTTTTAAAGATATGAGCAAGACAAGAGGAGGAAGCTCTCAATGTATACAATCAGTTAAACAAACTGGAAAGTGTAAACTTCCTACAAATAACAATATACAGAAAATAAGTACTATGGATTCTCAAAATCCAAAGATGACAAAATCATCATCCGCACCAAGCATTTTAAAGAAGACAAAAAATCAAACATTCAAAGGGACAAATAACGCAAAATCTATTACACCAAATGTTATGCCATGTTACAAGATTGCAGCTAAAAATAAGATATCTCCAGTTAAGAAAACTATATTACGTAATGTATCAGGTCCTAAAATCAAAACTTCTGTAGGGCCAGGAATCTCTCATAAAAAGAAAAATGATATAAAAACAAGTGATGCAAATAAAAAACATACTGTTACATTAAATGTTGCAGAAGAATTGGCACAACCAGGATATAATTCCATTGCTTGTACACTTAATAAATTGAAAGAACTTAAACAACAGAAAGTTGTTAGAGATATCAATCATTTGACATCTGCACAAAAGAGTTTTATAAGTGGAAAGGTAAGATTTTTTTATAGAAAAAAAATGAAACATGTTAATATTTTTCTCTAGAACAAAATTTGAATCTTTAATTTATTCTTTAATTTTATTTTGATCTTTTTGTAATCTTTTTGTAATAGATTTCTGCAGCACTGGATTTTCCATTGGACGAGGCAATTTATAAAAATCTAGTAGATTTAAGCATAGATGAGAAACAGTTGCCATCTACTATTTTACGAAGTAAGGATCCAGAGCCACGGCAAAGAGATATTACACCAAAACTTTCCGACTTTTTTGTACCTGAAAATACAAAGGAAATTTGCGAGGCTGTCCACATTAAACCTCGAGCTCCGAAAATGGATGAAAATTGGAATGCTTTTAAAATAAGTGATAAAATACTTGAATGGAAACATAATATGGATGATGTATAAAATAGCATGCATCTGTGTATTTTTATTTGACAATGTGTAAAATTTTAGAAATTACTAATATAAACAATAAATACTAAGTAAGTGAAAGAGGATATAAAAACAATTGCCTAGTAACAACACACAATTGTAATTTACTTGATATATTTTAATAAAACTAAGTTATTAAAAAAATTATATGAGAAACCTAATTTACTGTGTTTACATTTAAAATAGTATATCATAAATATGGTCCAATAAAAAATTATTTACATATTTTACTCTTGAAATGTAATTTTTATTGATTTTCCATCAGGCTCAAATTCTGATGGCACTGACACAGAATTAATACCATAATATCTTTGTTGCAGATAAAGATAAATACGACGAAGATTGTAAGAAAGACATGTACCAGCTAGCACCATTCCAATTACAATTCCAGCTACGATTATCCTGTTGAGACATCACTGAATTAGTTTTAATTGTATCTAAACTAAGATTCTTTTTAAATTGAATACATTATACTTACACAGTGATCCATATACTGTAATCTTTGGGGCTGCAACATACATTTTCATCACAACACTGTTCCCATGATTCACACAGTCCCCATGCACAATAATGTGCAGTAGCCTGAAAATATAATAGATTAATACAATGTTAATACCGTTAGTACAATTTTTATATATATGAATCAAATTTTATAATTTGTATTAGATGTTGATATAAGTACACATGTATATAAATGTTTAAATATAAAAAATTATAAAGTGTTGAAATTATAAAATTATATGTGACATTGATTCTTATAGACACAGATAGTAAACATTACTCTATGCACAAGAATATGTTTATAAATGTGCCTGACGTACAAAAAATAGAAATGTCAAGAATATTAAATCAATAGTACGATGCAAAATATGTAATTTACCGGTGAAAAGGCCGAGAAAATCCAAATAAATATAAAAAATATACTATTTGACAGATACTCCATTATGATTCACGAGACAATCACATTGACATTGATTGACATGAAGCCATATTCTCAAGGCATCCACCATAAGTTTCATAAAATCCTATATAGTGAATAATCTAGTTCCTTTTATCATCAAAATAAAAATTTGTATATATATATATATATATATATGTAGAAAAATCAATATTTAATGCAAATATATAATATCAATAATATATTACATTTTTTATGGAATGCTTCCCAGCAAAAACATACAAACACACGATTGGGTTATCAAATGGAAAAACTTCCGGAACTTTAGAAATTCTCTATTCGGAAGCCAATCATATAACAGTATTTATTTTCGATAAAGATTTATTTCTCGATAAAGATATTCATGATTTTTCTTTGCATATAAACGTATAATTTTAACGAAAATGTAGAAAAAATCAGTGCAATATGTTGACATTTTATTTTATATATATAGAATGTTATTTTTTAGTATCTAAAAATATGTATATAAATATATTATATAATATTTATAATTTACCTTATATATTAATTGTCTTATATATTATTATATAATTAACCTTTTATTAATATTTTTTACATATACTATTAATAAAAGATGGACTATTTTTATTTATATAATAGTTTATATAAAATCATATATCGGAAATTGGCTAGTCAAAAATTGATAAAAAATAAACGGAATTATACATCAATTTCATTATTATTACAATTGATCAAAAAAATATAATATATTAATAAATGCGGATAAATACAAGGCGAAATTTATTTGTAAATAAGAAATATTTATAAATAGAAGTGTTATCCTTAAAGATAGTAAATTAAATAATTTAAAAAATTGCTAAAAACTTTAAATATATATTTTCAGCATATGTGATTAGAAAAATGATTAAACATAAGATTTTCTCTAAAAACTAGACATATCTTTATGAGTGAAATGCAAAGCCAAGATTAGCTTGATTTGTATGATTCGAAATTAGAAAAGATTTTACTACATCTTTAGAATATAATTTCAAGATGCAAATTTTCAAAATGTATTTTTTTATAAAAAGGATATGTTGTCTGTAAAAATTAGGAAATAAAAAATTTTTGAAATCGCGCATATATATGGATTTAATATTTCAATGGAAGCAGACATTTTTACATATATAAAACAAGATGAAATTAAATTAGTATAATTCTTGAAGATTAGATATATAATAGAGCATAAATATAACTTTTCATTTTTTAAATAATTTAACAAGATGTTTGATTTTTATGCGATAGAGAACAAAAGTAACCATTTCAAAGCTGATTTTGTTAACACAATGATACAAGTTATACGTCAATTTTTTTTGTATAGTTCAAGAATGTTAAATTCCTTCTTTACATAAACTTTTAAATAATATATCATGTTTCTAATTTTATATACATTAAAATATTATTATATATATATCAGTTATGAAAGTAAAAGTGGACGGTTCTGAATAATAAAAATCATTGTTTTACACATTGTTATAAAATATCTTAACACTAATTAATATCATTTGTTGAATTCATTGATTGGAACAGTAATGCAGATTAAATTTTATATCTTCTTTTCTTCTGCACACTATCACTAACTACTAATAGATAATATAAGGGTCTGTTTCAAAAAATATGCCCTATACTTGTTTGTCAGTCTAAAGTCATAAATTATATCTAATATACATTCTTATAATTATCTTACCCATGTTGTTTTGTTCATTATTCTATTGTTCTTAAGTACAATTTTTCATAATCTTATATGTATAGTAATTAAATCTTTTTTGTTTTATAATTGATAAAAGTGCACACAACAAAAAAAACATTAATGTATATCTCTGCAATCAAATAATAAAAAAAGTATACACATTTTTAAGTACTAACATATGCAAATGAAGTTTTGAGAATAGAGATTATGTGTAAACAATATACATTTGAAGCTTTTCATATATATATGTATAGAAAGAATATTCTTTGTGTATGTGAAATCACTTTCTACATATATACATGTACCCATATTTTACCATAAAAATTATTGCACTTTTCAAACATTAACTTTTACAAATAATTTTTTAAACACAAACATTAAGCATGTTCTCCTTTGTTTAGAAAATATTTAATAGCGCTTATAATTCATTTCTTTGATTCTATATGTCTTATACACAAGATAAAGATTTAAGATGTAAATATTAATTACACATGTTAATCAAACATGTTAACAAATTTTCAAATTCGATAAAATTCTAGAAAAACTGCATTAAATAAAATTATTCATATATCAATCATCGGATTTACGAAATTTGAAACCAAAGATTTCTTTAATTTCGAGTCTTTAACACTTATTAATAGAAACAGCAATTATATATTTTTGTGAAAAAATGTATATATGCATAATATACAAAGATAATTATATTTATCTCTTCATACTTTGCAGAAATATCACAATCATATATAAATTTTACATATAGACTTCCCTTCCATTGCCAAATAGAATGACCAATCTTATAATAATAATAATAATAAATCTTGTGTTAATTATTCATTAAAATTTCTTTCATTTTTCTTTTTTGTTTTATGAGAAAAAAATTGTTTCTAACTCAGGAGCTTTAGATTATTATTTCAGAGAAGGACAAAGAGATTATAATTTATCAAATTTTCAATCTAACTTACAAATTATAAGTCCATGTTCCTTTTGCTGATTGAATATAACGAAGTGGTGCAATTGTATTTCTAATATCTGGACTTTTTGATCTTCTCACACAGTCTTGGCTTAAAACTCTACATCCCTGGTTCAAAATGACATTATTGTAACCAGCACGAGGAATGCTGTCACTGCTGGCTACGCGTCTTACATCATTAATCTTTTTCTCTTTCGACGGTAAATTGTCTAATACAGAGTCTCGAATTTTATGCACAGATTGATTATTTCCAAGTAATTTTGGACTAGGATCGATTGATACTGTTTTTAAATTGGTTGTTGAGCAAACTTTTTCGGCACATTTTCGTCGGATCTGACATTTATCATTATTTTCATCGAATAACTGACGCTCAAAATGATGTTTGTCATTATTATAATTTTCATCATTATCAGCATATTGGTTAAAAGTTATTGTAGAATCGAGCGAGTCGGAGAATTCTGGGCTCGGTACAGAAGACACGCTGCCGATTTGGGAAAAAGCAACCGTCCCCTGTGAATTTTGGGGACGGTGTCAGAAACATCATTCTTCTAATTCATCCATTCGATTTCTAACAGCCATTTCTACCACTTCTAAGCTTGGATAATCTAATTCTTTAACCAAACATAGCACAGCTGATAATATATTTGAATTCTAAAAAGGAAAATGTATGTTATAAATATTTAAATTTCATTGATATGTGTACTCTAATTTAAAATAATGATATAAAGCATACCCTCGTTACTGGCCGTCTGTGATAATGAAATTGTGTTCTGCATTTATCTTTTTCTGAATGTCTTACCCAACCGGGTACTTGAGCTCCATCTTCCTGCAAATATTAAATAAAAAAATATTAAAACATTAACTTTTTTTATTAAAGAAATTTCAAACATTTTGTTATGATAATATTTAACTGTGTTAGAATTGTATTCAGTTTAATATATGATGAAAAAATAATATACAACTTATTCAAGTCTTACCCTTTCATTATGATGAATAGCCATTCTTCTTTGTGGTATCGGAGGTTGTGGTGAGTCTTCATATTCTACTCTTGTTCTCTCATCATAGCTATAATTATTTCTGTCATTACGTCTATCATCTGCAAGTTCATTTACAGCATATTGTGTACGTTGTGATGTTGGTGTATAGATACGCTGAGATACTTCGTTTCCACCATACTCGGAGTACGCTCGCCTCTCATCATAATCCCCATTATGTCGTACTGCCGGTCTGTCATCATAATCCTAAAACATTGTTTTCTATAAGTATGAATAATGCTATATGTAAATTGTATTCAAAAGAAAAAATTGGTTTACACCAATCAGAATTTTCATCATATTATATTAAAATATAACAATATAAAAATATTAACAAATAAAAATATTTTTTTTATTTATCCTGAATATATGTATGAATAAAATATAATTTTGAATATTATAATATGAATAATACATTCGAGAATCAGCTACGGAATTATTAATCTCAACATTTTTTATATATTTAAAGCTCTATTATATGTCTTATTTGATAATATTATTCATACTCTATTATATAATTATAAGAAATACTAATAAATGATTAATCTTGTGTGATTTTTAATAATCCAGTTATGTTTTTTAAGCATTATTTAAATTCAGGATAAATATATATATGATTCCTACATATGAATACAGGAATTCAGGACAAATATATATATATGATTCCTAACATATGAGCCCTATAAATTTTATTTTGTTAATTATACATTATATTATCCATTTTACTGAAGCCATGTATAAAGTATGATATGATTAGATGATAGCAATAAGAAAAAAAGACACAAATATAGATTATTTATCATTAAATATCCCCTAAACCAAGCCATACAAAGTCATGTAGCCAGAAAATATGTGAAATATGGAGATTGATATATGTTAAATGAAGATTTTATTTACTTGTACTTGTTAATAATGATAGTACTGCTAATATGTTCTAAAATATTATTTATGTTATGAATATATTATAATATGAATGATGAGAATTGTGCAATCACACAAATGTTGGTCATTAAGTTATTTGAAAAACTATTAAGCTACTACTTTGCATCGGCAATTAGCGAATGTACCTTAGATATTTCAAGAGTGTTAGTGGCCACAGTCTCATTGTTGCTGCGCGACTCTGTACACATACTGTCATCTTTGCTCTGATTCTTTGATTGTCCATTTTGTAGCTGTTAGTGTAATCAGGCAATAAGATTGACTTTAAAAGTTTAAATTACACTTGAGTTGCTAACTTTTTTTTATCTAATTAATTATTGCAATGTACAATGATAATATCAATTCCATATTTTTGCTACAGAATGATACATGAAAATATTGCAACTGGACATTTATGATAGTAAAAAAAATTCCCAAAATAGAGTAATTATACATTCAGTTAATAAATAGTTATTTACTCTTGAACGTGATTATTGAAAGGAATATTATTTCTATTCCTATTATACGCGAATGATATACATGACTGACCTCATATGCATACTGATTATTTTGTGAGTAATGATGAGACGATGATGCACTATAATTTGCGTTTCTTCTGTCAGGGTCATATTCTTCATGAGTGTGTTGTGTTTCATCAAAACTTCTCTGAAAAAACAGTCCTATATATGTATATATTATTTCACTTTATAAAAATTATGTGACAAACATCTTGTTGATTAAATTATTCTTGTTGAATCAAATGATCCAGTCAATGATGGGAAAGAAAATTGGTAAAATAATGTGTTAATTTATGACATTACCTGGTCACTAGCAGAACTATATCTCCTAGGCCGTTCCAATTCAGGTTCTTCAATGTATTCAATTGTAATATCCTAATTTAGTATAAATGTCATTTAGCATTTTGATGATTGTTAAAAATACATTTAAGATATATGTAAAGGATTTTTAAAAATGCATTTATTTTAAATGTATATAACTTGCTAATTGTATAAATAAATTTTAATAACAATTAAATATGCAGCTATTAATTGCAAGATGTAAAGCATACAAAAAATACAAATTAATTGATAAAATAGTATAAATATTAAATGCATGTGAAAATATACAATAGCTTAGCATTTTACCATTTACCATTTTTTTTGTTATTACATTATTTCTAAAAAAAGAGAGAAAGAAAAGAGTCTGTTCTTACCTCTGGAGTTACTGCATCTGATTGTGGAGAAGCATCCATTTCAAGAGGATGTATTAAGGGTCGACCTATTGCCATCGCGGTTTGCACTTCTTCAGGTAATACTACTTTATCATCTAACTTCTCAAGATTTGGCAATGCTCGCAGTACAGCTAATCGATATCTGTCAAAATAACATAGATTAGAAAATTTTATCTATATTGGGATGATAAGAGTAGCTTCATATAGAAACGATTGATTTGTATGTCTTGAACTCCAAAGCCAATCATCATTATGTGCCTCTTAGAAAGTTTCTGGGTTTTTTTTCACATAAATAAGCAAAGAATATTGTATAGTCAACAGAAATTAAGGGATACATATATATGCAGAAGTATCCATTCTTTAAAAAGTCTGTTATATTAAATATTTACCCTTCTTTTTCTGCACATGGATTTTCACCCAGCCACAAATTTCGTAAATTAGGCAATCCTTGGAGGTAACAAATTTCATTCAAATCTTTGATATTGTTTCTTCGTATAAATAAATCCTGAAGTTTGTGACAACATTGAAAATCAGCAAGTGTATTAATGTTATTTATGCTGAAAATAATAATAAGACATTTGAAATTAACATTTTCAAATTATATAAACTTCTTTTTAACAATAAAAAAAATATTGATGTTAATAATATCCCCTCATAACAATTCTTACATATAGCAGTTACATAGTATATGTGTAATATATATATGTATAATTTTGATGCAAGAAAGTTGAAATTTTTGCATCAATTCAATCTTTCTTTTTTTTTTCTTATTGTATATATTTGAATGTATGTAATATAATGTGAATGTATGAATCAATCAAGTTTTATTGATATAAGAGAAACCTATGTTGCTATATGTTTAGATATCCTTTTTATTTGTTAATGTCATGTAAAAAAAATGGTTCTTACTTTAAAATCTTAAAATTACATGCCTTATTGTAATGATAATCTATTCAGACTGATAAAAACGTAAATAAAGACTTTTTATAGAAATTAATGAAATTATAATATATTAGAATTTATTAAAAAATTAAAAACAATTTTCATGCGATATATATTTTTTATATTCTCATAGAAAAAAAAGAATATTATATACATTTTTATTTTTCTCTTTTAAATTTAGCTTGACTGTACTTTCAAAACTAATTGTATATATATTCTCTGTATGATGTATTTACCGTTGTATAAAAAATTAAAAAAAATCTTTTTTTGCTTTTGTGGATTTCAGATGTGTCAGATACAGATCTTGATATATATATATATATATATATATATATATATATATATATATGCATCTATATTTTCAAATGACTCAGATGAATCACAATGAATTCAAAGCACGTGTGGGCAGAACAACTTTTGAGGTTGTGGGTTGTGACCATGAGTTTAATACAATCGTATCCAAAGTAGGATATATACGCAGCTTCTATGTTTACATAAGATAAAAAATATCTTAGATCCCAATGATGAAATCGAATAATTTCAGTTCTACGCAATAAATTATTTGCGCAGAATATATTACTAAACGTCAAAAGGAATATTAAGCTTTTAATTATGCTTTCAAAGTTGCTAATAGTATAATGGAGAAAATTTTACAAATTTGTGTTGCATCTATTTTTTTCTTACATTGATAATTATTTATACTGTAATTTTAATAAGTCTCAACCTACCTCAATGACAACACCTCTACATTTATCATCTTTCTTAGAATGCTAACATCCGTTAATTCTGTTCCCCTGTAAAAAATATATACATCGTATCATATTAGATATATTGTTCAACTTATTTATTACGCATAATTTAATTTTGAAATAGATGATCAAACTTTGTAGACTTTCCGTTAGTGATGATGAAAAAAATCAGATAAAAACATTGGAAAGATTGGAAAATTTTCCTTTTTTGAATCATAACTACTTCTTGTTATCATGTTGAGATACTTATTCATAAATGTGATTCTGAAACGTACGACGCATTTGCTTTGTACATCCAAGTGTACGTCGAGGCAAAAACTAGTCTAGGCGTAGGAATTCGAAAATTTTTTTCCGCCTATTCTTTCACGTGTCTCAAGGAAACGGTAATTAGTCACACCTGGCTGATCACACACATAATCCGCTTTTTTTCCCACAACACAGCGTTGTACACACGAGAATTTGATAAGGCCGTTTTTACAGTTTTATTCGCACGGGTGAATGCGAACGCATTAATCGCTCGAGACGCGAGCAAGTGGTCGCGAATTAATTTGCGACGGAGGTTATACTGTTAAATCGCGACCGATCAACCCGATGTAAATACTCACCAGCAATTGAGCTTCTTCACGGCGGAGAAGTCGGACACTCGCGTGCGAGCCACGACCATCTCTTCGGTTAACTTCACCATCGTGTCATTCACGTCTCGATGTCGTTAGACGATCAAGGATCAAGCTCCGATCGCCCGAGCGAGAAATTCGGGTGATTCACGATCGCCGGGGGATCGTATCTATATCACAGCGAATTTTCTAAGTAACACGCCGATGCTAACCGATGGCCATGATGCCTCACCGTCGACTAATCGCGAAGTAGGTTGCGCAGCGAATGCTTTCACTGATTCCCTGCTGGTCCGTCTGCGCATGCGCGCAATAGTCTGCGCAACCGCGTAGAGCGTGTTGTCAATGTGTGTGTGATGTTGCGCTTATTCGAGCGTCGCACGTTTCTCCGTAGTATTGAAAAAAATATAAATCCTTATTTACATAACCCACTTGTGTGGTTTGTGCGAAGAATAAAAAGAATCGGAAGGAAGAATCGTGAGATATATCTTTGTGAACGCGCCAGAACCATTACATTTATCATTTGTGTAACCTATTGTACGTATACTATTCAAGATAATTGAAAAAAATTGTTTCTTAGCTCCAACTTTTATGGTGAATTTTATGGTTTGTTATATTTTTTTGCAATTAATATCATCATGTATATATGTATTTTTTCTTTAATTAATTATATAGATAAATAATATATAAAATATTGCGTATACATTCAATTAGAGCATTCAATTAAAGTAAAAGTTCGCTGACATTTGTAAGATTTTTCTGCTTCCGCGTTTGATTTCGAAGAACGTTATCAAGAACAAATACTTAAATTATTTGCATTTTGAGAAATTAATTGGCGTAACTTTTTATTACGCGTACGCAATATCTCTCGTATAAATATTTCTCTAACGAAAATGAATATTAAAGACGGAAATTAGTCTTACGAAAGGTTCTATTATGAAAGAGTTCGCTCTAAAAAAAAAGGAGTACACTCCACTTGACACATTACACGTGCTTTATAGCGTTCAATTGATTCAATCAAGTAGAAAAAAAATCCTGATTAGCCTCAATCAAATTATTCGGAGCATCAGTTGGTAGGGCGCGTACTCAAAGACGTCGTTTCAAAGATGCAATTATTTTTCGATTGCTCCGCAATTAGCGCTGATGTCGATCGAATTCGAAGCGCGCATGCGTGCGCGCCCTCTCGTCGCTCTTCGTGTCGTGGTCGTTTCGGTCGATCGTAGATCCTGATTTTCTCGTGATTTTTCTCGCCGAAAGCGAATCGCGGGCACCAACCCGCCAATCGTCGGGAGTGTCGAGTTAATGTCGGACGAGGGTCTCTGCAACGCAAAGTCTGGCAATTTTGCGAGCGCGACGACATTTTTTCTCGCGTAGGGAACCGAATGCACCCGAGGTAAATTCAAATTTCGTCGCCATAGTGATCGCGAAAACGATCCTTGTTTATTTATCCGTTGCGAAAATTGGAGCCGCATTGCGTTCGTCTCTCATCGGGTGTGTCAAAAGTGCTGGATGCGAGCTATAAATCATCACCGAAGATTTTTTACGCGCCTTTCAAGCGATACATCGAACATTTCAGGGCCGGATAAAGTCGCGACATTAAAAATTCGTATGAGAATATAATTCAGTGCGTCGAATTAATGTCGGGCGTGTGTCGGGAGTGCCGAGTTAATTAATTAACAATCATTGACTCGCGATGATGCAAACATGGATGATGGAGACACATTTGACGTATATTTCTCACGAAGATCGAATTCTCGAAGAAACGTGTACGATGTCCTGCTACACAGATGTATATGGGATCGCATATCGGTGAGTGAACAACAACACTTGACACGTTTTGGGTACAATAGTTTATTTTCATTGTTGTCTTCAGAGCTTCCAGTACATATAATACTCGATATATAATGATTCAATAATATCATTAAATACGAAGTACGAAATCTATCTAAACGCTAATCATATTCTAGATCGGTACTCTCTGCTTCGTCCTTCATTATAAATGAAACGCTCGATATCGATCAATTATTGACAATTATTAATATGTAAATGTATATATATATATATATATATAGGTAGGTAAGCGTTTTGTCTTTCAATTTGTCGTAACACTGCGAAGCATCTGAACCTACCTTTGTGTGTGTGAGATAAAATCGCGCGCGAATACATATTTTTTCGCCCAAAATTTCACCGCTTCGTAGAATTTACGCGCCCATGCGCGTGCGCGTTCGCGGCTTCGAGTCGCTTTTAAGAAAGTAGAAACGTCAAGCACACACACACATCGATGGGAAGACCGTATACCTTACCAAAGTTTAACGCACTCGATGCGTTCGCGGACAATGCGAGTGTGCTCTCTTTGCGCTAATTAAACGCAAAGCATTTGGAGCCGATTCGTAGAGGAATTCAAAAGCTGAAGCAATTTTATACCCTGAGACTCACAGTAAAATCATAAATATAATTTGCCAATAATTGTGTGTGTATCCGGATATAAATAAATTATCGAATAATCAATAGTTTTTATCGAATACGTTAATATCCCATCCTTCATTTTTTTATACCGCGATAATCTAGGCAAACATCATTCTCTCCTCTATGCAATTTTTGATAATCAAGTATTATTTTGATTGTTTGATTGTCGCTTTGTCCGCGAATGCGTTAACTAGCAACGAATGTGCGAAATAATATTACACTTTTTTATTAACGAACCTGCCTATATCTGATGTAATAAATATTGTGCGACCTGGCCATTTGGCACTCACGACGATTGTACGACGATAAAGGTAAGAAAACCTAAGATGAGTCGATATTGCAATTATGTTTTCTTTGTATTTGTAACGTTTCGTATAAGAATGTTTATGTGTGCTCGTATATGATGTAGGTATAAGAATTAGAAATTGAGGTTACGAGATAGTATCGGAAGGACATATAATATATGTATATATAAATTATAACTGGGAGGATTTTATTTGTGTGGGTGTGAATGATATTCGTCTCGACAAATATCAACGGATACAAGATATGCAGATATGTATCGTACCGACTCTATTTTAGAGTAGCTTCTTGTTGAATTGGGATTGATATAGTCAATAATTTTCTTGAGGATCGAGATCTAATTTTTTAATTTAATAAATGCACCAGAGAAAAGTGAGAGAAGTTTAAAATTTATATAGTAGTGGGAAATTTATATCGCGCGTAATTATTAGTAGCGATAAAAACGCAATATTGCAGGGTCAAAAAATTCATGTTTTTTATTTCTGCAAGAAAATTAAATATTTTTTTTTGATCGCACTTACTGTAAATAGTATAGGTATTCCATTTTTAATGCCATAAGACGATTCCGCTAGCGAGGTTTATTTTAGACTCGAAACGAAAAGAGGAAAGAAAAATTCTTAGATTTGCCCAACGTCTAAGATTATAATCGATAAGCGGGATTCTTTCAATTTATAAATTGGAATCGATATGTTTATGATTATATTTCTAGACGTTAAATGCGCGGCAAAAATAAATTTATCGCGATACAAATTTATCCCCGCTTCGGTAATTCTATTCTTTGATTCCATCGTCGATTTCATGATTAATCGATTTTCAATTAATGCGTGTGCTCTTTCTCTCAGTTCTAGATAATACGCTACTCTCACAAAATATATATGACACCGTTATTACGCATGAGAGCATCGTCTAAGCGTGTCTAATAAACCACGATAAATTTTAATATACACAGGCATGGTACATGTATCTTATTACGCGTCGATCAAAATTCTTTTCGATAATATCAGTCGTGATGATCTAGCCATTTTAATTCTATCCACCCCCTCCCTCCTCCCTGATCGTCGTGATTCTATTCTTATCTCGCGAGGCTGTACTCGCACGACTAGGACACTTTGTTAAATATGTATATAAATTCATATCAAGAGATTTCTGTGTTTTCGTTTGTCTCGTTCATTGAAAAATCATCTAAATGTAAGTTTCTCGAAATGGAAGATTTGTTCTCGCGTGCGACGATGCAGACAACGAGGCGCTTTATTCGGAGGAAAATCCGCGGTATCACGTCGCTGCACCCAACTAAAGATCTCGTTAGACCAGGTTACTATCCGCAGGTACCGCACCATAATCAACAACGGATGCCCGTGAGAAACGCATTTTCCACTTTTCATGCCCGTTAACTCGATCGAATAGATATCTTTCAAAGCTCTCGGTAGTGTTTTTCATCAAATTATTCGGTAAAATAAAAACGCAAGATGACAAATTGCATTTGCATATAAGTTTCAACATATTGCATTAATATAGTGTAATAATGTATTACATTTTTTTATATAAATTACAATAGTTTTTTTTAAATATTATTAGAACATTGCGGTCTTTTATGATTCGCATATTTGAATAATATATTTAAAAAATCGGATTTTTAAAGTTTTCCCTTTTTTTTTTACATTTATGTTAATTCGTTCTACCGAGATATTTACCAAATGAGCGATTTATCATTTTGTATTTAGCATCTCGTCATCATTACTAGCCGTCGCAATTGCGCGCTACCATATAATGTATATAATTACGTGTATTAATTGATTTCATACGTTCAAATTACGAAATAGACATTGAATATGAAAGAACATTTGGCGAAGTGTTTGAAAAAATCGAAGAGAGATTACAGTTTTATATTATCTGTACTCTACGGGGAAAGATCGATAACGTACGTTTAGATCGCATTGAATTGACCATCTAGTGGATAATAGATTATCACGAGTATCGAGAGTGCGATGGATCGTTTTTCTATGAGTATCGTATTTCAATTGTATTTAGATACACGTGAATTTAATTGCGCGCGATTGTGTTAATGCTGATAATCGCGCGTGTCAAGCCACGATAGTAAAATATATAGAGCGACTTTGAATCTTATTCCTTGACAATAATTTGCACTGGCCTTGCACTTTGTATTATACTTCTCCGTCAAAGATAAACTTTGAACGTTCGTGTAATTTTACGGATTTCATATTTTTTATAAGTAATTTTTTTTTTATAGTAGAACGATTGTGTGTCTGGCGTCCTTAGGAAAATATTAAATTACTATAAGCTCATATCGGTACATTTTGCATTTAACGAGGTCACCGATTCGCTATTGGGATGCAACACGCCGGTATGAAAAGAAAAAAAAATAAAATAAAACGCGCGATAGAAAGTATCGGAGAGAGTGATTCATTCGTCGTATTTATAATTCACAAAAAATAATTATACAGAATTATGTAGAACCTG